TGACATTTGTTTCTGAATTCAGACCATTATCTTTCCTATCACTAGAAAAACACGATTTTATAGCGTTGTAAGTATTTTAACCCTTAGACACCCAACATTTTTTATTAAGATAGATGATATTTTTCTCATAAGAGTCAATACATTTATATTAAATATTGATTGCGGATCCATTTTGATTTTTTTCAATGTTCAAATGTTCAGAAGAAACAATGGTAAACCGTTTTACCAGCGGACCGTCAGGGTTCACTAAGACTTATGATGCTTACTGGTATGAACGTCATACCAGTATGTGAAAGTCTGAAATACAAATAAAAACATAATTTCATTCAGAAATGTTTATTGAAGAATAGTTATGAACTGGCTCAATCCAATTATGTCAAAGATTTCGAAAAAAGTATACAGCAAAATACTAATAATTTTTTGAATTACATAAAGAGTAGGAGAAAAACAAAAACAAAAGATATTATCATCGAAAATAATGGTACCACATACAAAAGCAATGAAGATATAGCCCATGGATTCTCTCGCTTTTTTCAGTCTGTGTTTGGCGAGTCTTCAACTTATGAAATAAACGGTTCAACTGAGATGAACGGCCATAACACCATATTCCCTCAAATATATTTTGATATAGACCAAATTTCTCTTAAAGATATATCTGACTCAATCAGAAAACTGAAACCAAAAAAATGTGCTGGTCCCGATATGATTCCGCCGTACATAGTGAAAGGATGTTCTGAGATTCTTCTGAATCCTCTTCATATTTTGTTCAATTTATCAATAAAAACAAATACATTTCCAGATCTGTGGAAACAATCGATAGTATCTCCCATTCACAAAGGGGGAGACACCAGTAATTTCTCTAATTATAGACCCATATCAGTTTTGTCTTCGTTTGCTATGATATTTGAACAAATTTTGCACAAAAAAATATTTGAACACATGAGGAGTATCGTTCGTGAAAATCAACACGGTTTTATTCCAAAAAAATCGATACTAACAAATTTGATGATCTTCACAGACGATATTTCTCAAGCACTTCATGTAGGTGGCCAGGTCGACGTTGTGTACACAGACTTTGCCAAGGCATTTGATAGGGTGAACCATGATATTCTGATTGAAAAACTTAACACATTAAGTTTCTCTCATACATCTCTAAAGTTCTTAACTTCATACCTAGCTGAACGCAAACAAATAGTCAAATATCACGGTGCACTGTCTGAACCCTACTCGGCGCTTTCAGGAATTCCGCAGGGAAGTAATTTGGGACCACTTTTCTTTGTAATCTTTGTGAATGATTTACCTGCGGTACTACATGAATCCACAGCATTACTTTATGCTGATGACTTGAAATTTTATAAAAATATATCATCGCAAGTAGATATTGACAAACTTCAACTAGACATCGATCGTATTTATGAATGGAGTATTTCGAATAAGCTGTTCTTGAATATTTCTAAATGCTTCACAATGACTTACACGAATAAAATGGTACCAATAACAAATCGGTATACAATGAATCATACTGAACTGCCACAGAAAGATTCACATTCCGATCTTGGAGTAATTTTTAATTCTACCCTAAATTTTGGAGAGCATATCGACCGAATGGTGAAATCAGCTTATAAAACACTAAGTTTCCTGATGAGAGTAAGTACCGAATTCACACATCATACGAGGAAAATTCTTTTTTGCAGTCTTATTAGATCGAAATTGGAGTTCGCCTCATTGGTTTGGGACCCTGGGACGCTTGTACATTCCTCCAGGATTGAAACAATTCAGAACAAATTCATATGCTTCCTCTATAGGAAAAAGTATAACCAGTACCCGGATTATGATTCCTATAACTTTATAAGGCGGGAATTTAATATTATGCGTCTTGATACTAGGAGAAAAATCTATAATGCACTCTTTTTAGTGAGGTTACTCAACGAGCACGTCAAGTCTGACATTTTATTATCAAGAATAAACTTTTATATTCCAACCAGACTCCGTCCCCGAAACATAGTTTTCAGAACTATAAGTAGGAGGGTTGCAAGAGAAAATTCCCCCCTAGTACGAATGTGTAATATCTTGAACGATATATGTGTTGCTCATAGAGAGTTGAATATATTCAATGAGCAAGAAAATGCTATTCGGAAAAACATATTTGAAATTTTTTCAAAGTAAATAATTAATTTTCAATAATTTATGAATTTTTTGCATTTTAATCACAAGAAAATGTTATCCTGGTAATTTTTTGTCCTTCGCATCGTGATTGCGGACGCTTTTATAACTTTGTATCACGTAATATTAATTATTGGTTTTCTCTTCCTCTGCTTTGCTGTCTAGGTTTCTAATTTGGAATATACTGTAATCTGATCTCTCATATTAGTTACCTCTTTAGTTATTGCTCATTCTTTGTTTTGTTTTTTCTATGCTATACTGAATGTTGTATGAGATCGTTACATAGGCATAAGGCATTACAGATGTAATTGTAAACTTAGGACTTGTCCTGTATTACATCTCTTCATAAATAAATAAATAAATAATTGTACAAAACATTCAATACACAAGGCAACTTGACATATTTTGCACTAAACACTACTTCTTTTCTGTTAACAGACTTGGTACATTACAAAGAATGCGAGATGTTGTTTTTCGGATAGGTGACCTCTCGCATGGAAAGGATTTAGAAATTAGAAGAAATAGAATGTTACTAAGGGAATACAATGAATGATATGAATCGATTTGATGAAACAGGAAAGAAAACTAATGAATGAATTTCATGTTTCGCCCAGTACTTCCGAGCGCATCAATATGATGGCTAGTAAATTTAATGGCATACATAATGATTTTCACATCACAAGAATATAAATGTCGACCTTAATGGTAGTTATGCATGATCGCGATGCACGTACGCTAACTGGTCGATTCAATAGCCGATGTTATACAGTATGCGTTACAGTTGGTTGTACAAGAGCGTCTGGTCGAATAAGCTACCAACTGACATTTGAGACTCATTAAAAATTACCATTTCTCTTCAGGAACAACTTTCACGCAATAGTTTGAATTGTTCACATTATTTTATGCATTTGTGTGTCAAATAATTTGGTGGGTTTATTGGTATAGTTACTTCATCAAATGATTCAGTTATGGAAATACATTGGATTCTAGTGAAAAACGAATATATACCATTATTCAGTCTTTTCCGAAGCGTAAAGTGTGCTTTTACTACCAAGATAGTTTTCGTCATTTTATGAACCATTAATCGATAAAGACATAGCCACCTCTGTTGTTATTAACCCGAATGCGCTGTTCTGATCAGACAATGATCATGGCTAAGTATTGAAAATAAGTGAAGAGAGAAAAACTCAAAGTCGTCTCCACAATTTTCAATGTATAATAAGGCAGTCAATCCTGCTTCAATAAGGTTGAAAGTTGATACATGTTTTGGCCATTCAAATGGCCATCTTCAGTCGAAATAGCAAAGTGTATCTACAATAGAAACCAAACATGATTTTATATATAAGAAGAAATTGAAATGGAAAAGACAACAGTTGTAAATTCAAATTGAATTGATTAACAAATTTCAGTAAGATAAAAGAGCAACAGTGATTTTTATAAGTATAACAATGATAATTGATCAGTAATTGATCAGTAATTGATGGTAAAAAGTGAAAAACAAATTTTTTTTTCATCAAATCAAAAATTCTGAAAACAAAATGAAGAACCATAGATAAGAAGGTTGTACTCACGTGGAAATTACTTCAAAGCATCGTGAAGGCGAAAAAAATTATTACTAAACCATCATTTATTATCTGTTTTATTTATTGGAAATAGAGTGAAGTCAACCTTATTGAAGCAGGATTGACTGCCTCATTATACATTAAAAATTGTGGAGACGACTTTGAGTTTTTCTGTCTTGATCATCCCACTCCACTTTGAGTATGGACTACTACAGAAGATTATTGAAAATAAGTGTTTTCATAGTGACAATAATGGGTTTATATTTCATTTTCACAGAACTAAAATGATTGAAATGTATTGCTAGTGAAAAAAATTCAATATGCACCTTGGTAGTAAAGAATATCATTACCACGGGACCTCATTATACCCCTCGGCTGAAGCATCTGGATATAATCTTGGTCCCTAGTGTCCGAGTGTAGATGTGCCTCGGAAAATAAGATAAAAACTATAGGATAGTTAGCCTCATGAGGGTTTCAGGATTCACGGGTATCCCGAGGAATGAGGAGGCAGACAGACTAGCTAAGATCGATTCATGAACGACCCATTGTAACCGATATTGGAAATAACCAATAGTACGGCTATTTCCTTCATGAACGAAATGTCACAGTGGCAGTGTCTTGAAACTTAGTGGCACATACTAGGAATGAGACAATCAAAACTCCACATAAAGGAACCTTCTAACTTCAAAAAGGCTCCTATAACTAGACACAACCACTTCAACAGGCAAATGTATTCACTGAATGCCACTCGCTAGTGCATCAGAGGAGAGCTGCCTTTAGGAGCATTGTACTGCACTCAAAGGATGTGAAAGTGACTCAGCTGAGGAAGTTGCTGAATTTTGTCAAAGAAATTGGCATGCTCAGCTGATTCACAGGCCATGTGGGCGCAGAATGGGCCCGATTGAAGAGGTATGAGTGCAAGGGTCTGCGCATACCCGCCCAAGAAGAAGAAGAAGAAGAAGAAGAAGGAGGAGTTCGTAGTTTCCGAGATGCCCATACTGCCCATCCTTATTTTCAACATCGTCTTGGACACAGTGTTGATATCCCCACCATAGGATATACTCCATATTTTAATTCAAGGCTCTCTTCAAGATGAAAGCATTCAATACGAATTGTTTCATTTTTGAATGAATTTTGATAACAATTTGAAGTTCTTCTTGAAAACGATTGACGAATATAACGATTTTTATCAATTTAGTCAATTCACGAGCATTTCTCAGTTTAATCCTTGATTATTTACAGTGTGAATACTCAATGGTTCAATAAAACTTCACGTTCGAGGAAGAGGCTTTATTTCATTCAATAGCAATAACGTTATGGATTTCAATTGTTGAATTACATAAATATGTTCATCGATGTGGACACAAATCGAAATAAAACCTTATGACTTTCGCTCTCAGCTGTCATCGTCTGCCACTATTTCGGTGATTAGGGAAGTAACACCTGGAAGAATGAATTTCGTGACTATCAGGAAGCCCATTGCAAATTTACCAGTGAGGGTCACTATCCTTTGGAGTGTAACAAATCTGAAAATAACGAAATACGAGCTGTGTTATGACTGAATTCTTGATTTCTCTTTACGTTTTATAACTTTATCATTTGCTAGCCTGAAACACAATGTTTATTGATATTTACAGAATGAGCCAATAGTATGGTAATTTCCTGGTTGAATGAACGCTGGAAACATGATTCGAAAAACAGATGTATACAGGGTCCCACCAATTTAATAGGGACAGTTATGCTATTTCCGAAAAAGTTGATTTTGAAATTTAGTGTGAGTTTCGCTACTTTTGTCTTATTCAATCAACTTTCTATTCTTACCGTATCGAAAATAGCCATACTGTCCCTATAAAATCAGCAGGACCCTGTATATATATTACACAAGAGGTATACAACGAGACATCATTAGATCTGTTTCAATCTACTCCTGAGGGTGCTAACATAGAGGAACACGTGTCGAAGCGTTTGAAAATCGGTTTGGTTAGTAGTAAAACAATGTAGATTATCGTGCTAAACGTTTCAGTCTTCGATGAAACTGTGTTATTTGGTGGTGATGGTGGTTGTGGTGGTAACTATTTCAGTAACTTATATACAAGAAGTTTCTAGATTTTTTTAATTGATTCGTCTCAAAATATCACTGTGTTGACGCAGAGATAGATGGTGGCAACTATTTCAGTAACTTATATACAAGGAGTTTCTAGACTTCTTTAGTTGATTAGCCCCAAAATATCACTGTGTTGACGCAGAGAGATCGAATAGAACTAATAACCTCACCAGCAGCAATTTATTCGCCAACCTCATGGAGCATGTTGAAAAATAAATCAGCTAAATCCTCGTAGCTGCTTGAGAAAACCGCATCAAACTTGATATTGTTGGATTTGTAATTATAATCAATACCCGATGATGGAATGAAATACGAGGTTTTATATTTGATCATAAGTGATGCATATCCGTTCCGCTACAGAGTCTTAACTCTGGAAAATGATTATTACAGAAAATAGTATCCCTCACCATATTAAAATCAACCTATCAGAGCGGTTTGCCATAACATTTATGTGTTAAGGTATGCTTCATGGAACCTTTGGCACGATAATACACTACACTGTTTCACAACTTACCAAACCGATTTTTTAAACGCCTCGAAACGTGTTTCGCTTACTATGTTACAATCTTCAGGAGAAAATTAAAACTAAATATCCTATTCTATTGTGCTGCTTATAAACAAGGTATGTGTTCACCCAACCGTGATAAATACTAACCGTCAAGTTAATGTTTGTCATGGTTGAGTTCACATGTTAATCTTAATTTCTATATCACTAAACTATATAGAGTGCTATATGGAATAGGTCCATTATCCTTATTCATTACTTTATTACTATTCTCAAATATCTCTAAGCTTCCATTGGTGTCTAATTTTCTAATATTATTAACTTGCTCGACTAATTTGAGGTCAGTAATATGTGTGTTATGATTGTGATTGAACATATGTTCGGCTACACAAGATTTATCTAACCTGATATTTCAAATGGGCTATGTGTTCTTTGAACCTTGTATTTATGGGTCGCCTGGTTTGGCCTATATATGTTTTATCAGAATCATCACAACTTTTTTCGTATATTCCCGACTTTTCAAGTGTGTCCACTTCATCTTTCGGATTGCCTAATAAATTGCCTAATTTTGACCCAGACTGATGAACGCTTTCAAAACCTAAGTCTTTAACAACTAGGGAAAAACCCTAAGTCTTTGTCTTGTGTAGCTGAACATATGTTCAATCACAATCATAACACACATATGACCAACCTCGAATTAGTTAAGCAAGTTAATAATATTAGAAAATCAGACGAATATGAAAGCTTAGAGATATTTGAGAATAGTATTAGAGTAATGAATAAGGATAATGGACCTATTCCATATAGCCCTCTATATTGTTTAGTAATATAAAAATTAAGATTAACATGTGAACTCAGCCATGAAAAACATTAACTTGACGGTTAGTATTTTTGTCGGTTGGGTGAACATAAATGAGCAGCACACTAGAGCATAGAATATTTAGTTCTAATCTTCTCTTGAAGATGCTAACATAGTTGGTGAAACACCTGTCGAGGCGTTTAACATTAATTTGATCGTTGATTCGGAATGAACTCAAGATATCGTATAGGTAAAGGAACTTATTGAGAACGGACTGGATTGAATTTTTCGTGAATTATATTTGCTTACTTATAAATTTGAATTCATGACGATACAATACAACAAACAATAATTCTTCGTGATGAACTCAACAAAAGAAATTAATTCGAAAAAAAACTTCTACTAGTAGTCAGTCAGTTATGCTAACAATAACATGAAAAAGACTCATTCTATCCCTGATACCAATTCACTCTCCATTTTTTTAAGTTGTGAGAGTGATTCATAAAATATTACTATGAGTAATCAAAGAAAATTACAAAAACTAATCACTGTTTATGTCAGTAACGGAGAGATTTTGGACATTTGTATTTGCATTCTGTAAGATCTCTTTCAACGCCTATGAATGTGAAAGATAAAGTATGAAATTGAAATGTTGTATGATCTCTTTCAATGAATGTGACGTGACAGCGATGTCATGTCAGGGACGCCCATACACGAAACCAAAGTCACTAGATGATTAAAAGAGAAAGGAGCTATGATCTGTCGTCCGTACCCTGTTAAATGACAAATACGTCAGTTTATATCAAGGGACCCTATAGCATTCAGGTGAGATGTTTATAAGGCATCTTACATTCAGGAAAGGAACACTTGCATCAGTTTTCATTTATATTAATCGATGCATAGATTTCGGGAGGATGTATTTCAATGTTGTGCGAGGTATGCCAGGAAAGAAGTTGTTTTTTCTCTAGTCATCTACCATTGTTGTTAATTTTATGAACTTTTGTGGAAATGACTCCGGGCTTTGTATCTATCTATTTAATATTTCATTCCACTCTGAGAATTTTTGGCTTTTCGTCATTGAGAAAATTACCTTGCATATTTCCTGATGGCAGCTTCGGTGGCAATCGGCGTCTCATTCAGTAGATATTTTTTCACTCCAATCCACATATCTACAGCCCCCTGATGAGCTACCTTGGAATGAATCGATTGTCCCGTAGACAAGTACGTGAATGAAGATTTATCAGAATTCATCAGAATTTTTTGAAGTGCCTCATAATTCTCAGATCTGATACGGAAAGTGATGGCATTGAATCTCACGAGGGAAATGCTGGCAATGTAGGTTTTCCTGTAGATTTTGGTTATCCTGAAAATATAATAGAACACCTGTCATGATGTAACTTCTAAACTATCATAACAATCAATCATAAGCACATTGGTCTGGAATTTCCTCACTGAGAACAGTTCAGAACCAAGGTTATTTGTATCTAGGAAATAATTTCAAATAATAAAAATCAAGAGAAATATAAACCTTTATAGTTCACACGAAATTGATCGTTGAGGAAAACTATTAACAATCAATTTGTTTGAACGATTGTAGAATAGGCAACCAAACATACACCGCGTCATTTCACTATTGGGAGTATAACTTACGGAACTTGCATTCAAATTTCATCGAAGATTTTACGGTGATGGATTGGTTGTTCAACGTTTCTGAACCAATTACGGACCTTGGTTTTTTGACACAATTGTTATTTATATGCGAGTTTATATGTCTAGGCCGCAAAATACCTTTTCGGGGTGTCAAAAGAAAATTTATCACCAAGGCCGTTTGTAGTCGCCAATATTAAAAACTATTGAACTATATGATCATAAATACATAAATATTATCGCTTCAGAATCAACAGCAATTACATGTTTGAATGTATAACAAAAAAATTCGACAGTTCCTAACAACACGAAAATATATGATCTGACACTGACTATGACCCTAGCAAGGTGTTAGTAGGTCAGAAATGTCGAATTCGAAAGTGACGTTTGGTTTGGCGTCCGTTGCTATGGGTATCAACTACAAAGTTGAATATCAATTTCAACAAATTGTTAGTAGTTTCCGGATGAATACTGAATTCGCGAACCAAATTTTCTTTATTGCAGGATAGTCGACGGAAAATTTTGTATCCAACTCGTAATACAAGGAGAATAATAATCGAGATAATTCAACGTGCGAGCAAAGTGGGCGAGTTAATGTTAATGCACCAAGTTGAATAAATAAGTGTTTTTCTCTCAGTTTTCAGTACTTGAAATATACGTGTAGTGTCCCTAACAAAAAGGTTCATGAGTCATGATTCTTCTTCAAAACATTTCGAGTACAAACCTAGTACCTTTGAAAATGCGTCGTACTTTTCCACCAAATTTTTACCAGTGCTAGTATAAATACTTGATGATCTTTGAAGTGACGAATATCTTATCATTCGGAGGTTTTTGATGATATAAGAAGAATCTGACTTTTTGCATTTAGTTTACTGAAGATATGAAAAATCAGAGCTTTCAATCACACATCATATGGATGGATGAATGAAAATTTATCAAGAAGGCGAAATAATAATTATAATTGATAGTAGAACCATATATTTTTGGGCGGAACGACAGAATTCTCGTCCTGTCAGAATTGCTTATAGAGCAAGATTCCATGAACACCAGACCTTCGTTATTTTATAAAATCTGAAAGTTTCTCAGCGCATGCTCCCAAAACAGGTGAGAACGATGGGCAAATATGGTGTTTAGATCATGTTGCCTTTGGGAGGTTACAGGGAGCAAAGGTGCTGAAAATACCAACCACGTCACTTATTTCTGGACACGTTACCATGGTGCCTACCCCTTTCCTTGCCAGACACTCTCAAACTCTGAATTGAAACTAAACTTTTGTATAAAAGCTGAATTCTATACGTGTTACTTGGGTAACACCGACAGACATACAGTGCTTTCGTAAAGTACTGAATAAAATGATTTTCAGGCAAACTATCAATTTCTGAAGAATCTCTTGGAATATGTCGACTTCAAATTAAAATTTTCCACATCAATACGGGAAAATTGAATATACAGAGTGAACGACGTTGGAATCATCATGTCCGCGTCAATTATTTCAAATGGAACACCCTATATATTATTCGATTTGTGTAATCTCCATGGAAAGCTGAATTGCAACATATATCACACATTTGTATACAGTGAGTCCGTCACATCAAGGATTTTTAGCCAAACTATCAATTTCTGAGGAATCTGCTGAAACTTGTCGGATTTTATTTTTATTAACCTCCCAAAGGCACTATGACCTGAATTTCATATTTTCTCATCGTTCTAACCTGTGTTGCATGTACTGAAAAACTTACTACAAAATAACGAAGGTCTGGCGTTCATGGGATCTTGGTCTATTATTTTCTAGATAGATTCGAATTGTACAAGATCGCTGGATTGGGACTAATAGCCCATGGAAGTATCCTCTGAAATCACCAGGTCTAACCCCACTGGAACTTTATCTATGGGGCCATATTAAAATCCAAATCTACGATCGGCCAGGTGAAGATCTCGAACGGAAAGTGGAAACAGTTTCAGGAATTTAGATATTGATCAAATTATATAAGCGTTGACTGCAGAAGTGGATAGAAGGATCGTGCAGTGTTTAAATATGGTTACATCGTCAAAAACACTAACGCTGATGATACAAGATGTCTTTGGATTGTGATTGATCAAACTATGAGGAAATGTCGAGAGAGAAATAATGTTGAAAAACGATTTCCACCGGCATGCAAACTTGCTCGATGTTCGCCAAGATTTGGGAATTCCAGAACCGTGTTTGGGCGACAGTGCGACCTCCTAGTTGATGCGGCCCCTATGACCGATTTTCATCTCCACGGCTCGTGCTTTATTGAAATGTATAGCTAGTACCACTTGTATGGGATTGCAACAGGTAACTGAGAACTTTGGCAGACCGGAATTGCTAATCTGGGTGCCCGGACATCAGGGGATCGCTGGCAATGAGAGAGCTGACGAACTTGCAAGAAGAGAGTCGGATAACGAGCCAGATCCAGGACAGACTCTTGGAATACCAGAACGTACAGCACGAGTGTCAGTTAAAGGCAGAACATAAAAGATACTGAAAAAATATACCAAGAAACAGACGTGGGAAACAATACATTAAGGAACCAAGTCATAAACGAACTGAAGACCTGCTCAACTTGAACAGAGTACAGATAAAAACTGTCGCGGGACTCATGACTTGCCATGCACTAGTAAAGGAACACCTCATCAGAATGGGACTGTATGATGGCGACCCAAACTGCAGACTATGCGGAAAGGAACCAGAAACACTATCAGATATACTGTGCAGATGCGAGGCATTGGATCGCAAAAGATAGTATTCAACTCACATCCATGAAGGATTTATACAGACTTGTTCAAGGTACAGAGATTATGGAGTGGGTACAATAAAGCTACTAGGTAAGATACAATGGGCCACTAGGCCTAAGGCCCTCCGCACACGGGTCGATCGGCGACATGGGCGACGCGATTCGAGTCGTACGACGGTCTCCCCTCTACTCGACTTCCTAAGCAAAGCATCTGGATCCCGCACACGGGTCGTTTAGTGGTCGTCTAGAAACGTACGATTTAAGATCTCCTCGTTTTCAGTCTCACGCGATTAGCAAGGAAGCAGTTTGATCGAGTGAATCTTGCGTCTCAATGGAGAAAGTTGTTCAATATTTTTTCAATCATTGTGAATATTTGTGTTACCTACCTTAGTTCTTTACTTTCAGTATCTAGAACATATAATCTTATGTTTCCAATTTATACTCTCAACTGTAGGAACTGATGTTTGATTTTTTGAAATATTATATGAATCTTACATCAATGTTATTAGTATGTGTTCTTCTGCGCTGATACATTCCCTCATATTTGAATCCATATAATTTATGCGAATTTATGGCTGGAGCAAAAGATTTTCCACTGAATCAATATATATGATTCCTTCGACATTCTATGAAATGCCAAAAATTTTGTGTCACTCTCTTGCATTTCACTTGCAGTAACAAAAAGTCGAGTGTGTAAATTTCGTGCAATGTACGGATGCACCCATAAACTTCGTTGTCTTCTTGTTCTCCTGATCTGCCGGTGCCACAAAAACATGAATATGTCCTCCTCGCCATTGGAACTGCTCATTTTTAGCGAAACATTTCTTTTTGAAGTTGCAAAAAACAGAGTAACTAAGTTGATCAGACGCGAGTCGACTACACAAAACGTCGACCCATATGCGGATGACACACACTCCCGTCTCTTGAATCGTACGAATGCAGAAATTGTGACGTCATTGCAATCGCGTCGCCCATGTCGCCGATCGACCCTTGTGCGGAGGGCCTAAGTGTCGTCGAAGACATCGGTCGGACGAGCCTAAAAGCGAGGTGGAATGTTTAGTGGGTGGCTATAGAGTCAGGGGAATAACGCATTGCCGGTTTACATAACCAGACCGTAACATTTGGACAAGTTCCTATTACAAAAAAATGATCCCTCTTGGTAGTCCCGATCTCCCTTATTATCCTGTTTACCTATGATATCGACATTTGAGGTGGATTATGCACACAGCTTCTTCACTAATCTGTTGCTTTCATTAACTGCCATCCAGTTTATTTTTATTTAGGGACTATAATACCTCAATGCACCACCTTCTTTTGAATTAGACTTTTCTTCTCGATCAAAAGCGTACTTAGCTTGATGATGTTTTATAACATTCAGTGATCACATAATTACAATAAGAACATAAGACTAGAATTCCCAGAATATCCAACCACATTTCGTAAAAAGAAGAAATAGAAATTGTTTGTCTGACTTCTGACAGAATCGCGCCTGCGTGTGGAGATAACAATTGGTCATCTCTTAGCAAATAGTTAATAGAAGATACGATGGGCTTATTATATAATTCGATAGAACTCACCCAAACTAGCTCACCACCGCAAACCGTTTCTTGCTGTGAGCTCCCTATGTTTTATGAAAAATTATTGAAATCCCCAATTTCTCGGACCTCTGAAAACGAGGCGATGATGTGATGTCAAAACCCTAATACTGAAACAAGACTATTCCAGACAAAGATGAATGATACATGATTTCTGACAGAGTGAATTAGCGCGAGATCACAGTTGAAAGAATTAATATATCAGTTGCCTCAGTCTCCGTCGGGCGTTTGGTATTTTCTTTCAACAATGGCGAAATGAGGTTTCTACGTCATAAGAGGGGCCGTTTTCAGAAGGTACCATTATTTATGTCCAAAAATAAAACATTCCAGTTAATTTTTCGATCGAATTATGTCGTCAATCATTATTTATGTATGATAGGATCATTATAAACATGGTTTGAGTTAAAAGTTCTACTAAGGTGTACACGCCCATTCAATTTAGGTGCATACACGAATGAACGGAAATATCAAGTTTCAACTTATCAGTGAAATCGTTAATGATTGTGAAATTACAGATTCATGAAAAAGCGGTGTGCATAAATCAGCCTTTCCTATATACAATCTTTAGTGGCAATTGGACAATTTAGATACCGAAAGCCACCTCCGTTGATTTCGGTACAATAGACAAATTGGGGGTTCAGTTAACTCTCCTTGAAGAAGAAAATGAAAATTTGCTGAAGCTCGACTTAGCGATGAAGAAGTTCATGTTTCTGAATTCCAAGTGACTGAATCTCTGATAATCTTATTGTATCAGAATATACTGTAGCACCCTGTATGTGAATTGCTTCGCATTGGAAATAGTCTCTTGAAACTTAATCATTTTCTTATACAGACGACTTGGTGATGGGATTGTTTGTTCCGAGCAATGGGACCTTATCATATCCATACATGTTATTGTGGCTCGGATCAAGTCGCAAAGAGCGCCGAACTCCTGAGCAAGATTTAGTACCGTGAGATCGAAAATATAAAAGAATGATTATCAGTTAATTTTTTATCATGAGGTGCTGATGCTGAGAAAGGATGGGAATAAGATAAAGTTGTAGGTTTTCTCAGGCAGGCTGTCTTTCTGAGATATAAGCAAAATTCATAGCGGCCATAATCATAATGGGCGGCACCTAAGACGAAAATTTAATTCTGGACAAATGGGAATGAAGATCGCGACAAAAAATTGAAGACGAAGACCACCGGATTGGCGAGCATAGAATGGGAATGGGATTTTTTATGTTTTGGTGGAGACTGAAGAGGGAATGGGATTTTGCGGGACGAGCGAAGAAGAGTCAGCGACAGGTCGCGTTCGAAAAAGGGTTCGTGAGGGTAGGCTCGCGACGGGTGGCAGATATTCGGGGAAACTTTAGGTCACGGTCGTACGAGGGAGGACTAGCGAGTCCTAGGGAATTAGTTGTCAGTTTGGGAGGATAAATAGAGTATTCAGAAACGCGCAGTGACCGAATCTTAATATTTTTGTGGACTTTGTAGAAACGGGAGTTCGATATGGTGGTTTAAGTGAGAACTTTGCGAATCTTATTGTTCACCCGGAGAGGCGAGAGGTGATCGCCTGTAGCGGCTCACAACAAATTGGAAAATCAGCTCACGGAAAGCTCAAAGAGTAAGGAAATCAATTATTTTTTGTTAACGTCACTAACGATAACTTTTTGAGTTCATTTTGGGAGGAGAATGTTGTTAGCTTTGAAGTAGCGTATGATCATACAAGGTACTACATAGCCCCTATTCCCGTTAGATAAGCCCTTCATCAAATTAGATAGTTGTTCGTTTCTTAATTCGAATGATTTTATTTGATATCCTTACAATTCTCTAGTTTAGTTCGATTCTTCAACTTCATTGAATAGTATACATTAATTTGTTTTTAAGGAAATTTCCAAACAGTTTGTGTCATTTTATTTCATTCATTTTTTTATTTAGATTTAATAAACAGCTTAACTTGAAAACAGTTTCTTTTACTTCCATTGTGGAATCTTCAATATGCCCTTATCTCATGCTAAAGACCTACCCTCTGGCGTAGGCCGAACTTAGGCCCCATTTCGGCATCAGGCCGCCGCCTACAGCATTTCAAGAAATAAAACACACATAGGGTGATGTTACAATACTACAGTCAATAAACAATTCAATTCATGAATTTCATCATCAGTAATGATTGGCAACACATTTATTGACTCTCCTACAGTGATCATACAGTTTGTGAAGCAAATTTACCTAGGTTTGTTTCCAGATAATAGCAGCAATGCATCAATCATTAGTCCAGGCAGAACATGGAGGAGTAGAGTAAGAAAGTAGAAAACTGTTGGATTTCTCACTATGAGTATATCTGTCATGGTCATCACATAACTGTCTGGAGGATTTTTAACAGCTATAGTTTTTCCCATCTCGTGAAAGTGAGAAAGTGGCATCTTGAACTCATTTGCTAGGTTGTAAATCTCAACTGAACACGGATTCACCCTAAAAGATAAATTGGAAAATCAGTATATTAAGAATAAAAGGTCTTTAAAACACGTGCTATTTTTAGAGTGCTCTAAAGAGAGGAAATATTCTGAAAACCAGTTATCCAAGAATACTATATGCTATTTTATTTATTGTTACACTTTGACATCATAAATACAAATATTACCGTTGCATGGAATGGAAATAACAACTAATCATGTAAAATGATCGAATTCGTGATTTGACATCAGTATACTTCTCGTTGTCATGGTTATCAGAATGATAATCAATTAGTTAGTGATATTTCATTTGACGTTTCATGGTAGGTTCTCTTGTCAGATCATGAATTGAAACGTTGACACATAATATTATATTACGTAATATGTGTTGTAACAAGCATATTACGCACGAATGGAAAAGTCATTCCATGGGTGCGTAATTGCTTCACAACACGCATTACGTACTATACTTCAACTACTGCCATATAGTACATCAAACAGGTTTTGACAAACAGTCTGAATTATAATTCTTGACAGTTATGTCATCTGCTGTTGACGGCGATTACGCGATCATGACATACCTATACTGGTGGAATAAACGAAAATTGTGCGATGTGCTTACTGTGCGTGAAGATCTACTTACTGAGGCTGTATCTTGTGTGTTCTTGCCTACTTTCTTTAGTGGCCGTAGGTAAATGTATGAATGAACGATATGGATATTCTCTGTTTCCATAGCGCAAAAGGAAGCCATTTTTTGAAGATGAATGACTATCTATGAGCATAAGGCGCATGCACAAATGCGTAGAAATGACAAACACATCTTCGTGAAATCTAGCCTATTGATTTCGGACATGACATTTCTGGATATTTATGCACGAAGATGATATCCTATTCCAGTCTTTCGGTATACCATAATAGTAGATTGTTTTATTAGGATCAAAAGTGACACTTTGTTTGACAAGCGAATTTTGCATTTGCGAGGCGGAGCGTTTAGCGAAGCCGAGCGAAAGCAAAATTTGCGAGTCGAACAAAGTCACTTTTGATCCGAATGAAACATGCTATTTTTTCTGCAACCGAAACAATTAACTCAAATGAACATGTGAAGTAACCACCAATGCCGTGCCATATGTATGCAATGCAACAAATATTGACGAATAATCCATGTAGTGAGAATATTCTACCTGCATTAACAGCAGGTTAGGTTTTCTAGGATGTTCGAATTGTAGTTTCAATATAAATACAACCACAGAGTGACATATTTGTGTATGGACCAGGTGCTCTAATGGCAAATACCGCGCCAGTGCCAGCTATAGGAACAGGACGTGGAAAATGTTAGGTTAGTGAACATATCAACAATGATAATAGTGATTATTTATTCCTCTCCATACTACACTGTGTTTGACTTGATAATCAAATGAAGCTAAACAACATCGTTGTTTGAGACAAAAAACCGATTGCTTGCCGTGATTATTCAAAAACAAGTTATCCATCCCGAGAATAACGAATGAAATACAGATCAAGCAAGTATTTGAATCTTGAAGGCTTCCCTGATGAAAACAAAAATACTTAACTGAGATGTTTATAATTAATTCCTATACCAAACTTTTATAATAAGGTGTATTTATATCTCCAGCATGGCTATGAAATGCTAAATCTGCTGAAATCGGAAACAAATCAGGTATGCGTCTCAACCCAAATAACCAATCGTCACAATGTTGTTCATTCTCGATGACGTCCAGTACATCCTTTTTAGTTCCTAGGAGCTAAAGTTCAACTTTAGCTCCTAGGAACTAAAATTCAACTTTAGCTCCTAGGAACTAAATATGTTGCCTAGCAACATACCTATTTTTGTGTCAGTAATAGAAACGTCAATTTAAGAGCTAATTTTGGTATCAAAATGGAATACTTTTGTGTCGGTTGCAGAAAAAATATGTTTATTTTATTTGAAGCAAGAATTCATTGAAAATGATGTAATCAGAGGGTGTTTTCCTTTGTTAATACTCATGTATATACTGCAATATAACAACATTTTCAAATGGGCTAGGATGACTTTATCATGTTGAACATGTGATGATCAAGTTAGTGTAATTCTCAAGTAGTTCAGACAGGGATGTAAAGGTCGATTTATGCAGCACAATTGAAATCAAACTTCAACTTTAGCTACTTGACGAGTATAAGAATTTATTTTTCATTTTGATGATATTTTATGAAGTACAATTAACAGAAACTACCCATGTGTATTCAGAGTATGAAAGCAAGGAAGAATAGGTGTAGCCTTGGCAAATGAGACCAATCAATGGCAATCCTTGTTTTCCATTTTAATAAAAAGACTTCACATGGAAATAATTTTGGCAGAAAGCAGGTGAAAATCCAGAAAACAATTGATAATAATTTGAAGGTTATAAGATTCGACGCTAAGAGTTGCGCAGTATTCTCAAAAATTAACATTTACGAATGTTGATTGATAGTCAATTTGATAGTTCAAGTTCAGCTTCATTTTCTCTGCTCTGCATAAAATCAACCATGTCTAGTTAGAGTTGAAGTGTAAATGTAAGTTGAAGTTGAGTGTGAATTTCTGCTGCATGAATCCATCTTAATTTAGATGGAAAATATACTCTGAAAATTCATAAAATCCATCAAACTCCTAGCTGCTACTAAACATGTTCGCGAGTCCGCGAAACTTGAACAAAAACAACAGAAAACGATAAAACACAATCATACTCCTTTGATTCAAAAGCTGGTAATACATTCCTTTGTCTACGAAAACGCATGTCTGTGATGATTACTATATATTTGCACATTCGCATCATGCTACCAAATCCTTATGGTTAATTATTTGTTTCATATTTTTAGCTTTAACCTTGCACCCGTTGTTATGGATAATATTGTTAATTGATACGTATATGCGTTGACATTTAGATTTCAAGTATCCCGGGTCGTTGATGTTGCCGTGGTAACTTCAAGAAACGCGCGTATTTGGAGGTTGGATTGAAACACTAAGGCGCCTTTCAAATAAGCAGAATAGGGTTCCCACTCCGCACATCTAGACTTTACAATTTTCAAAGCGATTCAACCCATCTCGATATCATTTTTATACTACCTGTAATATTTCCGCACTCGTTATAGTATATCCAATATCAATTGCAGAATATCCAGCACTGTGCGGCATCGGCGTGTTTGGAGTTTCTTTTGAAGTGACTGAAGTGAAGTGAAGGTGCGACACGAGACGAGCCATTGTTTTTGGATAAACTATAACTACATAACTATAAACCGTTACCCCACCAGAATGCCAGAATCTAATTCATTGCTTTCATGCCAGACTCTCGAATCCTTCACAATACTGACGAGAAGAATGATTGAGATTTTGCACTTTCCTGTCCAGTAATTTGCACAAAATCTCGGCATTTGATATGCTATCCGATACCAATTGTATGGTATATCTCAAAATCCTATCGTGCCGCGTTTCAAATTGATGTGAGCAGTGTCAATGTTTCAGAGGATATTTCATCCCTATCGAATGATAATATCCGATGGACCACATGAATTTTGTACTGGTCATTCGTCGGAAGTCTAGTAAAAATCATAATCTCAACAGCTTCAACGAAATTTTGCACATTTTATGAAAATAACTCAGAATACTCCACAAAATCATAACATGTCATTTATATCTCCAAATTGTTGAAACTTACATAGTTGATTTTTTCCAAGCTGCTATTGCTAACCCTTTGGCTACATTGTCCACAAACACATTGTTGTGCACAGTACTAGTGTCACCTAGTAATATTCTCAATAAACCTGTAACAATTTATTCAGAATAAAGTATTACAATCAAAAATTTTGTCACTTCCAGATGGATTATTTTGATGAATTGTAATGTCAGAGATTGAGATAGCGAATTGATACACGAAATGTCAATATTTCTCAACATATCTGAGACTTTAGGCTTGTGAAAAATTTCTTGCAATTCAATATATCTGATCATAAATAATATTTGCATTATACAAAGAGTCAGAACCTTGTTGATCAGGATAGTTCACTAATATGAATGAAACATGGTGTCTTGATACGGACTAATTGTTTTCTTAAGTATAAGTGTAGTTTCAGGTATACTGCAGTTTGTCATACTACCTATAAGTTTTGGTTTTATGTTTATTTTCTTTTTCAGAACAAATATGAGTTATCACCTCATTATAGTGATTCATGAGTCGCGAAATATTTATTATTTGTTTACTATAAGGACGAAAAACTGTATATCATAGTCGAGCCTGCAAATTGATAGCCTAGGCCAAGCCGATCAAATCTAAGTTCTTCTTGTGATATTCATGTATTGCTACAACATAATCAGAAACCGATTTTTATTATCCAAAATCAGTGAGTGTGTGGCCTCTGTTGTCAACCTTCAGAACCTGTGTGAAGGTGAACAACAAACCAGTTTAGCGCATTGTCAGCATTGAATTTCTAATTTCATTCGAATTCTTTGTAATCTTCCTAGTATACCAAACCAATGAGATCACTACATACACTGTATAATGCTGCCATAGCCTACTTGCCCAATCTCAACTTTTGATTCACTATAGACTGATATTTAATCGGAACAGATACAGGGTGGATCAAGATTCAGAATTATGATCACCCTGTATCTGCTCCGATTCAATATCAGTAAATGGTGATTCAAAAGTTGAGATAGGGACATGTGAGTCGTTTTGGCCGATAATGAATAGTCTCGAGACAACCAAAAAGTAAAGTTGAGAAATCTCGATTTTGAACAACCTATATCTCTGTACATCTACCCCGAGTTTGATATATCGATGAAATCAATAAAATACAGGGTATTCTATTAGAAATAACAAAGTTGTTGCTGATTTTTGTTAGAAGCGGCAACACTGCATTGCTGAAAATATTCCAAATGAAGAGATAGTATATTTTAAAATTTTAGCATGCATATTTCCATGGATTTCTCCCGACTGATTCTCGATATAGAGATAGTGTAAGCTCGTCATATTTTCTCGATATTGATTCATCCTTCATCCTGGCACAGAACAAATAGTGTATTATACACGGAAAATATGTTGAATTTTAGCTCATCACGGTTTTTTTGTATCCCTCCGCTACGCGTCGGGAGACAACACAACCTCGAGCTGAAATCTACTCCTTTTTTTCCTTCTATAATGAGTAATTATCATTCAATATCATTATGGTTGCAGTCATTATCATAATTAACATTATTTCGACAGTATTTGAAACTTTGATGACACCATGGATGAGTTTAGTAATGATGAGTATGCATATATGTATGGACTCTTAAGGTCAATAACTCCGAAATTAGATGCGGTAGAAATTTTTTTTTATAAAGTACTAAAATTATTTTGGCTAACTCTATCAGCATCATTAACGACATTTTTTTGACACCCTGTATTTGAATACCTACTATCAGCATTTTCTTCAAATATCAATTTTCGACAAGCATTTCGAAGATTAAGAATATTTTTATATCTAGATGAATAACTTACCTTTAACACCAATTATATTCAAGGCTACGGGTCCGTTGAAGTTATCTACCCAACCTGCTATAGGTTCACAGATTGTTGGTGTAACTGAAAAATGTTATAATGAATTTACGGAATCATTATTAGGCAAAGCTTGGTGAAAAATAGTTATTTGTTTTACTAGGCAGAAAAGTAGTAGATTGACTGCCGTGTGAAACAGATTTTTTTTCTCGAAATGATATAAAACCAATTTTGTGTATTTTTTTAATTGAAAACTCCATTATTTTGTGTTCACCCAATGTTAGTGTCAATTTTGATTACTCATTTCATTAAAATTTCTTGGAACGTTGCATAGCGACAAACTTTTTCTGCCTAGGCAGTAAAAGTACACCTTTCCTGCCTGTTAAGCGGCAGGAAAAAGCCACCATCCTTGCCGCTTGGAGAAAAAAGTTATTTTAGGATGGTAGTTTATAGCCGTCGTACAATTACCTACCAAACAACACATCTGCAAGCGCGTGGAAAAGTGTATTTCTCGAACTCATTCTGATTTTGGAATAAGACGCATACTTTTCCACACATGGTAACCGGTCTCCCGATCTTAGAAAACAAGAAACGTTTGAAGAGATAATTTGGAGAGCTCTAAAATTCTGTTAGAAAATTGATTATAACCCTAATATAGCACGCAACCTCCTAGGGACGTTCCTTTTTGGAACATTCAAGTCCGAATGTCCCGGAACTGTACGTCTCATGCAATGTACGAGCATGGATTTCCATGGAATGTCCGAGCTGGTACATCATATCAAATATCCTAGAAATAGTATATTCTAGACGTTCCACGAGGAACATATAGTAGACTGTCCATACAAGACGTCCTGAGCATGTCCCTGAGGGAATTTAATTTGGAACGTTCCTTTAGGAACATCCATTGGATGTCCTAAGTACTACACTTTCTGGAATGACTTCAGTTCTTATATAATGTCCCTTCTAGAACAATCATCGAATATTCCAGACGGTACATCTCTTCAAATATCTTTGTACGGACGCCCTCAATATTTCCAGGATCGTATAACACTTGAAATGTTCCTAAAGGACATCCGTCGTATGTCCGAATTGGTACATGAACTGTTATGACTTCGGAAGGAACCTCTATAGATAATCCATATGTTCATCTATGTAATGAGTAGGTACAAGAAAATTCTTCGATGGATATCATTTCATAAGACATCATGGGTAAAACGTCTTATAGACGTCGCAAAGACGTCATCAGAATGTCCTGGATATGCATTCTATGTATTTTTGATTCTCTACGGTTATTAGTTAAAAAAAATTCTTCCACCTTCATGACTATTTAATTTCTCATTAGGCTGATGCTGGACATAAGTATGCCCGGAAACATATTTCCTTGATATGTGATTATTCAAAATGTACCCGTGAATTTTCACAATGAATTGTCGTGGAGATGACTTTGTGTATTATTCAGAATTAACCACTGTACTCCACTCTGAGAAACGATGGATTTCTACCAGAGATTAGATTGAATCATGCTGAGAAAGAAAAGACCCGTTATGCCCTCTGAGAAAAGTTATGAGCTCTTGAAGCCAAACGATTTAACCTCTACAGGAACGAAAGAAATTCTTGAGGGGCTCTGATACCTACAGGTTATGAACGTATCTGCGATTTCTGTTGAATGTTTGGGTACTCGTTACTGGTTCGAATTCCTATTTGGAAGCTAAGTGACTTCTCTGCGCATTTTAGTTATCTGAATGAATTTAATTCGACATTCATTCACAATGTAAATGAAAAATAACTATCGTTTCAGCATCATCTTTGGGTGGCTAGAAGTTTTGAGTGGCAACCTGAATATATTTTGGTACCTACATGAGTACTTCTGCCCATGAACCATGGGCATCTCGAGAAATTCACATCCTGCGTGATTTTTGCATTCACTATTGAGCTCGATCACATGATGATTGAAGAAAAGGCTCGTCCCTTGATGGGCACATCCGCCCATTGATGACCCGTCATGGACATTTTTTTTTAAATGAGAGAAATTCAATTCTCGCATGTGTTTCACCTAGATTATCGAGGCTGGACAAAAAGGCTCGAAGAATACCTCACGCTAGATGTGAACGAATTTCTCAAGATGCCCATGTGGGTACGAACATATAGTCAAGTGACCATCTACTGCAGAATTCCTTGCCACCAAAAGATGATGCTGAAATGATGATTATTTTTTCATATACATTGTGATCAACGAGCGCCAAATTCAACCCGTCCAGATAACTTAAATGCGCTGAGAAGTTACAGTAAACTTCCAAAAATAAATTAAAACTAGTCAAGAGTACTGGAACATTAAACAGAAATCAGATTTGTTATGGCTAACAATTATTTTCACACTCACACATACTTTCATAACCTATAGGAACAAAGCACATCTATTATTTTTTTTCTGTTCTGATTTGGCTTCAAGGGCTCATAACTCTTTTAACGGGCATAAAGGGCAAACAGTCCTTGAACCAACATTTCACCGTAGACAAGATTTCAATCTGAATCATGCGGGGTCCTGGGGTCCTCTATCGAAAACATTGACAGGCAATATGCGTTGTGAAATTGATGACAACTACAAGCTCGTTGTTGGTGGAGATGAAGTGAAATATGATAGAACAACGGACGAAACGTTCATGTACCTATATGAATGTTAATATAATAAGTGAAATGTGATTGATTCGAGATTATTCCACTAGTGGATGAATTGATACTTTATACGGTTCATAAGCATGGATGAAACTTCAATCATATGTGATTGTAGAATTGTGGATTATAGTTATGGTGTATGTGAAAAATATACCTATCGATGGTCTCATTATCATGGCAGGCAGCTGATTTTCACATAAATCGAACACTGCTCTCTCAGACAGAGCTTTCGTGAATGTGTACGTATTCGGCAAAGGATGTATGTATTTCTGAGAAAGCACTTGTAGAGTTTCTTCGTCGTAGTTTTCCGCCAACTCTATAGCCTTTCTCCAATCATGTTTCGGGGGGTAAACTTTCTCCTCTATCACATCTTGATCTGCTTGACAGTAGACCGTGGAAACGTAAATGAACGCATCTATGGACTTCATCCGTTTTGCTAAGGTGATGATGTCTCTGGTGCTCCGTGTGTTGGTCAATATGGCGGATTTCAGGAAATCGTCGAATCTCACAGAGGCTGCGTTATGGAAAATTATTGAAACTGTGTTTATGAGAGTGTTCACGTCCTTCTCGCTCAATCCTGAAAAAAGTTAAATTGACATTCTTGTATTTTCCTGATCCTCGTGTGTACCTTAGGGGGATAGTTAGAGGAGGGAGATATTTGATTTTTTTTATCAAATTTCGTAGGTTATGAGATCTTGGGAATACTTCCTTAGGCAATGAATTCCAGAGCTCCACCGTTATATCGACAAAATGAGTTCTGATGATGTGCCGTTCGACATATTTCGAGGTCGACAACGAAAGGATGTGCTGACTGGGCTTGTCAAGGTCAACAGAATGGTATTGCTAGTGATGGAAATTTTCGAAGAATGTTTCCAGTGAAAGTGTCTATAGAAAAGTGGAAGGCTGCCGACTTTTCCACGGTGTTTCCATGATGTCAAAGAGTAAGTGAGTGTGGAATAACCCACCAGGCGAATGGTTCTCGTCTGGATGGAATCTAAGAGCATCCGCGTATGTAGAATCAATCAAATTAGAATCGATCCTACTCTGAACTAGTGAGATAACTTGATATTCATTGATGAAGTAGATGTAATCAATATAGTATTTTCAATTCTTTAAGTTTATACGTGACATGATTAGTAATCAAGTAGGTTGTAGCACGTTGTAGGTTTGATCAGCAGCGACGAAATTCTGTCTATTTCTCAATTATACATCCAAACATAAGTTCATAAAACAATCTAACTGAACGAATTCTGTATACTGTTTAATGAACCTCAAATTCAGGTGACATGACTTTAATATCTATGTCATAGCAAGCCACAATCCAGGGTATAGGAAAACAAGCACGAGTGAGTTTTGAACTGTCTTGCTCAGTTAGAATATCCAAAGCAGTAATGAATCGGTTGTAACGGCAACGTTGTTCATCTCACTGAATAGTGGATTATCGATTTTTCCCGATCACCAATAGACGGTCAACGCGTTATAGAACTTGTGACGTCAGTACCGCTGACGATTTTTCGTCGTGTTCTAACGAGAGCATTTCTTCGACAATTCATTTTGAGAAATCTAGAAAGAATAAAAAATGTAAGAAAATCCTTTATGCATTTTCTCATCTTGATGAACGTCATAATATTTTTACTAAAAATTAGTATTCTTAGATAAACATGCATGATGTTTACCAAATGGTCTGAGTTCGGAGTCGAATATAAAATATCATGAGCCACACATTATATCTCGAAAACTAGGAGGTGTAGGATGACTATAGACTTGTTCCAATACCAAAGTTATCATGAAAAACTAAGTAGGTAGGTACTGCTACTATGCATGCCAGGAACGAAAGAGAAGTAGCAAGAGAAATAAGAAGATATTCTTGATTTCAAAAAATGTAACGAATTCCTTTGATCTGACCTCTTCAGTTATAAACTTCTCGATAATTTGAGCATCGAAAAAATTCTTCAAAAATTCACTCACCCAAATTCAATTCGCTGACATCTCCCTGGATTCCTAGGACTTTGTCGATTGCTTTGACGTTTTCACTCTTCAGTTTCTCGAATAACTACAAAAAAGTATCACAAGAATGTGAAATAATCAATGACTATAACATACCGAATTGAAAATCATTCATTTTGTATTCTACATGTTCTACTCCTTGAAATGAAGCTGTTTGAATATTATTCGATTGAAACCGTAATTTTCCTTTTTCCAATTCACCTACCTAGTTCATATTCATTTGCAACAAAAACACATTATCAGGAAAATAGAGGTCAATTCTTTGATGCAATGCTATTATTTATCGAGGAAGCAAAATTATCCATTTCCTCCTGCGTGTGAAGTTCTGTAAATTTGGAATTATGACCAGTATCAACAAACCTGCCTAATACTTTTCAGAATCATCAAATTTAGTGTGGTATGAATGAAGTACCTCAGGTAAGTACGTATCAAAATGATGACTTCCTCTCTGTGCTTTGAGATACTCATTAGTATCATTTATTTACCACCTTGTCATTATCATCTCTTTGTTTGTCTAGAAGAGCGGAAAAACTACTTCCTGTATCAACCCCTCACAGCCGTTTTGGTCACATCCCTGAATGACATGGAATTCTAAATGTGTACCAAGTTTGTTCACTTCAAAATGCATTCTAAATATTGCATATTCATTTGATCGAATAACAATGTACTTCAGTTTTGTTTGGATGCCCTGCCGAGTCAATTATACCTACAGAGTTGATAATGAGTGTGGAACCACCTAGCATATATTTGCATTCCGTTGTTGAAAATTCCAAGGTTTTCCGAAATGCATCGTTTAACTATACCACTTCCGATCATCTCAATTTCATTTCTTTAGGTTGATTCCTATTATCACATTGAGTTCTCATAATGCATAATAATATTCACACATATTCAACTATACAAAAGTGATAAGAATCGTAAAGTTTTCTGCAGAATTAAGGAAACCCACGATTCCTATAAAGTCGGAACTGTGGTATATCCTCGAGAAGGGTTTGTGTCGTATTAAAACCCATTTGCACCATATGGATCCATTGGTAGGAAGCCCTTTTTGATGAGGAAAAATGCTCGAAAAAAACGCGGATTATTTTCCCAATACTTGATAGATCTCATTATTCAGTAAGGTTCTGAGAACCGGATCATTAACTCACTGTGTTGCTATCATAAAGGTTTCAGTGTCAGTAATCGTGCAGATATTTGGCCTATCACGTATGATTGAATAAAATGTGGACGTGGTATTTCTGTAAGTAACATGCTAATTTAGTATACTCTGTAAATTTTTCTTCAGTTGAAATCTCGCATGTGTTCTCTTATAATATAGAACAACATTATAAATCATTCTTGTTTTATATGAAAACATTGGTGTTCCTATATGTAGACTCTAGGCGACTTCATAATCGAAAACATTGTTTTGTGAATTTCGGTCTCAGTGGACTAACGTGACATAAGGCACTCGACATGAGGATGACGATGAGATATCAAGTATTTATATAAAGGGGGTTTATTTTAAAGTCATATCCTGACTGATAACCTGATAACCTGATAACTTCAGCGAAAAGAAACTTTCTGCAAGCGCGGAAGTTGTTTTTTCGAACAGAAGGACTAGGATATCCTTTGGACTGTGGTAGAATGAGATCCATACTGGACAGGAGTGGTGGATTCAGAAAATCCGACATTATACCAGTCGGTGGCAGGAACTAGAGGACAATTCGATGACGAAGCACGAAATGATGTGATGTGATGATGATTATCAACGATAATGAAAGCTGTTTAGAGTCTCCCGAATATGCTTTTCCTGAAGGGGATTAGAAAAAAGGGTAAAAATATAAGCCAATTGTAGTTTCATAAGGAAATAATATCGTACTGGTTATATTTATCTATATTTTCAGTTAGCTTCTACACAAATGATAGTTTCATTGGTTTCAAACTCATCTGAAAAATTTTAAAACGCCAGCAAATGTCCCAGGGAATACATCCAAAAGCCACAGGAAGTGTTTAATGTAATGATGTAACATGTAACGGTCTTTGTCATTATGTAGTAACTGCATTGGAAGGAGAAAGAAGATGTGCTGGGGCCAATTGCACAAGTAAATGCAGAACAGTGTGCTCTGAATGCGATCTAGGATACTGTATTGATAGTATTCTTATATGGACTAGAGTTCAAAAAATCATGATATTTATCATCAGGAACGTGCCTCTATTGGTTCTATTCGCGGTAGCCAAGGTCATCATCTGACGTTGCGATGACATGAAAACTACGGGAAAACATGCCTAACTCCTGGCTCAGATTGAAAGTTACCTCTGTAGTGGGTAATTGAACTCTATCGAGGGCTACCCTAAATTCCTGCAACGGTTTTTCGAGGTTTTATTTCCAAATAATATGACATAAGATTCAGAAGCATTAACAGTTAGACAGTATTTAATAAGAATCGTTATTAGAGATTTCAAATCCTAATTAATTTGTTTGAGTACACAACTGAGAGAGTCTTCTTTCAATTATAAATATAATTGTGTTTCGTCTGCGTAGCAATGCATTGATAAATAGCATAGGTACTTTGAAAATTGGGAGGTATAAAGGACGAATAGAAGGGGACACAATGTTGATCCCTGAGGAATATCATTTTTCAGAATTAATGAGCTAGACTTCTTATTGTTATGTATGACAATATGAGATCGGTTGTGAACATAACTCTGAAGGAGTGATACAGCATCCGAAGTGAACCCTAGGTAGCATAGAATCGCTATAAGTAGCTTGTGATTGATTCGGTCGAATGCTTTCGAGTAGCCAAGCAGCACTAGAAGACAGAGTTCATTATTATTAACAAAAATATGCAAATCATCCACAACCTTCAATGGGGCCGTTGTACAACAACTATTGTCAGCTCTAAATCCTGATTGACAGGATGGCAATATATCGAATTCATTCAAGTAATTTCGCATTTGTGAGTTCAATATTTTTTTCCGAGATAGTGACAATAAGTGAATAGATGTGATATGTGCGTTAGTCCGTTGATGTATGAATATTGACACTAATTGGAAGTTACACTATTAATCATACTCACAGGAAGTTAAACATAGCTCTGACCCTCTCTTGTACACTTTGTCTCTTTTTGGCTTTATCAAAACATATATAGTTTTGATTTCGGAGTATGACCGCAAGAGTTTCTCAATCAATACTTCCCCAATAAATCCACTACCTCCATCAGTTATAAAAATACATACAAACATCAAAAAATGAGAAGGTTCGCGCATTGATGACAAATTGGTAAGTGGCACTTTTATTAGCTTCCTACGTTACCACGACACCATGTGCGAAGCAGTGCGCGAAGTAAAACAATGCGCGAAGTACATACTTCGCGCATTATCATGTGAGCTTCATGATACTTGGTCCGCAATCGAACAAACATCCATGAAATCATTTATTTCTGAATGTTTAACGATATTTTTCTCTTGAAGCGCACGAAAGGAGGATAGGGAGAGGCTACTCTTGAACTATTGACGTTGCTTGTTTGATGCAACTCGTGGTGAGCGAAATACTTTGGTCATTTCGACTATTTTTTCAACTCGGCTCAGCCTTGTTGAAAAAATCAATTATTGATTACCGAAGTATAGCATTTTGCGCACTTGATATATACAAAAAATATATTTACCCTTCTAAAACTCGCGTGTACTTAGTTTTATCTGATCGATCAAAAATTGCATTCTACTTTATAACTAGTGAAGTATGTATGAACTTTTCATTCGTTTCTTTCGTGAAAAATCACAATGCGTTTATGCATATGAACGTCATTGAATTACTAATGAATATACTCTTGGTTTGGTACAATTGGAACTTAGCATAATGTTACTTATAGACAGTGAGTTCTGCGTTCACCAATTGAACTAAGCAGTAGGCAGATACGCATCAGGTATACATAATACATGCCTAGTATCTATCATAGCTCACTGATTTGGATTGGGACATGTTTTATCCGAACCAGCTCAATATACCTAATTCAAGGTCATTTTTGTTATTGTGCTATTCATACGTGGAAATGAGTATTACATTGAAACTGTTTCGTCTTGCTCTTCTTGACTAGAGGATATGAACCTTATCATCATATCATTTTGTATATCATGAACCAACAAAACTCTCGAGAAACATGAAATCAACTGTGTTTTGTTGATAACTGCACTAGTGTAAGATTCATGAGAAGAAAAAAAGGAACTGAGAATGTTTTCACTTTCAATTCCATGAGAAAGCTTCAATTATTACCGGAATTTTACCGAGACGGAGACGGTTTTTAATTGAAGCAAGAGTGATATTCGGTAAGAAAACTCCACACCGGAATTCGAGATAATACTAGGATAAGATTACGCTAAATAAAATGAAAAATACCGACTTTTGTTACGCAAAATAATGATAAGGCAGCTGGTGTTATTTCAAACTATTATTCTTTCTATATTCCACTAGAGTAAGTGGAAATATATATATTTTGTTACACGGAACTTGTAGCAGTATGTAGAATTCATATAATTCATATCCATACAACATTGTTAGGTTGAATTAAACAGAGTTAGTTCACTTTAGTTACACAGAATAATGAAAAATAAGTCGACAGTAGCTCAATTTCTCAGTTTTCACAAATTCATTTCACTAAAGTTGGTAGAAATATATATTTTATCACAAGAAACTCAAGGACTATATTCAGGGTCAATGAAATTTGATCACGTAATATTATTTTCAGTTAACATATTGGCTGCCGTCAGAAAAATCTGGTCCCTGTGTTTCAAATTTTTTTTTTTTACAGGAATTCACATTACTCATTTCATTTGTAGAACACAGAAACATTTTCAAAATTATTATATCTATTATTATTCTTCTGTATTTTTGCAAAAAACAATGTGGCACAGCATTGGTACGGCACAGAGGGTAGAATATGAACCGATTGCGCCGCGAGGTACGAGTACTGTGCCTCAACTATTCCGACAAATCCTTATCAGTCCAAGGGACTATCGTGCATTTGCAAAAGTTGCTTGGCTCTCAGTACAAAGTACCTAGATGCAATTAAATCTATGCCAATGCGAACAAATCCTGACAGAAAAAAAAACGGCGCTAATTGTTGACTATATAATAAGGCATATATAGATATCTCAGATCAACAAAAAGCCTATAATACTTAGGCGCGGTATAAAATTGTATCGGAAACTGGCAGTCGAAATCATTTTGGGAACTACTCTAGTAAACGCTCATGTGGTGTATTCAAAACTGACGCAAGACAAAAAGGCATTACAAAATTCAAAAAAGATATTTTGAAACACATCATCAAAAAACAAGTATCTCTTCAGGAGCCCGAAGCTCAACCAAATTTACAAGATGAGCGACATGAACTAGAGCAAACTGGCAAGCGATTGCGTTGCACAGAGTGCTATGAGAGATTTAGTGCTGAATTTGGACGTAAAGAGGCTCAAAATAAAACCACAAAAATGACTTGGTCTTGCTCTACTTGCAAAAAATCATACTGTGTAAATTGCTTCTTTGTGTAGTGTATTGTATTCAGAATGTAACCTCAATTATTGTAGAACTTGTTTCCATTTAAATGAGTTTCATTTCCATATTTTTCCAGAAATTTATGTATTATTTCAGCATATTACTTCATTTTATTATAAGCTACTCCTGTAGCCTGTAGGCTTGTGCAAGAAGTTTCAATCCATAATACATAATTATGACAGAAAAATCCAAACCAATAGCTATTTGTGTATTTAGAGCGCAAAGTGATAGATTGCCGCTCGACAAAGAAAGTTACTGCGCGATGCGGAGCGGAGCGCGGTAATCTTTGGAGAGCGGCAATAACACTTTGTGCTCGAAATACACACAAGATATTTTCTACTAAGGCAGCTTTTGGAAATAACTGGCCTGATCGTATAAGCGATTGAAATAGTTGATGAAGTTCTTATCCATATTATCCCATATCTCCAAAGGAAACAAGAAGAGAAAAATTGAAATAACTGACAAGCCAGAAAAAAAATGTCGGGCCTACCAAGAATTGAAACTGGACCACCAGCGTGGCAACGTGAGCTTCAGACCTCTGAGCCATAGTACGATAAACTCTGCAATCAAATTGAACATTACTCATTGATGCAATAAAATAAAGATACACTGTCTTTCTGATGGCAACAAAGAGTTTAAATAGGTGAAACATTTCTACCAATTATGAAAAGATTATATAGAGGAGTCAAAAAATTATGAATTGAAGGTAAAGTCCAGTATGTCAATTATAAAATATGTTAGACACACCAATATAGGGTGTAATTTGGAACCATCAAAGTCAACAGGTATCGTATGTACATTCAAATCTGCATCATCCTCTATATAATATTATTTTAAGAATCTCCTAGAATTTCCCAACAACTGTTCTTGATATTTCCGTATATATATATATATATGATATGTTAATGTTTTCGAAATAAACATTGATTTTAATTCTCTTCTTGGAAAATCCTGACCACTGAAATTGCCACGATAACTGACCACATGTACCTATCTCAGAAGCTAGCCAAGAACAGAACCAGACTAAAATCACGAATTGAACCCTTATTTGTCCTCTAAACAGTAAATTCTAATCAACTTTGACGAGAAAAGCATGCTTCACATAGTGGAATATTCCATATAAAGCTGAAAACTAATACTTTTTCCAAATTCTGAAGATTTACTATGAATTTGAATAGCTATAACTCAAAAAGTTTCATACTCATGAAGGTGATTTCCATTTCAAATAGTGGAGAATGTACTGTTCTTCTAAAAAGGAATGAATATTGTTCTTAGACAAAACAGTCCATCATGCTGAAAGCTCGAATAATCTGGAACAAGGTAAGACATTTCGACTTCATTTTCAGGCGAGGTCGAAATCGTGATCTTTATACCTTCACAGATTTAACATTCCATAAAATTAGAACTACATGACCTTTTGCATCTATGCTGAGATGTCTGAGCGACGGTTCGGAATCTTACAGTATCTAGCAGATGTCAAAATCATTGCACTATCAATAGTCGCGTTTTTTTGTGATTCTCTGGTGTAGGAATTGTGTGGAAATGAATAAAACGGCAAAGAATGAAGAATGACATTGATGTGTTGAATACCGTGTGACAACCACAAACAATAATCAAACCGACATACCTAATCATCAATAAAGATATCAATATTCAATTTGGATCCTTGGATTGGATTGATTATACATATCAAATAATAATTCTGGTACATGGGCTGTGGGGTACATGAGTATTTCAACTATAACTGATCAATAATCAATAATCATTCCCTAGAAATTGGTGTTATTCGATATTTGATAGTATCAATGGAGCCAGCAATAGAGAATATTGTAGTAAGTCATGCAGTAAGCACTATATTGAATATGGAAATGGAAAGTGCATTGAAATGTATATTTGTTGGAGAAGATGATAGCGACATTCATCATGAAATAATGGATTCGTAAGATGACATAGTTAAATCCAGGATGATGAATGATTTTTTTCAGAATGTGTAATGAAATTGTTTAATTGTTATACCAAGATTTAATACAAAAACCTTCCAGAGCCATTTCAGAATGACTCCTGAATGTTTCCATTTCATTCTCAACAAACTTGAGAATACTGATGAGTTTCGGAAAACAGAACATGAACAGTTTGGAGGTAGAGAAATAATCAATCATGAGAAAACTTTGTTGGTAGCAGTCTGGTGTCTAGTCAACCCATAATCATATAGGTCAGTTGGAGATTGCTTCAATATTACCATTGAGTGATGGTTCATCTTTTCATCAGTAGAAGTAGCTATTCCGTATCGTATCACTTTTTCTAAAAGATTTTGATCACAACAAAATTATTCTGATGTCTGTCATATATCTTTTTTGTCAAACATTCCAATCATTCCACCACAACATTCGATGTTCTGAGTCCGAATTGCCAGTGTCACCAGTATGATGAAAAATTCCACAGAATAGTCAATAAAACGGCCATTCTGTCCCACTGGTGACACTTGCAATGTCAATAAAACGCAAATAATAATACTCACCGGAACGTCGAACATAGCTTTAACCCTTTCTTGCATACTTTTGTTTTTCTTGGGCCTCATCAACACATAGATATTTTTTATTTCGGGACATGATCGCAAGAGTTTCTCAATTAATACTTTTCCTATGAAACCACTACCACCAGTTATAAAAATACTTTTACCCTTATAAAATTCGGGTAAAGTTAGTTTTTTCTGATCGAATAAAAACGACATTTCACAATCAATGCAATCGAGAATGTGTGCATTTTTCATTCGATTCGTCTATAAGAAAGTGCAATGCATGATTTATGCATATTGCGTCGTTGTTGAATGGTTAATGAATATACTTTTGGCACAATTGTTATTTCGCATAATGATAATAGGCAATAATTATCATGTTATTATGCTGGTCAGTTCTGCATTCAATATTCAAGCAATCTATAGGTTAGTAGTGATAATATATTCTTACGAGTGGTAAGTATAGCCGTAATGCAATCTTCTTTGCTTTCATCGAGAATAAATTTACATAATGACAAAATAACATTCATCATCGATTTCTCTTCTTCCAGTTTTGACGGAATATATTATTCACGTAACTCATTGAGGCACAGTGTGAACAGAAGCTACGAAATATTTTTTTTTATGTTCTGGATCCCACGAAAAGGGATATCTTGTAATGTTCAGAGAACATCGTAAGAACCAAGAGAAATAAGGTAGGAATTGGTGTTTTTCTTGAATTTCTGGAGGTTATATGCCTCGGCAAGGTTATTGCCCTTGGCAATGTGTTCCAGAGCCTCGCTGTTCGTTGAATGAACGAGTCTTCGGAAAGAGATGTTCTGCAGGTCTCCAAACTCGACGGGTTAATCTCGCGGGGACTGCCAAGGGCAGAACAGTTGTTGATATTTCGAAAGACCATCGTCCATAAAAATATCTATAGAATAGAGCGCGATTGCCAACTTTTCTTCGGTGTTCCAGAGAAGTGAGTGAGTTTGTGAGCGAGGCATCTCCCACGAGACGAATTGCCCTTTTTTGGACAGAATCCGACAGTTTCAGGGTATGTTTGGGTGCTATATCCATTTTATTTTCAACTTCTTTTTATTTCGGCTATTCATGAAAGCGTGTTTCCTTAGTTTTTCAAAATACTATTCATTTTATACTCCTTTTCAGCTCGGCAATCGATCTCTTCAGTTTTTTATACTACTATTTATGTTCTACTTCTTCTCAATTCGACTAAGTATCTACGAACGCGTGTTCAATAGATTTTTCAAACCACGATTCATCACAAAGCTCGTTCGCCGTATTGGATTCGCCATCTTGAATATCCCAATCCCAATCCAAAAAATCATAAAGTTCGACCCCGAAAACCCCCCGATTCCAATCTTTAATAGAATAAGATCATGATTAGAAATGTCTTTCGCCATATTGGATTCGTCATCTTGAATTTTTCAATTTTGACGAAACAATCATTATCTCCTACCCCGAAAACCCCCAAAGACCAATTTTGAATAGAATCGGATATTAATTATAAAACTCGTCCACCATATTGGTTCCGCCATCTCGAATATCCCAATTTTGACGAAATAATTATAATCTCCGACCCCGGAAATCCCCAGATATCTATCTCGATTTCTGAATAGAATCGGATCATAATTACAAAATTCGTTCGCCATATTGGATACGCTATCTTGAATTTCCCAATTTTGACAAAAAATCATAAAGTTCGACCCCGAAAACCATCAGATACCAATTTCAAATAGAATCAGATCATAATTAGAAATTTCTTCCGCTATAAAATGGATCCGTCATCTTGAATCTTCCAAGTTTGACGAAACATCACATCATTATCTCTATCCCCGGAAAACCCCAGATACCTTCCAATTTTTAATAGAATCGGACCATAATTACAAAACTCGTTCGCCATATGATCTTCATCAACAAGTAAATACCCTGTACATACCTATTATTAAAATTCTGAATGATTTTCTGTAGCGCCAATGGATGTGACAGCAATGTCAGGGATGCCTGTAGATAAAACTAAAGTCTCTAGATCATTAAAAAAGAATGCAGCTATGACTGTGTCCGTACCCTGTTAAGATCTCTTGTAGACACCTCTATATTCAAATGTCTGGTTCAAATATAACGATTCTCTTGTATCTTCAGAATCGTCAAAATCTCTTGTCAGTAGGGATGCGTATAATCTTTTTTTATCAACGAGAGGGATGTAATTTCCTTTGTTGATATTTTGTAGATATTTATTGTATTTTTCATTCAATGAAGTATTATTTTTGTTAGATGCAGTCAGATGCACTTCTATTATTTCGTTATCTGAATTTTAAATCATTGAAATAACCAATCGGAAGGAAAACAATGATATGATGAATAAATGAATAGTTGTTCAATAATTGAATGAATGAGTATTCGAAGAATGAGACACATCAGCGTTACATTATAATTCTGAGAATGATATTGACTTTCGCGGCCCTCAATTATTGTCAACATAGTCTAATGAACAAATAGGTAGGTACCTTTACCTGTACTTACCTACGTAATGGGCCTGCTTCATCAGTTACTAATTTTATTTCCATATTTCGAAATACTAACGCGTTCGGTGACGCTAACTAGTTCACTGTCGCAAACCATTTTTTCCCCAGACTCTGTACATGTTTGAAATAATTATTGAAATTCACAGTAGGTATTTCGTCACATCAAGAACGCGGGAAATTGCTTGACATGATCATCCGGAGAACTTCGACACTTCGACTCGTCTGTTAAACAAGTGCAAGAATATTTAGTGATTGTCGTTTCAATCAAAATATGAAGAAAGTTCGCTTCCTCAGAAGGTGTCTCCCTAGACTCTAGTAAATTTTCTGGACTGAATACTTACTGCACATAACAGAGAACACAACACACAACTGAAGATCAGATAATAAGAGAAATATATTTGAATATTCGCATCTTGACTAGATGAAACAAGGAATTCAAGATGAAGGTGACGTTAGGAAATTAGGTGTACAATATAGTTCGTCTTCTTCTTCTTCTCTTGTATTTAGGCAATACGCTGGTGCCAGTGCAACAAAATCATTTGGGTTTGAATAAGATCTCGATCATTATTAGTAATATTAAGGTATTCTCATGAAGTACTGAAGCTTCTTGGAAGTATATGAAGTATTCACTAAGTCATTATTAGGGACCAGGTCGAAGTATTGTTTTCTGTGAATGTGAATACTGTTGTCATTGGTCATATTGAATCTCATATGGTAATTACTAGTTACAAATCTGGCAGCGTCCTACTACCTACCAAATTTCATTATTGAAAAAAATATATTTGTGATGATTTTGAATAACGATTAACTACTTTATTTTATTATGAAAATAAGGTAGGTTCACCTTTTTCAACTCTTGGAGCGCACGAAATGAAATTCCTATAATGTTCGAAGAACATCGTGCGTACCTAGGAAGGATAGGGAGAGGAGGTAGGTATCGGATTTTTTTTCGAACTTTTCGAAGTTATAAGTTCTTGAGAATACAACCATTTGCAAATAATTCTGGCGTTCTACAGACGGACGAGTGTTGGTGAAGAAATGAAAAGATGTGCAGACTGGGCTTGTCGAGTCCGTCAGACTGATAATGCTAGTGATGGAATGATAGCAGAGATTTCTGAGGAACATTTCCCGTGGACGTTTCTATAGAAAAGTGAAAGGTCGCCGACTTTTCTACAGTATTCTAATGATGTGACAAGTGCGTAATTGCTTGACAACTCGAAAAATGTACTGTATAGTTCTTCTATACGACTACAATGTACTTCCTTCAGGATAGTACAGACATTGTGTCAAGACACAAAAATCGAATAACGTCTCCCGTCACTATAGGCTAACCATGCATGAGAAGGTACAAATTACAATTCTTCTTCATTGGTGAATTGCAAAACTAACCATTTTCCTCAATTCGAACCGAATGAAGCCGTTTTTAATCCTAAAAACTTCATACACATTCTTGCCATGATTTCATTCCTGAGTTTCCAGTTCATGAATTTTTCGTCAGAGATTTTGAATCTTTCAAGGGACTCGACGTGTTCCATTTTTGTTTTTTCCAGAATTTCTAGTGGTGTATAAATAATCTTATCGTCATCGCTTGACATCTTTTCAACCGGAATTCATCTTCAAAGAATATTACTTGCCTGCTTTCGGTACCGTTTTTTCACAATAGTAGTCGTAGGGAATAGTATTGTCACGACCATTGGGGCCTTGCTCCCCGGCTGCGTGATCTTAGGGGGTTATGCTTGGCAGCAAGAGGGTGTCCTAACTACCACACTCTCGTAACTCGATTGTGGCAAGGAAAGAGTGCATGTTTTTTTTAACATAAATTTAAGTTTTATTGAACGATAAACAGTGAACAAGTGAGCAACATAAGAAGGTGAAGTGAGACAAAAAAAGTTAAGTGAAGTGACTAAATTAAAGTGACCCTATGGCTACACCTTCTAGTGAAATCCTACATCTTTGGATCTAACTACCAACGTGGTTGGAGACGATTACAGGGGCTGTACAAGGTAATGAAACAGTTTTTTGATTCAAAAATGTACTTACATTGTCCATACAATAATTGCTGCTCCGGCAGGGAAGTTGTGTGCCATGGCGTTGACGTCTACTAACTCACTAGAGTGGTTACCCAAAAAAAACGTACTCGTAATCTCTCTTCCCGAGTCTGATTGTCCCGGAAAATCTCTACTTCAATTGTTTTATAGGCGATACTTGCCGAGTTAGCAGAATCAGCAATAATCGTACCTATCGAGTTCATTACCTCATAGGTGAACTTTCAAGTCCGATGAATTCTGCCGCTGCCGGAAAAGCTTACTAGGTTCCTGTCTGTGAAATTTGAACCGGGTTTGAATTACATATGTTATGTGAATGACTTTGGATATTATCTACTGAGCACTTTTATTTTCTTATGGATATTTCTTAATAAATTGATTGAATGGTTCCTTTGGTATACCAGGTGTGACAGTATATTGTTCAACGAGCACGGAATGATTGTGATTTCCCATGAGAATGAAGTTTGCAGCATGAGCCGTAGGCGGTCTTTGTAGAGAAAACGCTTAGTTATGGTGGGATTGAATTCAACTAGGTTGTTGGTTCCCCATCAGGAAGTAATTTTTGATCTTCGTTGACGAAGAATAGGAATTTCTGAAAGAGAAAGCATTATGGAGAGATAGGGCAAGTGGTTGCTCCCAACTGATCATTGATATGAAGTAGGAACAATGTTGGTTCCAAAATCGGTCCTTGTGGAATGCCAGAATTGATGGCAAATGTATCAGACGATACTTCGTTTACCACCACATGGAGCGATCTGCCTGAAAAAAACTCGAAGAAGTTTGTGGAGGAGTCCTTGGTGCCAAACACGGTCGAATGCCTTCGATATATTTAACGCTACAGCTAGAGGTTCCCCATGTTTTTCTAATGAAGCTTTTGCCATATATGGGTGACGAATGTAAGTACATCTCCAGTTGATCTTCGGTGGCAAAAGCCATATTTTCTATCGTTAACGATTCCTGAGCTTTCCAAATATTTGATGAGCTCAATGTTGATAGCTTTCTCCATCACTAACGTGATTTGGTTATTGGTATATATCATATCATTCAAGATTATTATTCCTTTATTTCAATTCGAAAACAGTCACAGATGTGATCAAATGATTCATGTTTCATTATTATAAGATGTATTAAGCACGATATTATAAGTGAAAATGAAAGAAATGACTTTTCAACCGGACTTCGGACATGATGACATTTTCTCACCCGAAGGTTCAATCCCATGTGTGTCCACAATAATATCGGCTTCTAGAGTTGAGTTGATCCTCCTGAAAATGAGATTACAAATCGTATACTCGTTATCAGAGAACATATCGCCCATGGACGGTGTCAACTCGATCACTGCTTCAATAAGAGCGCTTACACCATCCAACCGCGATATGTTGGGTAAAAGTTCTGGAATTGTCAATTATTTTGTTAAATGTTCATCTGTATGCAAAAGTGATGTGGTCAAAGGAGTGGTTGACCTTAATGAATAAGAATAATAATTATAATGAAGTCAATAATTGTAAATGTTTACAAAATATGAATTGAAAGTATACATATTGGTATTGAGTAAACACAGAAAACCATATTGAATTTGATTATTGGTACTATAGTAGTGTGAGGACGTAGAAAGTCCTCCCCTCTTCAACTTTCGAGTGGGACAGGCTAGCGAGGACGGATACAATTCAGGCGTACGTCTTTCACTAAATTTCTGGCATGAAAATGTTCGTGGTCACGTGTCCTAGTGTGATGAGGGCACCATCAATTTTTTTTTCAAATGTAAAGGAGGGTCTGAAGGTCTCTCTATTATCTATCCAATGCAGCTTCGTGTGTGCAAATCGGCCAAGCCTTTTCTAACAGACAAGCTTTTGAAATATGCTCCAAATATTATTATCAATAAATGAAAAACGGAAATACCTTCTTCTGCGATTGGCTCGAAAGTCGTCCATTTTTGTTTCTGAATTAGCTCTTGAAAGGAAAAAACACAAACACTAAGTCGGTCGACCACCATGACTTAGCTCTTGAAGTTGACTTTTCTGTTACTGACATCATAAAACGAGCACGATGTATGTTGCTAGGCAACACTTTTAGTGTCTAGGACCCAAAGTTGACGTTTAACTCCTATAGGAACTGAAAACATGTCGGATGACAGCTGATATGATAGCTGCTTTGATACTGACATGCTCAAGTGACTCAAAATAGAGGTATTTTCATATATATATTATTGATTAGATACACAATTATTTCGATTGCAAAAAATAGCATATTTCATTCGGATCAAAAGGTACTCTGTTTGACTCGCAAAATTTGCATGCTTGGCCTCGTTGTCGCTCCGCCTCGCGAACGCAAATATCGCTTGTCAAACAAAGTATCACATTTGATCCTAATAAAACAATGTACTATTACTCGCAACAAAATTTCAAGTAACAATTGTTGCAAGTGCTCAAGAATGCTCGATATGTTCACCGTTCATTCATTGACACGAAACATAAAAAAGTTGATGGTGTCCATTTGACACCACTACGATCACAACTATTTCCATGACTAGAAGTAGTGAAAGAGGTACCTTTTCACCTCAGTTGTATTCGACCTTATCAGCTGGTTCCGTTCAAGGGTTACAGGAAGGGAAGGGAAGACTTTTCACGTCCTCACTGTATACCAATATCTAACATGCAGGTTTTAGAAAATGCATCTCGACAGACTAGAAAAAATGCAACTGTCAATATTTTGTTGAATAATGAAGTTGATTCAGATGAATAATTCTTGTATACATCGGTCGTACACCTTCATTGCCGTTCTTAGTACTCAGTATTCGTTATTTATACACTGTGTCCAAGATAAGAATGAACAGCATGGGGATCTCCGAAACGCTAGGAGATACGAAGTCGTTTTAATAGGGAAAAAGTTGCGCATTTGGAAGCTCATATCAAGAGCCTTCGAAAATTTTGAAAATTATTTTTAGTTTTTGAGTTATATCGAAAAAAGTGAATTTTTGGAATATCTATTTTATTTTTTTTCTCCGTTATTATTACAGATACAGCAAAACTGAGAATACTTTTTTATAGCAACTTTCGATGACGTTCAACGTGGTGATACCGATTTTTTTATCCGACGTTTCGTATTCGTGGAACCATCATCAACTTTTGTTTTTTAAATACGGTCTTGATAATTTTTTCACAGATTCTGAAAGGTTTTTTTATTCTGAATTCAACCATGTATCATACAAGGTGTTTTATGTGTGTTTCGACCTACTTTTAGCCATCATCATTGTGTTTTCGAAATTCCAAAGGAAAAACGCTATCAGTTCCACTTATTTTCAAGGAAAATTAGTCAACACACTGATACCTCATCAACTGGTTTCAATCAACAACCCATTTCATTTTGCGAAAAAAAAATTCCATCCCTACAAATTCAGAATATGTCAAGCGCTAAAACCAGGCGATGACGAAAGGCGCAGAACATTTTGTGAGTGGTATACCAGGAAATGTCAAAATTTTGCAGATTTCCCTCGAACAATCATCTGGACTGATGAAAGCATGGTCACTAATCATGGTATCTTCGATAGAAAGAATACACATTATTGTTCACGAGAAAATGAACATTTATACATTACAGCGAAACACCAACACCGTTTCGGCTTTAACATGTGGGTTGCAATATTTGGTACACGAATTATTGGTCCTTCTATTTACTATGAAACACAGACTTCCGAACTTTATAGAAATTTGCTTGAGAACCATTTTGAGGAAGCTCTGGATAATTTACCGATTGCGGAAGTTCAGAACTGTTGGTTTCAACAAGATGGCGCTCCGGTACATAATTCCAGAGAAGTCCGTGCGTTTTTATCCAGAAAAATGGATTGGTACTCATTCTACAGTCCCTTGGCCGGCGCGGTCGCCTGTTTTGACACAGCTGTATTTTTTCTTAGGGGATTTAACAAACTTTGTATACGCAAATAACTTTGATGATGAAGAAGAACTAAGGGACAGTGTATTCGAAGCATTCAATAGAATAACCCCAGAAATGCTTAGCAATGTCTTAGAAGCAACTGTGAGAAGAGGATATCTTTGTTCAGAAAATGATGGTTATCATTTTGAACATTTGTTATGAATGTCTCTGTAGGTATTGTCAAAGTTAAGTTGTTAAAGTAATTCGTGTAAGAATTCATCAACAATTTTAAGCGCTTCATTGATCGAATGATGTAGTGAAATATTTTTTATTCACTTTTCAGTATTGAATAACTAATCCATCGAGTTTGACATTAAATGATCAGAAATAAGTGGAACTGATGGCTTTTTTCCTTTGGAAGTTCTAAAAAACAGGTCGAAACACATTAGAATCACCTTGTATAATACATGGTTGAATTCAGAATGAACAAACCTCTCAGAATCTGTGAAAAAATTATCAGGACCGTATTTAAAAAAACAAAAGATGATGATGGTTCTACGGATACGAAACGTCGCAAGGAAAAATCGGTATCACCAAGTTGAACGTCATCAAAACTTGCTATGAAAAAGTATTCACAGTTTTTCTGTATCTCTAATAATAACGGAGAAAAAAAATAAAATAGATATTCCAAAAATTCACTTTTTTCGATATAACTCAAAAACGAAAAATAATTTTTGAAATTTTCGAAGGCTCTTGATATGAGCCTCCGAATGCGCAACTTTTTCCCCATTTAAACGACTTCGTATCTCCTACCGTTTCCGAGATCCCCATGCTGTTCAACCTTATCTTGGACAGACTGTATACCAAGGTAGTGAAAAATATCAGTATTACCCAGGTACCAAGATTATATCCCAAGGCTTCAGCCGACGGGTTAGAGGTCCCGTGGTAATATCATTCATTACTAGCAAGGTGTTATATTAATTTTTTTCACCACTTGCAGTATATTATTATTTCAATCACTTTAGTTGAAAGCACTTCTTTCCGATTCTGATTGAAATCTAGTAGCTAGGATCATGACAGCATATGACAAGTCGTTATTGATAAATACCTACTAGATTCGAGTGCCATTCCTGCGAATCTCGCATCAGAACAGTGAATTTGGGTTGATTATAACAGAGGTGGCTATGTCTTTATTTTCGCCTTGGAAAGGAATAAATAATAGTGAGTTCTAGAGCTAGTGGTGAAAATACTATATTATATAATAAACTATAATAGTCACCTTTTTAATACGGTTATGGCAATCCATATACATCCTTCTTGTATAGTTATTAGTTCTGGCTATATAACATGGTAGAGTGATATTTTCAACTGTCGGGATGTTGTACACTATTTCCTTTGGTTCGATGAAATATTTTGTACCCCCATCTCTATCCTTACAAGCATCTCCTTCATCACTATTCGCTGCCAAAAAGAGTAGATTGGTTTTTGGAATTTTTTCAATAGCATAGGGCCTGCAATGATAATTAGAACAATCATTCCATGGACTCACATTTGTTTTGGGACATAGTGTGAGTAACTCCATTACAGTGAAACACATCGTTGGGTATCCCATTTTATTCAAATTGTATTTTGAAATGGGAATAAGATGAATAATCAAACATTGTAGTAATAAGTATTATTATATCGAGGGAGTTCCATAATATTCAAGTGGGGCGATTTTTTTACCTATTTGTAAAAACACTGCATATGAATGTTATTTTTATTTCTTCGTAATCTCTTGGAGTACACGAATAGAAATTCCTATAATGTTCGCAAAACATCTATCTTGCTTACCTAGGGAGGATATAGGGAGAGTAGGACTGGGCTTGTCAAGTTCGTCTGACTGGTATTGCTAGTGATGAAATAATGATAACAGACATTTCTGAGGAACATTTCCCGTGAAAGTTTCTGTAGAAAAGTGAAAGGTCGCCGACCTTTCAACGGTGTTCTAAAGAGGTCAAAGAACTAGTAAGTGTGACATAACCCACTAGGCGAATGGCTCTTCTCTTGATAGAATCTAAGAGTTTCAGCGAATGTTTGGGTGCCGAACACCATATGTGAGAACAGTATTCTGAAACTGGCCGTATCTGTGCTTTTTAGATCATGAGAAGCTGTTGGGGTGTAAAGTCGTAGATTTTCGCACGAAAAAAAAATCCGAGTTTTTGTGAAGCAGCCTTCGCGATGGATCGGACATAATTTTCTTAGGAAAGAGTATTGCTGATGGAAATACCGAGCATAGATATACTGGACTTGGTGAGAATGGTGTTACCAGACATTGCTATATGAGATATCGCAGGCTTGAGTTTTGGTGGCGTTGAGTTTTGGGTTGTTGGTTTCCCATGCTGTGAATTTAGCAAGATATTCATTGACAGCGTTGATCTGCCTTCGTCATAAGTTCTCAGCTTCCTAGAAAGAGAAAGGAATTTTGGAACATAACGCAGTATGGAGAGTACTATCATCTGCAAAGCTGTGGATAGGGCAAGTGGTTGCTCCCAACTGATCATTGATATGAAGTAGGAACAATCTTGGTGCCAAAATTGATCCTTGTGGAATGTCAGAATTGATGGCAATGGTAACTGACGATATTTCGTTCACCACCACATGAAGCGGTCTTCCTGAAAGAAAATTTTTAGTGCCAAACACGGTCGAATGCCTCCGATATATCTTACGTCACAGCTGGAGATTTTTCATGTTTCTTTAATATAGTTTGCCATGTATCACTAGGTGGATTATTTGTTGCGTCATATCTTTAGGTGATTCTTATGACAGAATATGAATGCGCATGCTCCAATGAACCAAGTTTGATCTCGTTAATGAATGAGCTTGGATCTTATGGCATAAGCAGTGTAGTTAGTAATTTATATCTGTGGAAGCAAAATCAGACATTGCAGGTATATTACACAATAATTCAAGAACTCGAGAGACTTGGAGTGGAGACTATTACTATGATGTTTCTCCTCGTGTTATGCTGCAATTATATGAAGTGCATGTACACTCACCAACTACAGTCGAACTTATTTCCCTTCCTGAAGGGGATGAATGGGAATGACAGATTCTGGTTCAGGTTGAAAAGATAGTGCTCGGTATCACAGGGCGTTGGAACAGTCTTGACAATTTCCAATTTGTTGAAAGCTATCATCTCGTCCTTATTGCTGTAGTATCTTGTATCATCAGCCATTGCTTGTCCAAAAAATAGAAAAAATATCTTGACTATCCAATTTTTCAATGCCAGCAAATGATCAAGAATCTGAAAGAAAGAGTTGAGTAATGAGCAGATCATGAAAAGTGCCATTTCATGGCTGAGTGTGATGTTTCTTTTAATCTCCTGGGGCGCACGAGAGGAAAGTTCTTTCTTGCCTACCTAGGGAGGATAGGGAAAGGAGGAAGGTATCAGTATATTTCTAGAACATTTGAGAGTTATAAGTTCCTGTGAATACTTCCTTCGGCAAGGAAATCCAAAGCTTCGCCGTTCTGCCAAACGAGTCTTCGACATATCTCAAGGTTAACTTTGATGGATCGATTGATGATGATTTATTGAGTCGGAGGGATTTGTCGAAGTCCGGACAGCTAGACGGCTAGTGTGGGTCCATTGTGTCGCCCCGTGAGTGTGGCATCCTTCACGAAAGTCCCGCAGCTCTGTCGAAGGAGAGGATGTCGGTAGCTGGGATGTTTGGTGCTTCTTCCACTGGGAGAGTAGTGTGTCCAAAACTCCGCCATCTGAGCTGTATCAGCTCAGTACATTCACATATGATGTGGATAAAAGTTTCGTCGTTTTCGAGACATAGACGGCACGTTGGGTCATCAGAGATACCTAGGATTTGTAGATGTCTGTTTAGGCGGCAGTGTCCAGTAAGTAAACCAGTGACAACTCTGCATTGTCATCTTCGCATATTCAGGAGGGATTTCAATGAAGATGTTTGCCTGCCTCATGCCCCTAGATTCAGTCCATTCTAGACTAAACCTCCCTGTCAGAAGTTCTTCAAGTTTTCGCAGTCCTGTGCAGAAAGAAATGCTCACGATGGGCTCTTGATCCGCAGGACGAGCTGAAGAACCTTGCCTCGCTAGAGCATCGTCTCACTATGCTCAGGAACCCAATGTAGTTCGATACGGTTGTCCCTTGCTATCCCAGCAAGGTTCCCTTTGCAATCTAAAACCAACCGAGAGACCACTCTTGATGCTCGCAGAGCTTTGACAGCGGCCTGACTGTCGGAGCAGATATAGATATGCTTACCTCTGATATGGCGTCGTATGATTTATTGTGTGTAGGCAAGGATGGCGGAAACCCCAGCCTGGAATACAGTGGCAAACTGTCCAAGGTGTTGAAACTTTTCGTAGTCTTCGTTCTGCCCGTATATACGCCAGCATTAGAGAGATTCTTAAAACGTGACCCATCTGTGAACCAGGTGAGCCCGATGTTTGGAATTGGAGTGTGTGGTTCGGTTAGCCTTTCATCTCTATCATGAATGGTGCAATGGTGGTAGCCCCACGAGTGCCACAAGGGCTGCTCTCATTGCACCCGTAATGCCGACGCACGCAAGGCGTTACATATGCTCCAAAGACTGCTTAGCACCCGCTAACCTGATCCTTGGCCACCACACAAGTGACACATACGTGATGATAGGTCATATGATGGTCGTGTAGATCCAATGTAGGACTTTCGGTTGGAGGCCCCACGTGGTGCTGAAGGGTCGCCTGCATAACCAGAATGCTGCAGTGGCCTTCCTTATGCGAGTATCGAAGAGTTCTCTTCATAGTAGTTTGGTGTCTAAGATGACTCCTAGATACTTAACGCTATTGGAGGTAAATAAGGTGGCGTCGGCAATGCTGAGGAGCCCCGCGAAGCGAGCAGTGCGTATCCTAATGGAGGGAACAACTGCAGCGAGGTTAACTTAGAACGGATGTGCTGACTGGGCATGTCGAGTACGTCTGACTGGTATTGCTGGTGATGGAATGTTAGCAGATATTTCTGAAGAACATTTCCCGTGGAAGTGTCTATAAAAACTTGAAAGGTCCTCGATTTTTCTACGGTGTTTCAATGATGTCAGAGATTTAGTAAGTGTGCATCACCCAACAGGCAGATGGCTTCTTCTCTGGATGGAATCTAAGATTATCAGCATATGTTGGGGTGCTGAACCCCATATATGGAAACCGTATTCTGAAAAAGGCTGTATCAATGCTTTGTGGATCATGAGAAGCTGTTGATGTTTAAATCAGATCTCGCACGGAGTAAAATTCCGAGTTTTTATGGAACAGCTTTCGCGTTGATTCTGCTATGATTCTCCCATTAAAGATTATTGCTGATGGAAATACCGTGCATAAATATAGTGGACTTTGTGGGAATGGTGGTAACAGACATTGATATATCATGCATCACATTTCAGTGCCGCCTATATTTTTTCATCTCTTGGACCGCACGAAAAGATACTCTTATCATGTTCGTGGAACATCAAAAGGTTCCTTATCATGCCTCTGAGTCCTATTGATTCAGAATTTTCCAAAAGTGTTATGTGGAAAGAATGTCGAAAGCCTTTTCGAGATCAATACAAATTGCTATCACTCTATCCATCTAAGATGAGATAAGATAAGATAAGATCCCTATTTTCTAGTAAACAACAAAACATTGTATAGGGATAGTAGAAATATACTAAAAACCAGAAAGTAAAACTGAGTAGGTACACAATTGACTTATAAATGTTTTACAATATAGATGAACAGTGATAAAATATCAGAATATAATATATAACATGAAAAGATGAAGATGAAAATTCAAAAACAAAAACGTTTTCAAGACATAAACTCTTCAACATTATACAAACATTTCTCTATTTAATAATCACGTACTTGCTTCTTGAATATATTTGTATTTTTAGTTTATGTCTATTTTCATTTGTACTTAATAGAGTACCTTTATTTTGACATGACTATAAAAATAGTTAAAAAATGACTAACGAAGGAACTATTAAAATTCTATAATTTCGGAAAACATTTCTTCAACTAGTACGGATCGATATATTGACAAGTGAACGTAAAACTCGCTTCTGATCAATGAATACATCATGTGTAGATACAGATGAACCCCATAGACATATACCATATCGCAATCTACTGTCAACTTGTGCATAGTACAATGTTAGGAGTTGATTAATTTCTAAAACATTCCTAGTTGTTCTGAATTGATATGATAACGAATTCAGTTTGGATATCAGTGATTGACAGTAATTTTTCCAGTGTATGCACGAGTCACTTTGGAAACAAAGAAATGTTACACAGTTACTATCACTGGAAACATTTGGTGTTGAAGAGCCATCTGAGCTAAATGCAATCTCTTCACATGATTTTTTTCGGTTATGAAACCTCATTGATTTCGTTTTTTCCACATTGAGAAACAGCTGATTCGCAGGATACCATTCATTCATAGTCTATGAAAAACTATGTTGCATTTATCTGTCAACCGTACATCGGATTGACAGATAAATGCAAATCTATTCTGATTACTCACCAAATTCAATCTTGGAGAGGCATTACTGCTTGCCGTTGTTTCTTTCTTCTGTCTCATCAACTCCTTTTCTCGTTTGGCCAGCTTCTCCTTCCTCTTCTTCACTCTGATTTCCTCGGGCTCCTTCTCTGGGGGCTTCTTTTGACAGTTGCCCTGGTAGTCGAACATCCTGGTGGCTATGAAAACGCCATCTTCTACGAGGTCGTTCAGTATGTCCGGCCTGATGTCGCCTATGTAACGCCCTATGAATTCCGGTTCGTCGCTCAAGACAATATAGGCGTTGTTGTCCAATATGTAGCACTCCAGTTTGTTGTTGCATGTCAAACGACATTTCTTCTCGCCACACTGCGAAATCATCAGAGAATCAATAGGCATAATAGGAAATTTGCTGGTATATTTTTGAATTCAGTTCCTCACGAAGATGCAAAATCCAGATTCAAAAATGTTATAATATAATATAGGGTGTTCCGTTTGAAAACAATTTCGTGGACGTCAGAATTCAAACGTGGATGACCCTGATGTATATGCAATTTTCACTACTTTATGTGGGAAATGAGGAATGAAAATCGACCTCTTTCATGAAATTCCTCAGAAATGCACTTTACTTACAACCATATATGTAATGTTTCCATTACTAGTGTCCTTTGATGTGAATTGACGTATTTGTCATCTTGATAGGCTACGTACAGATCCTCGTCTCCTCTCACTCTAAAGTGTTCTAGAAACAGTTATATAGTTCCATCTCTATTCATTTTTATTTTTTTTTTATTTTTATTTATTTATTTATTTTATTTACCAATATTTACAATCAATTACAATCAATCAATTACAATCAATCAATTACAATAATTGCAATATACAAATATACAAATTTCACAAAATATGCAATATACAAATACCCAATCGAGTACAATATACAATCTATTATAATGCACCTAGGTGTTAAAACACCTGTATGTGCCCTAAGATTGTATATTGAGAATATATGAGATGCAATCATGAACATAGTTTAACTTAACTCAACATAAACAACTATGTGACTATAATATTTGTTAAAATTATACCTAATATGAATTGAATATTGAAAGATTTTTCACTGCTTGAGAGGTATTAGAAGATATTTCTGAATGTTTCAAGGTTGGCTACAATGTATGTTTTACATTGTTTCTTGAATATGTTCAATTTATTGATGTTTCTAATGGCTATTGGCAACATATTATGAAATTTAGGAGCTAAGTAGTCGATAAATTTCAGGTTGAGTGTTGTATTGCTTTGAGGAATTTTTAATAGTTTTTTGGTGTTCGATCTGGTGCCATACTGATGATCTATGAATTTCTGTTATTTTTGTGATTTATGAAAAAAAGAACATGACAAATGGATATACAGACAACCCATATCACAGATACTCTCATTGTATAATAGACTGGTGGGATACAATCTGTTTCTGTTGAAAATTATTTTCAAGATGTAATTTTGTATTACCTGTAATGGTTTTGTGTTGGTTTTGTATGCCCCCCCCCACACTATTATGCCATACCTAATAAGTGACTCTACCAATGTTTTATAAACAGTTATTAACAATTTAGTGCTCAAAAACTCTCGTAAAATGTAGAATTTCCTAATTAATTTTCGAATTTTAGTGGTTAGATACCTTATGTGGTCTGTCCATTTAAGGTTTTGATCAATTATCACACCTAGGTACTTTGTTTTTGATACTGATGATATTTCAAAATTTGTGTTGTCTTCTACTAGTATTTTATCATATGTAGGTCTGCTAGCTTGTGTTAATGAGAAAGCTATGTAATTTGTTTTAGTTACGTTCAATGATAGTTTGAAGTTTTGGAGCCAGTTTTTCATAGCTTTCATACCTTCTTTTACTTGATTTTTGACTTCTTCCCAGTTTTCTCCAGAGGATATGACAGCTGTGTCATCTGCATAAGATATTATTTTCCCTTCGATATTCATGTTGAGTAGAGAGTTTATATATGTTGGAATTGGTCCCAGGATTGTACCTTGTGGAACTCCTATCTTAATTTTTTGGGGTAAACTGATGCTTTCATTAATTCTTACATATTGATCTCTGTTTGATAGGTAATTATTGAAAATTTCCAATACAGTACCCCTGACTCCAAAGTGGTTTAATACATCTGTAAGTTTTCTATGTGGTACTGTATCGAATGCCTTCGCCAGGTCTATAAAAACTACTATTGCTTCTCTGTTGTTATTGAGATTATGTGTTATTTCTGATGTAATACTATATATTGCATCTGTTGTACATTTTCCTTCTGAGAAACCAAATTGATTTTCAGATAATAAGTTATTAGAGTTCAAAAAGTTGGTTAATCTGGTTTTTAGGCATTTTTCAAATATTTTGGCGAAGTTATTTATTAGGCTTATTGGACGATAATTTTCAATTTTGTTCTTTTGTCCGGACTTATGTATTGGGGTTACTATGGATTGTTTGAAGTATGATGGAATTTGCCCAGAAGTAAAAATAAGATTGATAATGTGAGTTAATGGTTTTGCAATGTGAAGGTGGGTAAACTTGATAATTTCAGCTCTAATTCCATCTTTACCAGGAGCAGAATTGTTTTTTAAACTGTATATTTGTTCGATTACTTCATTTTCATTCACCGGTTTTGAAAACATTGATGAATTCGAGTAGGTACTTATGTGATAGGGGTTTTGTGCATTTTCAATTTTTTTCTCCATCTCAGTGCCTATATTGATGAAGTAACTATTGCAGTAATTAGCCATTTCTGTATTATTACTGAAATCATGACCATTTTCATCTATCATACTGAGAGTTGTTTTATTTTTTTCACTCTTTTCATTTGTAGCATCTGCCATTATTATTTTATACATTTTTTTAATATTTGTTTTATTGTCATCTATTTTCTGTTTATAATATTCAAATTTTTGGGTTTTAATTAATTTATTTATATAGTTACGATAGTGTTTGTATTCTGCTGCCAATTCTGGAGTATGATTTTTCAATAGTCGTTTCTTAAGTTTGTCTCTGTACTTAATAGAAGTGATTAGACCTTCTGAAATCCAATCTTTAATTTTCTTGTGTTTGCTATTTTTTATCATGTGTCTTATTGTACATGATTTTATGATTTCCTCGAATCTTTTAATAAAATGTTCTGTAGCTAAGTGAACACAATTACATTGAATTACTTCTTGCCAACTTGTTTCTGAGATTTCTTGTTTTAATTTATTATAACTTATGTATTCATATGAGTTTGGTTTGTTGTTTTGGTAATTTTGATTGTTTCTGCTCATATTAATCATAACTGGCAGATGATCAGTCACATCAGTATCTAATCTGAAGGAATTCAGGTTCAGTGTGTTTATTTTCAATTTTTGTCTAACAAATATGTGATCGAGGCATGCTAATAGACGAGTAGGTGATGTTATGTAGGGAGCAAATCCATGCCGTCCCATTAATGATAAGTATTCATTAACGTGATTGTTATTGTTGTCTCGAATATTTATGTTTATATCCCCTGTGAAGATTTCAATATCCTTATTCAAGTGGCTTTCAAAATATGCTGATAAATCCGAATTGAATAAATGTTCTTTGACTGGGGGAGGCTTATATACAGCTGTAATACCAAAACAAATATCTTCTTTTATAAAGGTAATTCTACTGATCGTTGTTTGGCTGGACGTTAATTTGATATTATTTACTTCTACTTCTACTTTTTGGGTATGAACACTAGATTTCGGACATTTGTTGTTTTTATTTGTGTTATATTGAGGACATTGGCGTATCATACGTAATTTCCACATGGCATTCTGTGTTCAACTCTATACATATTATATAATTTTTGAGGATTTGATTTTTCAACTACAGCATGATTTTTGTGAGCCAGTGAGTATACATTTTTCTGGAAGGTCAATATGTTTTACCAAATGGGACTGTTCTAATGGTGAAAACTCTGATGTAGGTATTCAAACTAATGTGCTCATATGTCATGTGTGCTGTATATTCATATATTAATGTTGGGTATATCATTTTTGCAGTTTTTTTCGAACATTCATATTTTCTGAATGTAGGTATAATTTTTAATATGGTAGGGCATATGCCTCTTCTTTTAATCCTCCGTTTAAATCGAAACTCTTCTAAAATGCATTCGAAAACTCGTGGTGTGGATAATTAGGTACAATGAGGAAGTATATGTTATTTTGTAGTCCTACCTCGCATATTTCCATGTTCTAAGTTCATATGCATTTGTTGGGCAGCTGATAATTTCAAATTTGCCAACCATCCTTCCAAAACAGAACTGAATAATGTCGTATTAAGATCGAGTACTAATCAAAATTTTGTTAGATTCAACGCCTATGGATGTGACGTGACAACAATGTCATGTCAGGGACGCCAATACACAAAACCAAAGTCACTCGATCAATTAAAAAGATAGGAGCTATGATCTGTCCGTTCTCTGTTAAGATGACAAATACATTAATATACATCAAGGGACCCTGGTCATTACTAACGTCACTGAAGGTTGGGTAGTGTCACATTACACACCTCTACTTCCCGCCCTCACTTCCCGCCCTCACTACTTCCCGGCCTCACTTCCCGCCCTCACTACTTCCCGGCCTCACTTCCCGCCCTCACTACTTCCCGCCCTCACTTCCCGCCCTCACTACTTCCCGGCCTCATTTATGTAATATTTCAGGTATGTTCAGAACAAAACAGAGATTTATTAAAAATAAATGAATAAATAAAAATAAAATATTCATTAATCCTTTGAACTATCAGTAACAATAGATAGGATAAGTCAATATTACATGTCATAAATGGACAGTGGTATCAAGTTTTAATTGAAAAATAAGACGAAACGAAATACTATAACAAGACGAGACATTTACAGTGACGACTAAAATAAACTGAGAAATACTTCAGTATTATAATTTTAAAATTGAAAAGTAGGATTCGAATTCCTCAACAGTATAGAAGCATTCTCTGACTAGGAGTTTCTTCAGTCTACATTTGAAAACAGCCGGGGATACCGCGTTTTTTATTTCATTCGGCAGACAGTTAAAAAAACGGCAGCCTGCATTGATTGGAGATTTTTTGTAATAGGAGTGTTTAGGCTTGTTTAGTTTGATATCATTCTTTTTTCTAGTGTTGTAAGAATGTGAATCACTATTAATGGAAAATGAATGTTTCTTAATGTAAATGTAGGTTAACAGTTTCATCAAATAAATTGACGTTACCGTGAGGATCCGTTTTGATTTGAAGACCTGTCTACATGATTGGCGACTACTTATGTTGAAAATGAGCTTTATGATTCGTTTTTGAGCAACGAAAATTCTTGTTATATCTGATGCCTGACCCCATACTATAATACAAACATCAGTGTTGCCAAAATGTAAAAGCTTTTGTTGACTTTTTTGCAAACCATTTGTATTTGTTCCTTCCATGTTAAGTTACGATCTATAATCGTTCCTAAGAATTTTGATTCTGATCAGAATATGATGGTTGTGAATAAAATAGTATATTCAAACCTCAGTAGGAAGTTTCATTCCTGTCTCGAGATCATAACTAACCTCGACCCTTTGCGTTCTGGTTAACTAACTAATCTCTTCCCACCTTGGTGTGTAATATACAATTTTTTACAAAAGCGCGGAACGGACATGATATTTTTTTTATAATTGCCAGTTTGAACTGGCTATTAGCCAAAATAATTCATTATCAGTCCACTCGCCCTTTGCTTTGGTCGAAATAATCGTTCGCGTTCGCATTAGTTTTTTGGCGTCACAAGATGGCGATAACACGACTAGATCTAGACTAGACTATTTTGATCGAAAATATTTTATAGAACCACATGAACTACATCATACCCAGAATTGAGAAAAATCCACCGGGACCCAATTTACCTCAAAAATTTGCGGGGTCCTTTCGTACGAAAGCGCTAAATGCCAGTTCAAACTGGCAATTATAAATAAATATGCCAGTTCAAACTGGCAATTATAGCTAATTGCAAATTCAAACTGGCAATTATGGTTGATTGCCAGTTCAAACTGGCAATTATAAAAAAAATATCATGTCCGTTCAGCGCTTTCGTAATTTTTGGCCAGAAATGAATTTATTCCTTCAATTTGCACTGAAGTGGCCACAGTGGAAGCGTGCTTTTATCGGGAGAAACTCGAAACATTTTTCACTGCAACTTGAACAAAGTGGAACACCACAGAAAAAAATTGACGTAATGTGAACTGATATATTTTTGTTGAATACAATGATAACTTGTCTCGACAATCTCACCTCCTTTGTTATCTCATTATATATTTCATACATTTCTCTGTGATTGAACTGGAGACCGATGACTGCTACTGGCGACCTCAATTCTCCGTTAGATACAAATATAGCTTTAGTACTGGTGATCATGGTATTATTCTCATATCCTGCAAAAAACAATAATCATTTTCCATTAACCTGAGAAATGAAACCGACGACTTGCAAACCCTTTTACATAATATTATAATAAATCGAAATGTTTATTTGTATGAATTCACATGAATTTATTTTTCACTTGTCCATTACTGCTTTATATTGTTTATACCTGCACAAGTGATGTTCTATTTTATCTTCGTCTTCTATTTTATTCCTAAGAAAATAGATGGTATTTTTTACCCGTATACCTATTGATGATTCCAGATATACTATAACACAAAAACGTCATAGGGTAACACCAGATTGAGAAGGAGTAGAAACAAGACTGAGAACCTTGTGACACACCGCATTCTAGATGTATTGCAATGTTTCTCAACACATGATTGAGAATATTATTTTTTGTGATGGGGTGCCGTTGTCACATTCGGGGCAAAATAGTAAAGCAAAAATATCATCAGACCTGATGTTTCGAACGGCACAGAGTATATGAACATATCTTCGTTTTCGAAATTCAGTTCCACCGCTCTCCTGTACCAATCTTCGTCTATGGCCTTGTTATTCCATTTCTCGAAACTGTCCACCTCCTCTTCGTGTATACTCTCTTGGTCTTCGAACATCCTCCATCTGGTCAAGCCAGAATAGGTGGCCATGAACACTTGGTGGACCTGGTAGTCGCTGATGTATTTTTTCTCGCCGTTTCCTATGCCGCTTTTGTCGTCGAACCATTTTGTGACTTCCATGTCGAAGAACAGCGATTTCAAAAGTTTAGCTGAAATATCAAGCTGTCACTATTTTCCCAGTATAAAATATAAAGTGGCATAGTGGAAAAAATTCAAGTAGTCGGTTTCTCTATGGTTATATATAGGGTGGCATTAGAACATGTGCAATACTTGACAATAATTAATAATTAATCACCTTGGATGAAAAAGGGCCAATGGCCAATGTCCAACTTTGCTATTTCGAGAAAAGAGAGCGCAAAGTTTTTCGGTATATAATCCTAATCCTAATCAATTACTACATAATGTAACATCAGTCTGATTATTTCGAAAAATTATTTCATGGGATGATTTCTCAATTGAGTAAAAAGATTTGAACTGTTCTAAATTTGTGGAGAATATTGGACATTGGCCATGAATAATATTTCATTTAATAAGACATTGGCCTCTAAATGAAATGAAAGGAGTCAGATGCAAAAAAGTATATTCAGTAAAAAAATTGATTGTTAATATTCTTAGGATCAGAAGGATCGAATAGCTAGGAATTAGATCATATTCATTATTCAGTGGTATCGAGGTCACCATCTGGATCTGGGATGTCGTCAGCTTCCAGATTTGTAGATCGCCGAAGATTTTTATAGTATGGCCTGTTGTATTCGCTAATGAATGGAAGAAGCTCCAATAAGTTCATGATCTTGAGTTCAGCTAGCAGCAAGGGTTCTATGTTGAGTGGTTTCAAATCTTCAGTTGCTATTGCCAAACCTGCATCTCGTTTTCTAACACTTCCTCTCCTCAAGTCTATCTTCTTGGCATTTTCCACATCAAATGAATTCTTATAAAACATTTGAAATTCATCATCCTGGCAGAATTTAATTCATTCGATGGTCATCCAGGAAATCATATCTCCATCTTCATTTTTTTTTTGATGAACAAGTTTTTCACTCATTAAACAACCAAAATTCAAGAAATCGGTTTGCGTCATCTCTACGACTCTCAATGGCGGGGTTCTTCGAATATTTCTGGAACTTCTATTGCAGAATTCGTTTTCTTTTTGGCAGTCTCTATAGCTGCGTGTATAGTATCCGCTTCCATGTGGGAATGCCCAGGTTCCATGAAAAAATGATTAATTTCTTGAAGGTGTCGGCCTTGCCTTTTCAGTTCACTCATGAGGACACAAAACATTGTGCACATGTGAATGTTTCTGTTCTGTCCTGAAGAAGAATCACTATACTAATTCAGAACCCTTACGGAATCAGGCAATGCCAAAATAAATTTCCTTATGCACGAAGCAATTTCTTGACCTCCCCGGCCTGCTATAGTTTCATTCCATAAAAAACAAGTCCCAATACTTCCTGTCACAGTTGCATGATGAACTGTCAAATTGAAAGTCCATAGCTGTCTCTTATAGAAGATACTGCTGCGGAGATAAGGAGTAGGCAAGCATTTTTCTAAATCGAAGGAACAAACAATGAATGGAGAATCCTGTTTGCTTCTTTCTTTATCCGCGGCTTTCTGTTTATATGCTGCCTCGGCCATATCCAAATGTTGTTTTCTCTCGAATTCGAGTTGTTTTTTAGTCTCTTGCTCATCTGAGCTGAGTTCTTTGGCTTCGAATGATCTGAGACTAATATTGAATTTGTCACATTTAGCGCAGGTGTATGAAACGAAAGATTGAATTCTTCATTGAAAATTTTGCGATACTGACACTCACGTTCTGGATCTATATTATTATTCTGACAATATTCACAATAGAGTCTGTACATCAGAGCTATATAGATAAATCTGGGCTCAGATATTTTTTCGATGTGCGTTCTCTTGAATAGTGACTGCTGTATGAAGGAAAACTTGAAATGTGCTCTCTGATTGAATTTTTTCTTTCGGCAGAAATTTTTTTGTGATTATTATGTTTTCCTCGGCCATCTCTTGAACAAATATTTGTTCCGCTGTATCTTTTTTTTTCAATTATTACTCTCACCTTCTTAAGTGTGATATCGAAGGTATTCAAATACATAGTTTGACAAACTTCGATATCTTGTCCAATAGAATTTGTGATATAATATTTTCTTGTATACTTTCTTCTACTTACTCTGTCACCATTATCATTGTCTTGTCGTAAACGTTCTCTATACTTTTGTGATTCTTTAATCGTTTCAGCTATGAACTGATCTTGGCCGTTTCTAGAAAGACCATAAAAATCTTTGAAAAGTTTTGTTCGGAAAAGATCATCAAATTCTTCAAAGCATTTCTTCCTGCATTTACAAAATTCTTTCAATCTCTTTGCAGATTTCACCTTCTGTTTTTTCGAGATATATTCCTCGCCTCGCTTTTTTTTTTCTTTCCTCACATTCTCTTTTCACTCTTTCTCTCTGCGCACTCTTTTTCTTGTTCTGTCTTCCTCAAGTGTCGTTTTTCTTCCACCTCCTACACGTTTTTTCTTTTCCACAGTGGAATGCCCAGCTGGGTTTTTATTGATTCCATTTTCAGAAAAGTCTGAGTTTTCTCCTATTGGTGCGTAATCTCTATCGCATACAGAGTCATCACTATCTTCGGATATGTCTGAATCGATTCGTTCAATAATCTGAAAGAGCACGTTATAGTTTCATTATGCTATACAGATAGTTCAAATACACTCTCACCTCGAATTCATCTCTAACAGAATTGGTTTCGTTGGAAGGAATGATCACAGGTGAGTTCTGAAACGTGACAAATGCATAAGTCATAATTACTGCATTAAACACAAATATACATACCTCAGAGTTGCTACATGACAGATAATTTAGAGCAGCCTCCACAACTTCTCTCACATGCCTCAAATTTTCATAACAAGCATCAGAATCTATGAGCAGAATATTTGGTTCCTGGAGAGAACAACGATAAATATTCATTTCTGAGCGAGTTTTGAAAGTTACACTCACACATTGCACTGGAGTCAACAGATCGAGTTGAACAGTATTAAGCGCAAGATTTCTCACGTCTACTGGTGAAGGGCTGCGAGACACTAGCATGCCTTTCTCATTTCCTATAAAAATATCACAATTTCTACATTGATAGTTTTAAATCAGCAGGAAACGTCACTTACCATCTTTTGTAGCTCGTTTGCACCTTTCTAGAATTTCTAATGTTCGTTTACTCATTTCAAATTTGTTTTATTTCTGTTTCACACTATCGCACTCTCAATGTTTCACATCGGAATCAACTGGAAAGAACGTGGTTAGATGTCCGGTCAACAGAAGGATAACGAATACAAACTCATGAGGCCAATGTCCAGGAATTCCACTACACAATAAGACTTAAAGGCCAATGTCGAACATTGGCCCTTATTCTATATTTAGTAGGAATGGACATTTGCCTCAAATAATATCATCTATATCGCTTATTGAGATTAGTAGGACATTGGCCATTTTTATACGTGAAAATTTAAGAAGTATAGTGGGCCAAATAACTCAATTTGGCACAATGTGGACATTGGCCCTTGTTCTTCCAAGGTACAGCATTACTAACCAGAATTGCCCATCAATTGAAAGATTTTCATTCACTACATATCCACATCCCTCTCCTCCCTTGTGTCGATTAATCCACCGGAAGAGAACAGTTTACAATTGAAAATGTTTACGCAAAATTGCTGAAATTGGGTTTGTGATTACTTTTTATTTCCACAGCAGCCTGTTTCGACGTCATATTTGATTGCATGAAGGTATAATGTGGAAAAATCAGCTCATTTTCAGCCTATTATTAAAAACACTTGAACTTTGATTCTTGGATGACATATTTTTATTATCGCTTGGTGCGCGCTGAAAAGATTCCCTATAATGTTCGAAAGAATTGAATAAATACATAAATAAATGATTAAATAAACCGAAAACTTGAATACTCATTGTACCACAATCAAATTTCTTATAGTATTTCGCCAAGAGAGCATGTTATAAAAACTATGAAATTCAATATAATATATATATGTAATGTAAAAACTCACATTTTTCATTTCTACTGAATGCATCTCGAATCTTGTCTTCTGGAGTAGCACCCTTGCATTTTCTACAATATATCCTATATGAATAAAAGCATGTTGGTATCGAATATAATAATTCCATTTGGAAATTGGAAGCATAAATTAAATAAATATATATACTTAGGCGAGTCCTGAGGCAATGCAAAATTGAAGTGCAGAAGTTTATCTCAGCAGTTCAATTCATAACGTAACCTGAAGTGTTTGAACTATCTCGGACGGAATGTATTTTTTTTTCAAACGGCATATAAATTAGAATATGATACTTGACAGGCATCAAAGCTGCCTAGGCAGACAAAGTTTTTTGCGGTATAAAGTTCCAAGTAAATTGAATGAATTCGGTAATCCGAAACTGATACTGACATTGGATGAACACAAAATGATGGAGTTCTCAATAAAAAATTACACAAAATTCGTTCAATGATATTCTTGTTCTGTTCTTTTGTGAAACAGTCAGACATTTGTAATTTCATTTTTGTTTTTCATCTAACCATTTGATCTGCAAATTTGAGATAATTTCGAAACAAGTAACTCATCCATTAGGCATGTGGTGTAATCTACGAGCACTTTAATCGAAAATGGTTGTAGATTGTAATGTCTGTTATGAAGAGTAGAGTGAAAATAATTATTGGTCAATACATAAATGAGTTAGAACTGAAATTTATTAGATCTCAAATGAGTCCCTGACTTCTGTAATAACACTGCAGCTATTACGATCCAGTATTTTTCATATCTAGATTTATGTATTTTAATATTCCACTTTTATTTACATTGAGTGTGATTGAAAAATATCTTCCATTAGTATAGAATGAATTTCCCGAATCCCTTTTGTCATACTTATATCACATCAGAATTAGCATTCCAACCAATAAAAACTCATAGCTCAGAAGGAGCCGGAAGAGTTGAAGAAATACAATGAGATGACTCACCAGTCTGGATGTACTTTCCAAAAAGAAGAGGCCAGCAAATACGAAGTGGATTCCACTGTTGGCAGTTCGATTTTGGATTTATCAATTATATCGAAACCATACTTGTCAGGCAGAACGACTCCAAGAGTGAAAGGACCAACAGGAGCAAAGTAGTAGTGCCTGTTTGTCAACATTACTCTTTTCTGAAAAAATTAAGACTTCCAAATTATTCATGTGTTGTTGAAGGGAAAGTCAATGCAACTTTTTGTATCTCTTCGCTTGTCCCGTAAAATCCCATCGTCACACATAATAATTGAAAATGAATATCTATTCGATGTTTTTCTATTATAGAGATGCTTTTCGAATTACATTGATGTTTAACAAGTTAACAATTGGCCGAATCATTTTAGATAAAGATGAATGCTCAGTGGACGAAGAGTAGGTATATTGAAGCATACCTAAGTGGATATTAAGGTCTTCCAAACATGTGAGATTTTTCATCTTGTCATATATTTCCTTATTAATGAAACGTAATATAAATTTCATCATGAATTGAAGTGATGGAGCAATCAGTAGGTGTGAATTATGTGGTCCACATAACGATGACCGTATTAATCTCAAAGTGCTCAAAGTGGGATATACTATGAATGGAATGAGGGTCCGATGTATGTATTTGTTTTTCATGATGATGGATATAATTGATGGAAATTAGTGTACTGATAACCAAACAATATAATATGGTTTCGAGAATAGATATCATCATATTTTCTATATTGATTATGGATACAATTTTTTTTACTGCACACGTCAAAAAGTGACAAGGTTCGAGAATGGATAACAAATTATGAAGTGACACTTTTTTTCAGTTTCCGGAACGATGCGCGAAGAACATACTTCGGCGCGCATTGTTATGTTAACTATATGAGATTTTTGTACTTAGACCTTCATGATCCTGAATCGAGCAAACATCCAAGAAAGCATTCATTTATTTCTGATGTATAACAACATTTTTTTTGTATCCCATTGGACCGCACGGAAGAAAATTCCTATAATACTCAATGATACACAAAGCCATCTCCACGAAATTTGATGTGATTAACACATCAAAAATTGGTTGAATCATGGACTTCTACTTGCTTCTACGAAAGATTAATCCTTATAATGTTCGTGGAACATCGTGCGTACCTAAGGAGGATAGGGAGTGGCCTCTTAAGCTAGTTTAACACAATTTTTTATAAGGCTGATGATAGACATATATATGTTCGAAACATGTACCAATTTTTGATGTGTTAATCACATTTTTAGTCGTGGAGATGACTGGGTATCATTCAGTATTTAATATTTGACTTCACTTTGAGAAACTATGGACTTCTACCAAATATTACAATTTTTTATATTGAACTAAGCATATTACTACTCAAGCACTGTATTTTTGACATTTGTATAAAAACATATTCTTGCAGCTCGTGCGCAAAATACTTCTCATCTAGACAATTTTTTTAACTCTGCTGTGCCTCGTTGAGAAAATTATTTCTCGATCACCAAAGTATAGCATCTTGCGCACTAGATACAGAAAAAACTAATACAGTTACAAGAAAATGGTTCACTTTTTTTCATGAATTTCTTCGTGTTCCGAAATCTGATCTTTCAGACTTATTCGCTGACTATGAATAAAAAGGTATACTTACGTTATCGTTCAAAGGATACTTTACATTCAGCGTTACAGGAATACTTTGATTCTGATTCACTAATCTATCGCGAAACTGAAACCAATGAATGGGTATAAGTATAGGTATTAGAATTTCAATTCTCAAGTTGCCTCAAATACTGAGGAGGAAAGGGATTGCTCAGTATAGCGATTTCATGATCAACTTTGACAATGTTCTATCGACTTGGAAATTCATTATAATATAGATTCATTTATGAAATGACCAATTAATATCTCTTTCAATTAATTTTACCATTACTCGATCCATATACTTCGTGATGCTGAAAACAATATGCATGCTTCTATTTATGAATAGAGTGAATTGGGTACCACTTCGAATCCATCAATTGATGGTCATGGTCATGGTCTTGTCATACATTGCTCTCCATTGGACTACAGACCAGATATAATATATCTACGACATTTTCATATTCATCTCGATAGATATCTAATCATATAAGCAGGTTCAACATGGTTTCCTTCAATAATTTCTTCTACTAATATTTTCGCTATTCGCTAATGAAAACTGTCAAGCCACCTACTTTTATACATACACCGTGTCTCACTTTAAACACCCCTCCTCTCTATATCTCATTCTCAACTATCAGTCGTGCGATTCTTACCAAATTTGTACAAGCCTAATTATATACAGTGCCGGGGGGACATTTTTCATAAAAGCATAATAATATAGGTATTATAGGATTATTGCAGAAAAACGAACTAAACCCCTGCATATGTAAAATTTCATATAATTCCCATATAGTCCAGTCATTAGGTGGAAACTTCAAAACACATTTTGAAGTAGTTATGCATTTTTGATATACTGTGAGGACGTAAAAAGTCCTCCCCCCCTCTTAAACCTTTGAACAGAACAAGCTAGCGAGGTAAAATTCAGGCAAAAAGGTGACTCTTCTACTACTATTTGGCATGAAAATGGTTGTGGTAACGTGACCTAGTGTCAAGTGGGCACAATCAACTTTTTTTTTCAAAAATAAAGAGGGGTCACGCGGTACCTTGTTTTGAAGGCCTTTCGATTCTCTATCCAACACCGTTTCGTTTGTACAAATCGGCCAAACCGTTTCAAAATGACAAACTTTTGAAAGCTTCAAATATCAACATTAATGAATAAAGAACCTAAATAACTTTCAGTTGCAACAGAATTTTAAGCAGGAATTGTAACAAGTGCTCAAACATGCTGGAAATTTTCATCGTCCCCTTATTGAAATGAAAAAAATCGGTTCTGGAATTCAATCCGAACGTGATATACTGTTTCCGAGGTACAGGGTGGGCAAAATTGGGCGTTTTCACCGTCTATCTCAATAACTAGAGGAGTTATCGAAAAACCGATATACATGTTCCGGGTTCGATTTTGGAGAAACCTCGAATGGCACAATCAAAACTTCGATAACTTCATTCGTTTTAGAGATACAGGGGGAAATTGAAAATTTGCCGATTTCGATTTTATTTTCTGACTACTTTACGGTGAGAGGTATCAAAAAATTTCGAACGTATATTCATACAGTATGATGCGTGAAATCCATTGGCATCATCAGAAATTTTATACAGGGTGACGTTGAGAAAATACGGCAGCCAATTATGTTTTTTCTAATGGAACACCCCGTATATTTTGACACAGTTGAATAGTCCCAGGCGTTCTCATTACAAATATATATATAACCCTACCTTTTCCTTCCACAACTTCAGATATATTCGCAAAAATATATTCAGTGTGTCACATTTCTTATGGTTACACCCCCGTATCTTCTGTAAGAATAATTGATGGAAATATTAACAATCATAATATTTTGTGGCAGAATGCCTGAATATGATACTTTACCCATTATTTCTAGTATGCCTCAATATTTTTGCGTTCAAAGAGATAATAAATAAGATATATATTTGAAACTGAAACGGAAACTTTCCTCTCTGCCAAAATATACGGGGTGTTCCATAAAAAAAATTGTTCTGTATCTGGAATTTGTCTTCTATAAGGCTATATTTTTCAACGCAACCTACTGATTTCCTAATTGAGTAAATTATTGGTCTTATATCTGTATCTCAAATGTCTTGATAACAATGATATCAAATCGAATAATTTCCCATTATATTTCTCACCAAATATCCATTTATCTGGAAATTATATTCCCTGTGATATTTATTTTCCACATTCGGTGAATATATACAGAGTGTCATTTTCAACCTCGATTCTGCCTGTTGATAGCATTATCCAGAAATATCGATGATTCCATAGCTGCTGGCGAGCAGTGTTATCATTGGAGATGATCCCACTTGGTCCATGACTCCATGAGTGTATCATTTGTATCTTTCTGACAGTTGCGAATTTTTGAATCCTACCTCAATTATTTTTACAGAAGATACGGGGGTGTTACCATAAGAAATGTGACACACTGAATATATTTTTGCGAATATATCTGAAATTATGGAAGGAAAAGGTAGGGTTATATATATATTTGTAATGAGAACGCCTGGGACTATTCAACTGTGCCAAAATATACGGGGTGTTTCATTAGAAAAAACATAATTGGCTGCCGTATCTTTTTAACGTCACCCTGTATAAAATTTCTGATGATGCCAATGGATTCCACGCATCATACTGTATAAATATACGTTCGGAATTTTTTTATACCTCTCACCGTAAAGTAGTCAGAAAATAAAATCGAAATCGGCAAATTTTCAATTTCCCCCTGTATCTCTAAAACGAATGAAGATATCGAAGTTTTGATTGTGCCATTTGAGGTTTCTCCAAAATCGAACCCGGAACATGTATATCGGTTTTTCGATAACTCCTCTAGTTATTGAGATAGACGGTGAAAACGCCCAATTTTGCCCACCCTGTACATTTCAAACGCTTGTCATTTCGAAACGGCTCGACCGATTTGCACAAACAAAGCAGAGTTGGATAGAGAATCGAAAGGCCTTCGAAACAAGGTACCACGTGACCTCTCTTTATATTTGAAAAAAACAGTTGATGGTGCCCACTTGACACTAGGTCACGTGACCACAACCATTTTCATGCCAAATAGTAGTAAAAGAGGTACCTTTCTACCTGAATTTCACCCAACCTCGCTAGCTTGTTCCGTTCAAAGGTTAAACGGAAGGAAGGTTTCCCACCAAAATGTTTTTCTGGAATTTGAGTTAGACGATTGTATGACGTAGGTGAAGAGATAATACGAGTTGACACTGTCGGCCCAGTACCGGCTGAATTATAGGCAAACGATTACAATATGCAATACAATAGGCCGACGTTTGACCGCTTCAGCTTCGTCATGGCCAGCAATCTGCCGATTTTAATCATGTGCTGGGCCAAAAGGCAGCCAGAGAGATTTTATCTTTGCTGGGATGTAGATGTTGCGGTGTGTTGCCGTAGTGATTTCATTAAGAATCGTGCCTTTTTGAAAATTGGAATTAAACACGCTGAAACGTTTTCCAAATAAGCATAGTAGGAGACCAATGGAAAAACTCAATTTCACATCAAGATTGGAATGTAAAGAGGTTTACCTACGGCTGCTATAAGGAGTAGGCAAGAACACACGAGATACAGCCTCAGTAAGTAGCTCCTTACGCACAGTAAGCACATCGCACAGTTTTCGTTTATTCCGCCAGCAGATATAGGTATGTCATGATCGCGTAATCGCCTTCAACAGCGGATGACATAACTGTCAAGAATTATAAGTCGGACTGTTTGTTCAAACTTATATGGCAGTAGGTGAATTATAGTACGTAATGCGTGTTGTAAAGCAACTACGCACACATGGAATTACGCCCTCACCGCCTTCTTACAACACAAATTACGTAATATACTATTATGAGTTGATCAAAATGGCAATGCCTGCGAGAGCTGATTTTATCGTACCTAACATGGAAGATTATATTAATTTTAATAATTCGTGATGGGCGTGTACACCTTAGTAGAACTTTTAACTCAAACCATGTTTATAATGATCCTTTTATACATAAATAATGATTGACGACATAATTCGATAGAAAAATTGACTGAAATGTTTAATTTTTGAACATTAATGATAGTATACCTTCAGAAAACGGACCCTCGTATGACGTAGAAACCTCATCTCTCCATAGTTAAAAGAGAATACGAAACGCCCGACGGAGACTGAGGCAACTGATATATTAATTCTTTCAACTGTGATCTCGCGCTAATTCACTCTGTCAGAAATCATGTATCATTCATCTCTGTCTGGAATAGTATTGTTTCAATATTAGGGTTTTGACACGTCACATCATCGCCTCGTTTTCAGAGGTATCGGGTATTTGAATAATTTCTTATAAAACGTAGGGAGCTCACAGCAAGAAACGGTTTGAGGTGGTGAGCTAGATTGGGTGAGTTCTATCGAATTATGAAATAAAAAGTTTTTATGACATAAGCCCATTATAATTCAAGTATATATACATACCTTTACAATTAATTCATTGAAAACCCTAGGCTCATTTTCATCATTTAAAATCTCGACCTCGCAAATATCTACTCGATTGAATGTGGGTTTTAGGATATTTTGAAACTGAAATAAGAAAGGTAGGATTAGTATGATAATCATTCGTTTGATGATGAGTGGTAATTACTTCAGGCCGATGATCAGGATGGAATAGGACGAATCCATTGTTGGTGACGATGAAGGCATATCCATTCACACCCAACTACAAATCAAGAAGAACCAAGGATGCTTCAATATAGAGGGATGATACAGAGTACAGTTGTATAAATGATTTTCATGCCAAAACATATCATTCAATCAAGATTCTCCAATTGATTAGTTGATATTCAAGCATTATTTTTTTATTAACACTCAACTACACATGATGAATGAAAAGGAAGTAGAAAAGAAAAAACAATTTGGAATTTGATTTCAATACCTCATACAGGGTGTCTGAAAAAGGTCTGTACAAAATCTTAGCACATAATCATGAGGTCAGAATAAGCAGATTCCCGATTAAGCTCTGCTTTCGAGATACAGGGTAGTGGAGATAAATGATTAAAATCGGTAAGTACACTCCAAGAAAGTGTGAATATATTTTTCTACGGCTATAACACAAAATTGCTCTTGTTTTACTGTGTTCGATGCATCAATGAGGTACTTTGTTTGTCATTAATATTATTTGGGTATCTGGTATCACAATGAATCCATTGTGTTATTATTTCAGAAAAATATCATCGCCCTGGGAATTTCAAATTTCAAGTAATGACAGCTGTCTAATGGATGAGCATTATTTGAGAGGAAATCAAATGGCTACAAGACGAAGAAATCAAAAATGTTGCTGTTTCTTGTTACAGCCGTAAAAAAATTATATAGTGTTCAACTCGCATGGAATGCTAATTTCCCACCCGAATGATTGCAGCATTCGCCTATGGCTCATGCTGCAAACTTCATTCTCGTGGAAAATCACTATCATTCCGTGATCGTTAAACAATATACTATATTGTACTGCTAACTTACTGACCAGATAACATCAAATGAGACAACAGCAAACATTTCTACTCCACAAAAAATAATGTGAGAAAATACACTGAGAAAAAAGTTATGACTACTCTGCTACACCATATTAAGTGCATTGTTAAGCGCCCGCCTCTAATGGCCACAGTAACGAGGTCTGCGTATCCATGTTTCGCATTCCGAAGAACATTCAAATATCAGACTTTGAAGTAAAACGATCAAAAATGGTTATAAATTCTGAGAAATTCGATTTTTATTCGTCAACTTGACCACCCAGTAATTCGGAAACGAAGCAATTTCAGACAGAAGTAAGTGGCTTTAAATCGGCTTATCCAAAAAAGAAATATTCTTGTCGATTCATTCTTCTTTAACATACTTCTCTCTTAAAGATATAATTTGAGGAAGCTGGCAGTTGGAACATCTGACGAAAGAAATTCTTCAAGAAAAAATTGGGGATTGCCACGTATAGCCAAATGATGGATAACGGAATTCAAGATGGGTTGATGAAGCTATGAAAAAAATACTTTTGGCTATCTACTAGTGTCATTCATGAAGCCGGCATCATATGGAAAGAACTCTTAATGATAATTTATTTAGAACCTCGATCAAAAATCCCAATTCTGAACCACCCTGTATGTATTCTGATAAAATATCAATTGATAGTACATGAAAAGTTGAGAAAGGGTCATGAAATTATGAATAGTTTCGACACAAAAAGTTCTTAAAGTTGAAAAATCTCGATTTTTCAAACCCTTTATCATTCTTAACATTCCCGATAGACCCCAAGTGTGATAGATCGATGGAATCAACTCTTCGGGAAAAATCTGAGAATTGAATGATATACAGGATGATTCATTGAAGAAATGGAAGTTGTTGCTACTTTCAAATATAAGCGGCAACGTCGCAGTGTTGAGAATATTTAAGGCGATAGAACACAATTGATTATCCAAGGCATCAACTTTTCAGAATAATCCTGAGTTACGTTCTCCAGAAACGTCTTATGTGCAGCGTGAATCACCCTGTTTTTATATCATCTCTCAATACTCCTTACCATCCGCATGACTGTTAACCATATGATTTCAACATAAAATATATTCCTTTTTATTGCTTCGTGAAAAATACATACCCTCTCAAAAGGAATGAGATCTTTGAATAAATGTAAGGGAACATCGATTCCAGCAACCCCGAGTAATTCATACTAAAACAAATATTTGAAATATCAATGATTATAACAATTCTTCAACAATAATATGGTGACGTAACTCGTGTGAGTCAATAAGGTCATCATCTGACGTTACGATGACACTAAAAATACAGGAAAACATGTCTAACTTTCAATCTAAGCCAGGAGTTAGGGAAATTTTCACCTAGTTTTCATGTCATCGCAACGTCAGATGATGACCTCGACTACCGCAAATAGGTATGTATTCATGTATGAAAATAACAATGATTTCCATAGAAATGAGAATAATTAAGTATAATGTTAGTTACTTGATCATGTCGTCTATCATACACTGGCAGCGAGACTGTTGTCATATATTTGAATTTCCATTCCTTTTGATATTTTTGATAGCCCTGAAATGAAAAAAGAAAAATGATAGTGATCAAGCAACTATTTAATTGTGCTTCGAATCATTTAATAGGTATAAATATGTATAATAGGTCATATTGGCCTGTCGAAAATACATGTGATAAGATTGAAAACTTACTTACATCAATATCAAAATTCTCAAGTGTATTCGAGGAAAACTTGTAAGGTTTCGTCTTATGTTCATTTTGATTTATGTCACTGATTTTATTTTCGCTACGTGAATAGACTTTTGATATTGACAGTATACAATATGTCTTTTAATTTGAGAATCCCTAACTACTTACATGAGTTGATTTCAAGAGAACGTGATCAGAGCTAGTGAAATTCTTTTGTTGTCTATAAAAATCTCTTTTGATGTGATCGATGAGAACCTCCCGCTGACGGATGCCCTCGAATTTTTTCCACAGCCAATTCGATAATCGCCGATCGGCTAAATCGACGTGAAGGTAGCTCCAGATGAACTTCCTATTCTTTTTCTCGCTCATGTTTATCGGTCGTGACATTACGTTCAGATACTGTAACATTTTCTCCCGAATATCACCCATTTCAGTCATATTGCCCCAATACCCTACAAAATGGATCAATATGTATTGTCAAGACTCTGATATTGAACTAACTCCTTGACTTCATCAAGAAAATAAACGCAATTACGATTGATATTTGAAGTCGTAGTTATTGTAGACTCGGAGCAATAGTTTAGTCATGAAGTTAGGTTCAGGTATTGATACAGACAACATTCCCTGATATATGAAATGTCCTATGGGAGCAATGAAATTATCGAAAGTTTAGAGAGGTAATCGCACTGCAGATGAAAGATTGCACTGCCAGAACGAATAAATATCAGATAGACTTCAAAATGTGAAAGAAATGTCGCGTTCTGGTGAGTGCTCTTACAATATCTATCAAGAATTTCGATATTCGTGAAATGATTCAATGAATTACATTCTTGCATAAAAATGACTAGATAATTGTGCATTCAACCGTGTTATCCTATACAAATTGCATTCGTATATTTTCATATTTAGAAAAAGAGCTCGATCCCGAAGGAGGAGGGCTCCTGCGCCAAAATATGAAGATAAACTTGCAATTTTAGATAACACGCCCTCATCCTTCGAACTCCGGCTCTTTCGCCAAAATATGAAATTAATCTCTTACAATTTTTAGATAACACGCCCTCATCCTCCGGACGCTGTTTCTGTCGCTGAAATATCAAAATTGACTGAAAAAACCCTGGCAATCTTTTCATTTTAGACATCACGCTTTTTAGCAAAATTCTAGGCGATTTCCATGCACTCATGCGTTTCCATCCGAGAAGATATCACATTCTGGAGCCGCTGCCAAATCGAAGATTCTTGGATGAAATATCTTATTCATCTCGGCATGAATTGTTCGTGAAACAAAATAGAACAACCTCTATAACTTATTTTCACTTCAACACAATTGTCAGAATTCACTAGGTACTCATAATGATTATGAACTCATCAGTTATTGTAGGGTATATAACAAAATGAAATATATGGATTATTCAAAGATGAACATAGCGGCACTGCAAAGTTTCGTAGTTGGCGAACGATAACAGTAGTGAATATCGTCATTTGTCGTTTTGTTATGAATGTTTTTTTTGGTTATAGTGTGATAAGTTTTCGGTGGTTCAGTAACTCATTCAATTCAATGAATCTAAAGCAGACTGTTCTGTTAATGAATAATAATAATAAAAATAATAATAATAATAATAATAAAGCGTCTTTATTCACAATGAGGAAACAATAAATGAGAACATATAAATTTTGTGAGTCGAAGTGGGATCAAAGTGAAAGGGCGGAGTGTCAGCTTACGCTGTTTTTGAACTCAACCTTGAAAATACATTCACAATAACCAAAATTAATTAAGAGAAATACAAAAAGGAGTCTTAGACTATCATGTTTTTGAGAAACAAAATTTTGTATACAAATTAAGCCAACTTATACTATATAAAGAACCATAGTCGCACATCATGATGAGTGACCCATATACCGCATAAGAGGAGAACTAGGCATGAAGAAGCGACTTCAGCCTTTTTTTGAAGTTTTTGATCGTGAACGATCTATATTCACTGGGAAGCGAGTTGTATAGTTTCGGAGCTATATAAGAGAGACTACGTGTACAAATTTTTGACTTGTGTTTGGGAATGACTAAGACTGATATGTTGCGTGTTGCGAACCTATTTATATTCGAAAAAGTTTTGAGTTTGCTCGATAAATATACAGGCTTTCCTGTGATTAAAACTTTATGAGTGTTTGTTAGCAGGTGTAATCTTCTGAGCTCTTCTAGTCTCAGCCAGCCTGATTTTCTCATAGAAGATGATATGTGGTCAAATTTGCGGACCCCAAAGGAAAAGCGTAAGCAGCTATTTTGGATGCGTTGTAGGCGCATAGAATCAGACTGCCTTAAGGCAGTCCGTAGATACTGTCACAGTAAGAGACTTTAGAAAATATTAATGATTCACATAGTTTGAGCTTGAGGTTCGTGGTGAATAAGTCGCGATTTGATAACAATTGCCTGAGAACGTTGTAAGAGGATTTGATAAGAGAGTTTACGTGCCTAGTGAAGCGAAGATCCGAATCGAGCCACAGTCCTAGGTTCTTAGTCTCTGAGACGAAAGTTAGGATGTCATCACCAATGCGAATTTGAAAGGCATTCTGAGTGTCTATTCTATCTTTTTTTGATCCGAATATCATTACAGTAGATTTCATGGGCGGAAGGAATGTCGTGAATAGTCTTCTGCATTGGCCATCGAATGATTCGGTGTTGAAAATACTTTGAGATCTTGCCAGCGCCAATTATTGTTGTTGTTCTATCCGTCATTTGGTTATCTACTTAAAAGCAACCCTCAGAAGTCTTCGAGAGACTTGGCGAGCAAGGAATGATGAGATGGAGAATTGATGCGAATCTCTCAAAGTTCTCGGAACAAGGTATGCGAATTTGTGAATCTCTTCGTGGGATATCGGTTAGGCCTCATTGATAATATCTTTGCGGCGGACATTTGAAGCAAAATAGCGCTCTCGGCGACCGCAAAAAGAAATAACGGAAGGCGTCACAATTTTATGATAGGAGGTTGGTTGGGGAGTACTCGAGCACGCCTCATATTTTGAAAATTTTCTCCTCTGAGACGAAATTAGAAAATAACTGTGTGAATATTGACTGTCAAAGTCAGAAAAGTTGATCCTTGAAGACCCTGATGTAAAAGAAAGAACACTTTTCCAAGGTGAAGTTCACAATTCCACGTATTTGTTCATAAACATTCGAAACGTTGTGGAAACCTTGAATTGATCAACTGAAACATGATGAATTTGCACTGATAATTGCTAGTATTTCTTCAAACAGTTATAACATATCTATATAACGTGGGTCAAAAATATGTCACATATATTCCTATTAATTTTTTCATTAATTTTTTATTTCAATTTTATTCTGTTTCCCTTCGTGTTCTTCCTTCTTGATATAGAATCTACTTTCTGAAGTCTATAAAGATCTCAATACGCAATGAAGACAGCGCGATACACTTTCGTTCAATTTTATTAGGAGCTCAATTGGTTCTTCTTCATCTGATGCCGAATTGTATATTTTGTTTTGTTCAGGACTTACCCATATTAGAACATGCTATCCATTCCATTTCTTTGGCATCATTATCATCATGACCTAGTTGGTAAGTGAAAATTCTGACTGGAAAATCTTTATTCCAGTTGCGAATTCTGAATAGTTCCTTATTGTACTCGTAATCAATTCCTTCTGTGATAAGCATAATTGCTTGATTGCATTTGGCACCTGAAACAAATGATTTACACTGACTCTTCTTTGAATCTATACAGGGTGTCCGCTAAAAGGAGGTCAATCCATTAACCACATATTCCTTGAACAAAAACAATATGAGTTTCTAAATATCATTTTTCATTTTAGCCCTTCATATTCGGTATACAGGGTGTCAAAGTTGAAAATTAAAAACTGTTTTTTTCTATATACTCGCGTAATTAATAAGATATTAATCTCAAAATAGGTACATTACTTCAGCACAAAGAGTTACATCGTGTGAGGAAAACAAAACAGAAAATAACTGTCAAATATTCAAAATACTGGGGGTCAAGTACACACTTACCCCCTTTTTTTTTTTGTACGTGCGCTAATGACTTCCTATCTATTTTTCTTCATGTGTTCAATCATTTTTGAGTATTTTTTGATTTTTGTAAAATTCCGATAAAATTATTTGTTTTTAAGATAATTCGAAAAGTACTGGTTATTGTTTGATGCCTTGCGGCTTACGGTAATCTCATAATGTTCACATACTCCTATTTATTTCATCGAAATTGGAAGAGGGCGTATCTTATTACGTACGGAGAGGTAAATATGTAAATACCGGGTGCTCAGAGCGAATGTATTAAAATAATTTTTACACTTTTTATTTTTTTTTTTTGTAAAAATTATTTTAGTACATTTGCTCCGAGCACCCGGTATTTCCATATTCACCTTTTCGTACGTAAAAAGATACGCCCTCTTTCAATTTCGACGAAATAAATAGGAGTATGTGAACATTATGAGATTACCTAAGCCGCGTAGGCATCAAACAATAACCAGTACTTTGCGTATTATCTTAAAAACAAATGATTCAATCGAAATTTTACAAGAAACAAAAAATACTCAATAATGATTGAACACTTGAAGGAAAATAGATAGGAAGTCATTAGCACACGTACAAACAAAATATGGGGGTAAGTGTGAACTTGACCCCCAGTAACTTAAATATTTGACAGTTATTTTCTGTTTTGTTTTCCTCACACGATGTAACTCTTTGTGCTGAAGTAATGTACCAATTTTGAGATTAATATCTTATCAAATACGCGAGTAATTAGAAAAAAACAGTTTTTAATTTCCAACTTTGACACCCTGTATACCGAATATAAAGGGCTAAAATGAAAAATGATATTTAGAAACTCATATTGTTTTTGTTCGAGGAATATGTGGTTAATGGATTGACCTCCTTTTAGCGGACACCCTGTATATTTATCTTACTTCTTCTTGTTGTACGAAAATTTTCTAGGATATCAAACGCTTTCTCCATTCCCAGATTCAAATCTGCTGCGAATTCTTCCTCATAAACTGGCAGCTGTTCTCTGAGCAGTCTCAGGTTCTCCTCGTTTGCCTGGAAAATTTCGTTATACTATCAACATCTTCAAAGGACCCCGAACTTTTTGTAGGTGAAATAGTTCCCCATAAAATTTTCTGAATTCTTAGTATATTGTAGAATTCGATGAACTCATTTAACTTGCAAAATCGTAGAGTTAATTGATGAACAGATTTTGAAATACAGAGCGTTCAAGTTACAAATCGGTAATTTTTATTCAATTATTTTTCATGATACACAATATTATTCAGATGGTTCAGATTGTGTCATTGTATATAAAGTGGAAAACAAAAACATTTAAGTGATGTCTGAAGATTCGATGTAATGATAAAATATCAATATACTATTCTGCCTGGTGGGTGACGCCACACTCACTCACTCTTTGACATCATTGGAACACCGTAGAAAGGTCGGCGACCTTTCCCTTTTCTATCGATACTTCCACGGGAAATGTTCTTCGGAAATCTCTGCTATCATCCCTTCACTAGCAAAACCAGTCAGACGAACTAGACAATCCCAGTCAGCACATCCTTTCGTTGTCAACGTCGAGAGATGTGGAACAGCACTTCATCAAAACTCCTATATTCTTCCTAGGAACGCACGATGTTCTTTGAACATTATAGGGATTTCCTTTCGTGCTCGTATATGTATTCCTTACAGGTTGATTTGAAGAATTGGTGATACATTTATGACCCAGTCATACATACACATCCTGTATATTTAGATGAATTGTTATCCTCCAACAAAGCGCAGATACGGCCTGTTTTAGAATATTGTTTCCACATATGGGGTTCAGCACCAGAACATACGCTGATGCTCTTAGATTCCATCCAGAGAAGAGCCATCCGCCTGGTGGGTGACGCCACTTTCACTCACTCTTTGACATCATTGGAACACCGTAGAAAGGTCGGCGACCTTTCACTTTCCTATCGATACTTCCACGGGAAATGTTCTTTGGAAATCTCTGCTATCATCCCTTCACCAGCAATACCAGTCAGACGAACTAGAAAAGCCCAGTCAGCACATCCTTCCGTTGTCAACCTCGAAAGAACCTCGAACAGCACTTTATCAGAACTCTTTCATCCATAGAACGGCTAGGCTCTGGAATTCATTGCCTGAGGAAGTATTCCCAACAACATATAATCTCCAGAAGTTCAAAAAAAATCCAATACCTACCTCCTATCCCTATCCTCCCTAGGAACGCACGATGTGCTTTGAACATCATAGGGATTCCCTTTCGTACGCTCCAAGCGATAAAAAATATATATATAGCCGATACCATATGAACATGATTCCATTGGGACATATAGGGTGATCATGAAGATTTTCGATGATGAAAATGACAAAATATTGTGTTTTTTGATAGAACCCTGTTATTCAAGATTATCTTGATGAATTTCCTCAATCATTTCATAATATATTTCTCATTTGTTCCTCAACACTGTCTCAACAATTCAATTTCCTATCATGACTGGTTTCATAGTTGATAATTTGGGAACTACTATTTGGATGAAGAGTTGAAGAAATTTGATCATACGGTATCAGCTATCGTTGGAGAATAACAATTCACTCAAATATACAGGATGTGTATAAATGAATCGGTCATATGTGTCACCAATTTTTCAAATCAACCTTTATGAAAGGTATGAATTGTGATTCATGATGGAATGAGAATAGTATATTGCATGACAACATATTTTGTCGCTTTTTCATCATCACATGGAATTTTCAGGCATCACTATAATATTTTTATTTTTCACTCTGTGAACAATAACATAATCTGAACCATCTGCATAATATTGAGTGATATGAAGGTACTTCAATGATATAAGCGCAGAAGAATGCACTTGGCACCATCAAATCTCGAGAAAAAATTTAAATTCAAATTTCCGATTTGTCACTTCAACGCCTTGTATTTCAAAATCTGTTTATCAATTAACTCTATGATTCTGCACGTTCAATCAATTCATCGAATTGATTGATTGATGTAGATAACTTACCTGGAACAATGTGTCGTTGAAACATTGGACCAATGGCTCTGTAGTGTTAGTGAAAGTATAGATATTCACGAAATCGTTGTCATTGAGCGTATCCAATATTTGGTTCACGATTTGTGTAGCAACAATCCTCCTTTTACCTTTGGTTGATCCAGACCTATCCAGGAGAATTATAACGTCTTTTGGTGAAGTGAGTGCTTCTGTATACCAAGTTCTCGTACGGAAATCGTACGTTTTATCATATTGTTCATCAGACCATTTCACAGCTAAAAACATATAATATGAATTAACTTGATTTTGCCCGCAGATCGCGTTGTTATCTAGACAGATCAGATGTACCGCTTCCGAGGCATTTCAAACCTAAAATGCATAATTTTTCTGTTTTTAAACGTGTGAGTCCATACTGCTCAAAGTGGAGTAGTAGTGTTTGGAGGAAGAGTATGGATGATTTTGAGATTTACTCTTCCTTTTTTGTTTTTGTTGAAACAATATTTCTGAGGAGCAATTCATTCTATACCAAAATATGAAACATCATCGAAAAAATCCCTTTTTTATTTTGATTTTTTTCTTTCAATTATGTTTGTTTGTTTTTTACATTTGTGCAACATCACGCATGATGACTATCTATAATAGGTAATAAATATTCAATACGGAACTTTCTATATGAACGAAACATTTGAAGATGAGAATTTGTGATAGCTTATAGTATTTGGGATATCCAAAAGTATGGAAAAATGGAATGGAAAATCCAGGTCCGTATTCTGAAAAAAATGATTGATGATGAAGAAAAAGTGACCCTGATAAAGTATCATTCATTCATATCAATTCCTTCAAAGAACTTGGAAAAAATATTTAAAAGTTTATAGGAAATTTCGGTTTTGTTTTCGAATATCTCCGGAAGTATTCGACATTTTCTTTCAAAACGACATTTTGTTAGGCATAAAATTGCGCAACTCTACCATGATTCAACCGACCCTGTATCTCTCACAGTTGACGAGATCCACATGATGAGGCTCGAATGCCAATCACAATGAAAAGCATGTTGTTGCTTGGTGCTTGTTATTTATTTTTCGTAATCCCATTTTGTTATCTTGATTCAACGGTATTCAGATGACAATTGGAAAATCAATGTTAACGGCCACCGGCCGTTAAACAATCTTATATAACGGACAGGGGCTCCGTAACAACGCGATGTTGGCATTTTTCTGTACAATGACGGCGTGCGTGGTTTGTCTTTATTTCGCAATCAGAATATAATTTTTCAGCAAGATTACGAAAAGTTTTGAGCGACACACGGCCGATGCGCAAATAATGGATTCAACCTCATCCGTTATTTGCTACATATCGGTCTTGTAATGTTAATAACTGCTGAACCTTCATATCGAGATATTTGTAATAGTATTATAAATTATTCGTTATTTTGTGATGAGTAAATTGATTAATTGATTGATTGATTGATATGGAACCTGAATTACTTACCAGGGTAGTGTCTCATGAAACCTCTAGGACTCGCAAAATACTGCCATGTCAAAGAAGAGTCATTTGCGTGGTTCTCTTTGAAAACCAAGTCTAAGGCTTCAGACCATCTCAGTCCTTCAAGAACGCCTTGCTCTGGAATCACAAAAAACATATAAATCATACAATCAAGTTTCGATATTGAATTTCCAGGGATTGGATTATAAACAGACAAGAGATATAATGGGGTGTGAATTTTATTATTTTCCCACCTAGTCTTCACCAGAAAATGCATCGATCTCGAATTTCATTTCATGAGCGATTATGTAATGACTCAGAATGGGAAGCGAGTTGAAACCATGTTCGTCAATAAACAGGGAGATACGTAATTCGAGTGAACATACATACACTTTGTCTTTTGCCTTCTATCAGTGAAAGTGACAATTCAGTCCCACAACACTTTTGTAACACTTCAACCAATAAAACTTTGAGGCTGAACTTCTATTTTTCTATCTGCTTCTTAAACCAGCTGTTCCACAAGTAGTCATCTCAATAAAAGAAGTTTCAACTGTGCATTCATGTCTATAGAGTGACCTATTTGAAAGCGTGCCATCCTGTATTCAGGTAGGTAGCGATTTTGACGAACTTTAAATTCAAATGTGGAGGAGAATAATGTAGATTTTGAAGCTTAACAATGTCCATTTCTACTAAAAACTAGGTCCTACTAGATCACATTCAGAATCCATATTAGCGACTTTCTTAGGAAGAATCTGCGTGCGTCACTGTAATCGACATCTTCCGAAATAGATGTGTACCAAGTTCCATGAAAAAATATTCAATATCGACAATACTATGAAATATAGTAATATGAGAATGTCCATTGAAATGTTTTTATTGAATAAAGTCATTCCCATTTGTTATCGCATGGGTTTTCAACTTTTCTCACCTACTTAGGACGGTTGAGTAGAGAGATCTGGGAGAAAACTGCATGGTCATAATAATTGCTCATCCTACAATTATGAATATAACAAAAAAAGCTTATCAATGATGAATGATAAACAACTTTTCAATAATTAGGTCATGGAATCGTTTATGTTGAATATTTTTCCATGGAACTTGTGTTAACTGAAGTTGAAAAAAAAGAAAGGGTGAAGTTGATAATTTGAATGATTTGACGAATGCAGATTTCGAAGAATGGATAGTTATTCTCCACAATTTCATAACTCATTTTGTAGAAAGCTTATCATGAAGGGCAACAGCCTCATTGCAGGCAAGGGGTGAACAAAATATGGGTGATATTAGAATGGCACAAATGAAATTCTCATTGGAGAGCATCATTCATATCAAATTGATAAACTCTATTATCTGATGAAGTAATGAGTGGAAAATTCATCAACTAAATATTTTCCATGCACAGTACCTAACCTATCACTCTGAATTTGAAGAATGAACTCTGTAGATATGAATAAAGGAAGCAAATGTTTCTATTGATTCCTTGTCAATCCTGAACTGAATATCTAGGATAATTCTGAGATCGAATCTAGAAATTTAGAAAACCAATGTTCGTAAAAACATCAATGAGTTTACAAAAATTAGAAACCAGTTCTTGGTCTTTTAGTGAACTCAACTGTTATACAATTTGTAAATGATCAGATTCATTCCATTCTAAATAGTCTGAGTTGAAGGTGCCTTTTCGATGATGACACAATGATGCAACTCCAAATTCAAGTTTGGAATGCTATTCTTCTCCTCTCTGAACTTCTGAAATCTGAGAAAAGTCAATGATAAAGTACATCTCGCCAGTCTAACGTAATACAGATGATATAAATACACCAAAATCCACATGGTATTGGGAAAAATCGTATTTTGAAAAATAACCAAACCATTTCGAAAAAACTATCCAAGCGATAGAGTTTTGGTATTATCATTGAGGCATCCTGGCACACTCTCATCATCGCTCTTCATGTGATAACTCAGTTACGAAGATTTTTGGAAATCCAATATGATATCTTGATATACATAATGAAGTAATTTTCCAGGAACTGAAAACAGAATTGAAATCGATCGTGTCCTTCGAAAGTCATACAGATTCGAATAAGAGTGGAATTATGCATCTTTGAGTTTCAATTGTTGAACAGTTCCTTTCAATTGATGGTGGGGTTTTTGATTCAAAATCGAACAGAGAATCCGAAAATTTAATAACTCATGTGGAATATTAAGTGGCTATCAAGGACGTTCACAATGTGAATATTAGGTTTAGAGGAGTACTGTCGCCTCCCCCTTTCAAAACAGAAATTTTCCGAAGATGCTTCAGTTATCAAATATGCCATATTTACAATAATATTCCACATCAATTAAAATCAACAATGTTCCATAAATTCAAAACGAATATATTTTCACATCTGTTTAATTCAAATCAATAACAACATTCAGACTTCCTATTATGTTCCCATTTGTGTATCAGTTATTATCATGTTATCATCCATATGATACTATTTTTCCACTTTTTTTAATTTCTTTCCTTGTTGTTCCTATATGTTGAATTGTAGAGGTATTTTAGGGTTGAGTGGTAGAGCAATTCAGTAGACGGAGTCATCTAGAAACTGAGTTTAACTTCGCCCTTTACTTCTGAAAATTATTATCCACCCATACTTTATATATTATTCTCTATTCAGAAGTAATAAAGACGTTTATTATTATTATTATAAGGAGATCGAATGACTTCAATCATTAGTCATATATTGTATACTATATAATATCAGTACGATCAAAATCGGTTAGGAGGTTGTGAAGCTATTATGAGAAAACCTAAGAGGTTTATACAAGATATTATGAGAATACCTTTCTTTCGCAAAACTTCGACAACCTCGTTCTCTGTTTGGAAACATTTGACATAAAAGTATACTTTTTCTTCGTTGTTCTATTAGCTACCAAAATTATTGAAGTTCAACCTGGACCACCTTGTATAGTGAAAAAATTGGTGTCGATGTAATTGACTATAGGCGTCAATCAGGAAAGGCTCACCTCGTTGATAAACATTTATAGCTAATTTAGCTATACTGATCAGAGGATTGACTTCTTCACCGAATTTTGGATTGTATTTTAAAGGCAGGTGTAGGTACGATAAGGGTGGACCATCTTTCTCTGGCAAATGCTCACAGTTACATGCTCTAGTTCGCTCATTTCTTCGTTGCTCTAGTAGTTTCTCTCTTCGTTTGTAACTTGCGAACATATTATTGGTTAAGTTCGTGTATCTTGGTTGTTCGCAAGTCCAGTGACATTCATTCTTGAAGACAAAGAAGTTAATGAGCTATATAAAACAATTTTTAATTATTCTCTACACCTATATAGTTATTACAAGATGATACGAGAAGGATCTGAAATAGTGAAAAACTCAGAAAATGATTTCCGAAATGAAAATGGTGGTATAATTTGATATCAATAAGTGCGTATGATGAATCTTGCAGATTCTTTGTTCAAAGTTTGAATAATGTGTGAGGATGGAATGATTGTCTGAAACTTTGAAGGTAATGACATCAACCAAATTACCAGCATACCACCTGAATTATTGAACAAAATATTCATTATTAATCTAGAACTACTCAGCTAAGCTAACCGTCGACATACATGTAATATGTCACGTATTAAGTAATGATCAATTCATAATTGGCACAAAGATAAATGTAATCCAGAATCCGAACCAACGGTCGCAGACGTATAACAGATATTTGAACCTGTCTAGAGTCCTATGCAACCGTATTTCAGGTGAAAATTCACCCCATATTGATTCATGTGTAGAGAGAATGAAGGAAACAGACCTCACACGCAGAACTATTGAAATATTATCGGATAGCCTAACTGCTATTGAAGCACTTGGCTCGTATTGATAATAATAATATTCTTTATATTGCTATAGAATTTATACATACAGACTCATCGGCAGATTCTCTTGCTTAGGGAAGCTGCTGCAAGTGGTTTCATCGAACCATAACCTTATCGTCTGAATTATCATTCATGTTTTTAATGTTTAGAAGATGACAGAACAGCAGAGCATATACTTTGGACCTGCCTGCTGCGGCCTGAATCAGGTTTTTGCTCTTTGACTCGAAAGATCACTCACCAAGTAAACTGGTAATGTTTGGAAGATTCAATGATTTATGTTTTACGATACGAGCGAGAGTTTGGATTCTGGTTATTGTTGATTTTTATGTTATAAGGTAATATTACAGTGAGAATATCGTCGATGACTTCTTGTTCCCGCTCCTGGGTCCAGTTGGTGTTTGTGAGATTGTCAGCATTGTAATAAAAATACGAAGAATTGAAAAATATTGGTTTTGGATCCCGATGATAGTTGGTGAATTCTGCATAGTCAGCTATTTTCTGAAATGAATATTAGATATTAGATACCATACAGAGCGAGTGATAACTTTTCCATACAAGGCTATTAATTATACCGGTTGACTGCAAGATTAGAGAACTGCCTGTAATTCATTTTCTTCCGGACTAATTCTTCGATTTGGAATCCTAGGGAGTCGTGAATAAGTATTGTTACGTTATTCGGGTGCAGAAGCGAACACGACACTATTTATTTTCGAACTGATTTATTTTAACTATATAAACACTAATTTATATCAAACTTATAACTATTATTTATGTGAAACGATTTATATCACGCGGTATATAACTGTCTCTCTGACACTCGCTGTTCGACTGACTGACTCAGTTGTTCGGCCGTCTTATATATAAGATCCATTGGTAGGCTTTGGTTCGAGAACGTTCTCGAATGATCTTTCGTCTCCTTCTTTTTGTTCTAGAAGCTTCTTAGAACAATACCTCTCTCTCTAATTGTTCCATCGATTGTTTCTAGAACATTCCAGAATCTTCTGACACGTTATTAGTCATATATTGCGGCATATATTGAGTGTTCGGAGATATGCTGGTGCATGTAGGAATCATTGAGAGGTTTTAGAACAATCTGAGATGCGTGTTACAGGATGATCGTTGTACTCCTGCCTTCCTGCTGATGTTTCTAGAGCCCCTCTAAGAGAAATATCATTACAGTATTATCATTTGTGGAGCAGAGTTTATCTAGCAGCTAATCAAGGTACAGATATTGAACATTGCTGAATACTTTTTCTGGTTCTGATAATAATTACGAAATTCTACACGTTGAAAATGAAGGAATGAATAGAAATCAACAAACTCAAAAATTCTGACATTTTACTTAACGATCATTTAGACCTCAATACGCCACCACTGTTGAATTTGTTTTCTTAGTAAGTAATAAAATGTATTTGATATCAACCCTTTCAAGTTATCCGGTACATCGTATTTTTATGTAAATATTGTGCCTAATTTCAGAAAATGGAGGTTTATCGAACCTGTCCACAGGTAACTAATCCTTCAGGTTGGGAAAGTTGGATATATAAGCAGGCCAAGGTTGATTTAGTTCATCGTATACCAGTATATCACCTGACGAAGCTACTGTGTTAGCGAAACATGTCGTGTGTTTGAGAATTTTGTGGAAATCTTATCGTTTGTGGAGTTTTTACATTTCCCATGGATTTCCATCAAGTAACGGCCAAGTCAATTCAAAATTCATATACACGTTTCTAATGAGAGTCTCTTGGTCAGTATTCATTTTTTAATGTCAATGGATGATTAGAAAAACCTTATGTTTATGAAACCGTCATGTGGTTCGAAAATTACTAATATACTGAATGACTCTCCTCTCCGATAAAGCCAGACCCCAGCTTCATAGTTCATTGCCTATCTGGAAATATCGAGGAGAATATAATATACATCAAATAGATGAATGGAAAAAAATTCTTGAAATTTGAGTTCGCACACTGATAAGTTAAGTGTCTTCATTGCACCACTAGAAACTCAAAGTGAGTACTTTTATAGATTCATAGGAATTTGCTGACGTAACATCATTGAGTCAGATAAAATATAAGTGGAAGACTCTATATATAGTCAAATGAAATAATGAAAAATAAGTAGCTTGCTCCTTAATCTCTTAGTTTTCTATAAATTCATTCAGCTAGAGTTGGTAAACATTCATCTTCTCACGAGGAGCTTATTAACTTATATATAGAATGAATTCGAGATACTCTGAAGTTAAAATAAGGCGTAAATGTCATTCTACCTATAAACGTCATAAACTTTCCAGTGTAATTTCATGCTCTTTCCCCCAGTAGGGGGAAAAAATCCGGAAATTTGTTTTGTTGTTATGGAAACAAAACTGAATACAAGCTTTCCATTGGTCGAAAATGTTGGGTGTGATATTTTCACTTATAATACCACTCGGGAGAATTTTCAAAATAATCGTGTTGTCGAAAAAATTTCCGGATATTAATTGGAGCTAGAGTGGTATTCAGTGAGAAAATTTCACACTGAAATATCATATTGCAAGTATACCTACATAATATTATATGGTAAACTGATGTTGATAAATGATTTTTATTTATTGAATGAACTAGAAATAATCTGAAGTTGAATGTAAATGTTATTTGACCTGTAAATGTCATTTGACCTATAAACGTCAAAACATTTCCAGTGTAATTTCATGCTCCGTCCCCCAAGCAGGAGGAAAAAATGTCCAAGAAATTTGTTCAGTTGCTATGGTAACGATCCGAAATACAGGCTTAAATTGATCGAAAATGTTTGGTGTGAAATTTTCAGTGGAATTTTGAAATACATTGCATTATTACCGGTACGTTATGCACTTTTCAAATTTCATCTCAGGTATTGCCAACGGGAGTAGGTGGAAATTCAATTATCAAATTTATAGCAAACAGATAGACAAACATACCAAAACGCGTCCTGATAAAAACGTGGTGGAATTGAAGCCATGTATGGAAAAGATATGACTGATCCATTATGAAATATGGAAATATTCGATATATGCTGCTAATTGTGCTGTTACTAACCAATACTGCATGTTCTTTGGATTCCATCATGAGTTTGATGTCCCATGCTACATCTCCTATAAGATCAGCTGCATCTTCTTTCACTAGTTTCTCTTCGAGAACCTTGAAACTCTGAAAATATCGAAGTGTATAGTAGATGGGACGTTATAGAAATGGATGAGAATATATTATATCCGTCTCGATATCGGTATCAAGCGGAAGATGGTAGTTTTCTCTAAATGACATCGAAAGTGGCTTTTTAATGACACTTAACAGGCATAAGAGATGTACTTTAATTGCCTAGGCATCAGGAAAAGTACTGCCTAGGCAGAAAAGTGTGTTGCTATGCTACGTTCCAATTATTAATTCGAATCAAAATGCTGATCAACATTGACAATGACATTGAGTGAACACAAAATGATGGATTATTTGTAATTTGCGTGAAGATGGAACGAATTTGGGAAAAAAAGAGTCAATGCTAGGCTGGTTTCCTAGCCGCGGCATCAAATCTCATGCTATTCTGCCTAGTAAAACAAATAACTATTGTGCTCCTTTACGCTTGTATTATGGTCAGTAAAAATTGCCCAATATCTCATATAGTCGCGACTTCGTAATGACGACATAAGATCAATAATTAAGAGTAACAACGTATTTATGACAAAAATTGGGAACACATCACGACCTGAATATTACGATTTGCTGCAGTATATGGAATTCAGATAATATGAAGCTTGCTTCTAGTCGACGTAGAAATGGCGTAAAAATCACATCACGACCTGAATATTACGATTCGCTGCAGTATATTGAACTCACACAATATGAAGCTTGCTTCTAGTCGACGTAGAAATTGCGTAGAAATGTAGTAAATTTCTATGACACTTCCCTGTTTTTTGTACTCTCTGAAAATATTTTGCTTCCTTATTATTCCAACCATATAATTCACATATGAATGGAAGACAAGAAAAATATATCTATCAGAGAATTAAAACTCGAACATGCGTAATAATAGCCAGTTTATCGATGAAAATAAAGATTATTTCTCAAGATTCAAGTCTTGCTCACAAAATACAGCTTTCTACGCAAGTATGACTTTATTTTTTGTGTCCAATTTTCAAAAATCACTGTAAGGTATTTTTTATTTCATATACATTAAACATCTTTTGTTGTAATTACCTATACGTATAGGTGACTGGAACTCGAATTCAAGAAGATAACTTGATAGGAATTTTCACGGAATATTCACAATCGTAAATAACTTTTGAAATATTTGGCAACCCTATCGCTACAATAGGTACTTCAGAGTTTCGTTTGCTGCTTAATTGTTATATTGCTACTGAAGTTGCTGTCTAAACTTATGGATCCATTTCACATTCCACATTACTTTCTTCACTTCTAGAATAGTCACAACCTCAACTTGCTCATATTAATCCAGTCAACGGATATTACGTTGATAAAATATAACGACGATCGTTGAGTTTTACAATTGAGATCAAATTAACGTCGAATTGACTTACCAGTTGGTGAGTTTGTGAATTATTATTGACTAAAGTCAATGACACAAACATAATGTTTGAAAAAATGTTTGATATCAAATGGACTCACCGATTCATTCAGGACTATACTGAGAACATTTTCTCAACAATAATTTTATAAAATTATGTCTTACTGTGAAGTAACTGTTACGGATAAATCGAGTTGCTGGAAAGGTATTGTGGAAAATATAAACTACGTGTATCAGGAACGTTACTAAAAAGCCTCTACAATGGAATACAAACGATATAATCATCATGGAAGTGACATGAGAAAGTGACTTTCTTTTACAAAAATAAACTGTTAAACAAAACTGCGAATCGTATACCGAAGGTTTACTGTGCGATATTTTGTTCAACAATAACCTATGTCGTTCTCAGTAAGTTAGATTCAAGGACGTTGAATATTATCTCATGGGCAGTCACAAATCCATAAAAACTTCAGTAGTTACTACAGAAAACTGCTTCAATGATGTTTCCTTGTAAACTGAACAATACGGATAAAAAAAATATTGAAACATGCGAAAAGAAGTAGAAGTAGTTTTGAAATATAGTGGTTACGAAATAATCAATCAACATTGTTCAATATAGTCTAAGATCCGAACCTAAATCGACCTTCACCGAGCTGATAATAGAACGAAATATATTTTATCATGAATTTAGTATATTAGAAAACATATTAAAAATGGGTTGGCTAAAAAAATCCTGGGCAGACTATTTTCAATTATTTTTCGAAAAATTATTTTTAATTAAATGTTGCAACATCAGGATAATAAAAAAATTGTGTCCTGACTGAAAGTATAAAACGTATAGAATGTGCAGCCGTTGGGTTGTCTACTATTTACCTGGGCGAACTACTGGGTTGTCAGGTAAACACAGGTATATCGATGCCAGTTACTTTCACTGGATTGGATAATTTAAAAAAATTTATATCATCATAAGCGCTGTTTAATTGCGAACACGTTGATATAGGGTTGTCTGCGAAAATTCCGGTCCTATTAGGGGTTTGCGAATTTTAAAGATTTTAATTTCAACCCGCGTGGAAGTGTGTGACAGAGAGATCCGAGGTAAGTATACTGTGTAATAATAAAGGACCCAACATCGCAGTCGCTTGTGATGGGACCCTGAATAGTAGAAAGTGTGCGAAGTGTGCGAAGTCAAATCCTGAAAACTATGGTTGGCTTTTGATGATTTCTTAAAACCAACAGGTTTTATCGGAGATCAAACTCCTTTGAAAATCCAGGACATTGTCGAAATGGAGGCAAATGAGGAAGAATCTAATGAATCAGAAGAATTCGAGAATCAAAATGATACTTCTGATGAATCAGATATTGAATAGAAAATATTTATTAGAATTTATTTTTCATTAATATTATTTTTGTATTTATACTGTTTTTTAATAAAATTTTAAATCCGTAATACAAGATGTCTAGTCTATCTTTTTTGTTATTTCTCAATTTAAATTTTTGGCGGTCCACTTTGTTTCTATTTCCAGAAAGAGCAAAACAATTTCAAAGTAAGTATTTGATATTTTTATTGTCTATTATAGATTATAGATATATCATTATGGTTATAACGCAATATATTGATATTATATTGTTTTTATATATTAGTATTATATTAAATATATTTAATTATTATGTAATTAATTAATTATTTTTTTTGCTACTGAAATATCAGTTGCTCCAAAATAACACGCACTGTTTACTATATGAAGGGTAGTAGAGGTACCTCTACCCTCCATAGTTTACACACCGAGCATGCGCACTTTCTACCATTCTGGGTCCCATCACAAGCGACTGCGATGTTGGGTCCTTTATTATTACACAGTATACTTACCTCGGATCTCTCTGTCACACACTTCCACGCGCGTTGAAATTAAAATCTTTAAAATTCGCAAACCCCTAATAGGACCAGAATTTTCGCAGACAACCCTATATCAACGTGTTCGCAATTAAACAGCGCTTATGATGATATACATTTTTTTAAATTATCCAATCCAGTGAAAGTAACTGGCATCGATATACCTGTGTTTACCTGACAACCCAGTAGTTCGCCCAGGTAAATAGTAGACAACCCAACGGCTGCACATTCTATACGTTTTATACTTTCAGTCAGGACACAATTTTTTTATTATCCTGATGTTGCAACATTTAATTAAAAATAATTTTTCGAAAAATATTTAAAAATAGTCTGCCCAGGATTTTTTTAGCCAACCCATTTTTAATATGTTTTCTAATATACTAAATTCATGATAAAATATATTTCGTTCTATTATCAGCTCGGTGAAGGTCGATTTAGGTTCGGATCTTCTACTAATATCTCTGTTCAAAATTGTACTTATTTCAAATAATAACACAAACAAAAATGGAATATTGAATTGCTGATGGTTGAAATATCTAGGTAATATATTCTAGTAATATGATCGTGAATTTCTGATCAATTATCTGGACAAAAACTATGATTTCATGTCCATGACAAATTGTTAAATTTGTGTGGAACTCATTTTCCCCTCTAGTATCGAAAACCACTATGACGTCGCTTGTATGCTTAGTCATCTCTGGATATATGTGTCACCTCATTGCGTTTCGCTAGATAGACCAGGTTTTAGAAGTAGTTAAATCTAGCCTGGATCGTATCTGATCATTCTCGTTCTACCTAAGTATCATCTCTTCATGTTCTTCTGAACACGGGCCTCAATCACGTGAATTTTTGCCCTCTAGTATCAAGTATGAAGTATGAAGTATGAAGTATCAAGTATCAAGTATTTTCAGTCAAGTATCTCATATATAGTTTGACAAACAATTATAACATATTCTTATAAATAATATGAGGTGAGATTTACTCTCTGGATACAACGTACCTATAGACATAGATGCCTGTATGTGTGTTATATCTAGGGCTTCTCTCAACTACTGAAATGCTGTACATACATATAATAAAAAATAAGGCAGGCAGAATGCCCAGGAAAGGAAATCTATATATTCATAGTGTGTATATGCTTATATAGGCATGAGCCCTATATGTACAGTTTCAGACATTACATAGGAGAGTTCTTGATATGTTATAGTTGGTAGTAGTTTCTTATTATCAATATTATTACATCTCACGGTTGATCAAGAATGGGCTTGTATCACAAAAAAATTTTAATTCATAATTCGATAGAAATCACCCAAACTAGCTCACCACCGCAAACCGTTTCTTGCTGTGAGCTCCCTACGTTTTATAAAAAATTATTGAAATCCCCGATTTTTCTGACCTCTGAAAACGAGGCGATGATGTGACGTCAGAATCCTAATACTGAAACAAGACTATTCCAGACAGAGATGACTGATACATGAATTCTGACAGAAATTAGCGCGAGATCACAGTTGAAAGAATTAATATATCAGTTGCCTCAGTCTCCGTCGAGCGTTTGATATTTTCTTTTAACTATGGCGAGATGAGGTTTCTACGTCATAGGAGGGTCCGTTTTCAGAAGGTACTATCATTTATGTCCAAAAATAAAACATCCCAGTTAATTTTTTTATCGAATTATGTCGTCAATCATTATTTATGTATAAAAGGATCATTATAAACATGATTTGAGTTAAAAATTCTACTAAGGTGTACACGCCCATTCAAGCAATTGTTTCTTCGTTATGTTCGGACTATATTTGGTCACCAAGTGAGATCATTTGAAGATATTTGTCTCTTGGAATTAGTCCTCCAAGTCTAGCAAAATATTCAATGTCAAGTAGAAGTTTTCTGTGCCTAACATCGCCTGTCATGTTTGACACATGATCGTCAATTACGCTTCTGATTTTGGTACTGCTAATATAATCGCATAAATTTCAGTTTCCATTGCATTTTAGTGCCTATAGGCACTCGTTCCTGCTTCTGCCTTGCCATTCAGACGGAGGATTTTATTACTCCTGTTATACAAAGATATGCTAGATTCATGCTCAAAGTATCATTATGACGTATCTCAGCTCGATCTTAGACCATCAGACGAGGCAGCAGTGCAATCATGAGTATTATCCGGTATTATCACTCAGTTTGAGTCTCTATGTCTTCCTAAATTTTTTTCAGCACGCCATTAGAGGAACTTTGCGTTTTGTTGGTTACATATTAAATAAGTTTCGGCTCCAGGTGAGAAGATATAGATGTATATAGATAGGGTAACGCCTAGGAACTGATGATCGCCAAAAAAATTTTTGTTTTTTCGCGAATAAAATTACAGTAGTCGCTTCCCTAATAACACAATTATGTCCCATGGATATCCTTAGGACGTGGACGTACATTGCACGTCTGTGGGACGCACGAATGTCCCACTCGAGAACCAACTAGGGACGTCCTTGAGGGATGTCCCTGGGACAACTATCGAATACCTGTTTCCTACAGTATTCCTCATCAAGCACTACGGAGGACATCCTTAAGACATCCGTAGGACAATCTATCAGCAACGCTTGAAGATATCCATTGGATATCCATAGAATGTCCTAGGGACATACGAATTATTCTCAAATTAAAATTTTTCTGGGTCCCTCTGGGACCAGATCTTGCATAACTGATGAGGACATCCAGTTGAGTTGATGGTCCATAGGAATTTCCCAATAGATTCTGAAAAAGTTTCTACGAGCAATCATTCGTCGTTGAGGTGTAAGTTAACGTCCTCGCAGGGACCACACATTGAAATTACCGACAGGGACGTCCGTAGGACGTTATTTCTAGCACATCGGAAGGGTACAGTTCATGTACCAATTGGAACATCCGACGGATATTCCTAAGGGACATTCGAAGGATGTCCCTAAGGGACATTTCGATTGTTATACGACCCTGGAAATATTAAGGGCGTCTGTGCAGAGAAATTTGAAGGAATGTACCATGATTGCCTAGGAGGGATATTATATAAGATCTGAAGTCATGCCAGAATATGTACTACTCGGGACATCCGATGGATGTCCCTCTAATGGAACGTTTAAAATCATATCCCATCAGGGACATGCCAAGGACGTCCTTGCATGGACATTCTACAATATGTACCACGTGGTACATTTGAAATGATGTACCAGCTGGATTTCGTGGACGTCCTTGCACGGACATTGCATGATATGTACGCGGAATGGGACGTCCCAAGGACACCTATTTTTGGTCCGGGACATTCGGACTTGAATTGTACCAAATAGGGACGTCCCTAGGACGTTGTGTGCTTTTAGGGTTTCGCAGTATTAACACAACCTCTCGAAGATAAAAGCAATGGAGAGCTAGATTCAGCATCTACTTACTTGGTGCATTTTGACATCTCTGGTCATTCTCTCACTCAGATCTGTAAGAGTGTCTCCTATTTTTGTCGACCACATTTTGACCCTGAAAGAAGAAGGTTGTATTGAAGGTAACCTGTATAATATGTTCCTTGAAATGAAATTGGCCAAATTATACAGGGCGAGTCATAACTATTGGGACATCGGCTGAAGGCGGATTGTTTGATGGCGATAGGACCGAATATGCCTCACTAAGATATTGCAGTGGAAGAAGATACTCGGCTGAATATAATAATAAATATTATTTCTCGTTTTTTGCTAATTTTTTCACTGTATATTCATCAATTGATATCAAACTCGGCACAGAGTCATAATTTTATACAGGGAATATTATTGCATGTATTATTCTATACAGTTTGTTACAGGGGGCACCACGTGAATGATTCCTGATGATGAAATCCATTGATAACTTTCTTGACAAATCTTCCTAATGATTTCAAATAGAAAATATGACGTAAACACCATTTCTACGTAATATTGGTAATCCTGTTTGAAAACGATATTTTCATCCGTTTCCGAGATAAACGCAATTGAACAGTCTGAAGTCTCTGAAAGGGATTTCAAATATTATTATTTCATTTATGGAGATTGTGCTTTGGACTGTCAGATAATTGTTGCTAGTGAATTACATTTTTTGTCAGGGAATGAATTTTGGTGCGAGTTTAGAGTCAATTCTGCTTCTATCGAAACGCCCTCTATCTTTTTTCACATCAATATTTCATCAAGGCATTGATAATATAAACCGCCCTTACCCTATGTCCAAATAGTTATGACCCACGCTGTATACTCAAGGAACAGGAAATAAATGAAATATGATTCATTTCGAGATATCATATGCTGGATTCCAATTCTGATTAATTATCTGCGAAAGGTATATTTTACATTTTCCACATGCTGTTAAGTTTCAAAAGAAAACCGACGAAAGGTTTCCAATAGTTATCGGTTCCTGATTCAATTCTAGTTGGAGTCTCAATACACAGGAAAATATAAAATATTTTCCGAGTGAATAACATCAGAGTGCAATATACGCTTCTTTGTTACTCTATTATTCCTACTGTACCAAACGAATGATATCGGGGAATATATAGGTATACACTTCCTAGTCGAAGACATCTTTGTTAGAGGAATCGATACATGTGCGACTGTGAGGCGCCATCCAGCATCCAAATTGGACCAAAAATCCCATATCCAAGGATCTGCTTAATGAATCTCTCGACTGGAACTGTTTTGGAAGGTGAACCTATAGTGGGCCAGAGCCGGATTTAGAGGTCTGGAGGCCCTAGGGCAACAAAAAAGTGGAGGCCCTAATTGTTTTCCATATTAAATCAACAAATTTCTTGGTCAATAATTTTTTGCGAAACCAACTACATTATTCTAACATATACAGGGTGTAAAAAATTCAGGAGCATGTTGCTGACGTTTAAATAAGAAGCAAAGTTTGTATGAACTTATGTCCGCAATTTATTCATTCTGAGATACAGAGTGTCTAATTTTGATTGTTATTCCGGTTTTTTCAAATGAATTCCAAAATTATCGTGATATTCGGGTGAGATATCAAATTTCACTCTAATATCACGTTCATTTCTGAGTTTACTTACAAAAAACAGGAAGAAAAATCAAACCATGACACTTTGTATTTCAGAAATGAATAACTTGCAGACATACGTTTATTCGAACTTTTCTTCTCAGTTTAACGTCAGTAATGCTCCTGTAATATTTACGCGTATTCAAGAAACACCTAGTAGAAATATTGTCAAAAACAAGAATGAACTGAAAGAAGGTTTTGTCCCATCGAAGTTCAAAGCATATTTTTTATAATTTTCATTTTTGAAAATGAGCGTTCTCTGGTGTAATTCGATATTATCGAAACCAAATACACTCAGTGCAATTTCAATGTTCGGGAATGTTATTCTTGAACTTTCATCTTCAAGAATGTCGTATTGAAATACCTCAGTAGATTGTTTTTTTTTTCATAGTCCTCTTTAATGAAAACGCGGAAACGAACACTCAACCTCTGAGGCTACGGAGAAGTATTTCCCCACTCAGCTATTAGCATACTCTATGGGTAGTAAATGGCAACAACTGCTTATTAGGGCCATTTTTTAACGAATTGATATTTTCAGATTGAATAAATGAAATTAACTTATTTTCCAATATTCAAGAATAACATGATCATGTCTCTACAAAGTACTAATGGTAAAACAACGAACTCAAATTTTCCATAAAAAATATTGAAGGAAAAATTGTTCACTAGTGTTCACTAGAGATTTTTCATCTCCATGGTAGGGCCCCTTTTCTGTGGAGACCCCTAAATCCGGCACTGATGAGTGGGACGAAGTGGCACGTTATGTATGGTGAGCTCGATGGTGATGTATAATTTTTTTGAGGTTCTGTATATATTTTGTTACCAACTGGGAATATCTAGCGCGAATTCTATTTTCTTAAGTGACTTCTAAAGTGCATAGCATTCTCAAAAATTCATCTCCCATGAGGTGATTGTGACAAGCAGTGGCGTACCTACGAGGGAATATGGTGGATATATCCCCCCATATGCCAATAGAAAGACACCACTCATCTTAACGTATTACGGTTTCATCATGTCATCAAGAAATCATGTACTTACTTCTGACTGACATTCATCAAAATTTGAGTTCTTGATGGAAATAATTATGCATTCATATTTTGACGAAGAGCTTCATTCAATAGGATTTTTTACCGTGTACTCATTTCAACGATGATGATGAAGTGGCTTCAACATCAGCAGTTGGAACAGATAGGAGTAATTTCTCATTACAGCTGATTGAAAATTCCGCATCTACACTCGCCAGCAAAAAAAAACAGGCCACCATAAAATTTACACAAATTGTTCACCATGTAACTTTTTTATTACTTGTCCAATTCTTGTGAAATTCCGATCAAATCGTAGATTCATGTTTAGGAATGTTTTACTGAATATTAGTTTCCATAGAAAGCTGATGACTTGATCATTAAACAGGAAAAAACCAAAGTTACTCTTTCGCCCTTTACTTTTAAACGCACTGTGGCGAAATTGAGTGGATGAACTCGATTTCATCATGTTGTGGATTGGAGTGTGATCCTTTTTTGACACAGAAGTTCTCTCATAATCCTATTTTCAAGAGAAGATACGAGTGTCTTGAGAAAGTTTGCCATTTTTCAATTCTTATCAACAATAATCAGAACCTACATGTACTTATCGATTAACAACTTAGTAAATTGATATCTCATATTTCTACTAAATTTTTTTGCACTTACCGAAGAAACCTTGATTACAATATATAGCAGACCTTTAGTCAATAACGAGTATGCCCTTCTCGAGTTTGAATAATAGCTTACAACGCCGTGGCATCGATTTGATCAAATTTGTCGAGTAGTCATGAAGAATTGCCGAGAGAATTGTCTAAATTTTCCTTGAAGGGCAAATCATAGCTCTTGAAGAGTCTCTGAGTGCCTAAGATGCTTTATTGGTTCAGAATTATTGTTAATGAAAATTAAAAAATTCCATACTTTGTTAACTCACCTTTTAAAAATTAGATATTGACGTGAATCTAGAACTATTGTGTCAGGAATGGACGGAATAGATTCACACTTCAATTCAAAACATGATGAAACAGAAGGTTGGAGAATGGTTTTGACTTATTGTTAATCTTCTCTTGAAGAGTGATTATCGATATGAACCAAGAACCATTGTGTTAAGAAGAGATCACACATCAATCGGAAATATGATGAAGCTGAGTTCAACCACTCACCTTTGCTACAGGGTGTTAATAAGTTGTAGGTGAAAGAGTAACTTTTGTTTTCCCTGTGTAATGATCAAGCCATCAGCTTCTTTTAGGTATCGATATTCAGGCCAATATTTTGAAACATTGATATACAATTCGGTCTAAATTTCACCAAAATCTGACAAGAAATAAAAAAGTTACAGGGCGAACAACTTGGCGAAATTTTTTGGTGGCCGTTTTTTTGGCCGGTGAATGTATTTCTCACAAGAAACATTTTATTTGTCAGGAACGAATCCATTCAGAAGATATTGAAATCCTAAATACGGTGCAGTATCAGTTACATATTCAGGGTGTCCCAAAATTTCTGAGACATAGAGCTAGCACGTGTAATACAGGTCAATATAAGTCGATGAACCCAAATGTTTTTTACACCACAATGTACCGTTTGCCCGTGAGAAGAGTTCAAAGTTTATATAAAAAACACATTTTTGTACGCTGTTTGAAACTAAATGAGACAAATTGAATAAGATTTGGCAACAGTGCATTTTAGAGGATTACTCTCCTATTGGCGATAAATCTGAACATTCTCGAAGATGTCGAAAATTTTATCAATGCGCTAGACAGTGGCAACGTGACGAACTCGAAATTATTATGTGGAGACGTCCTGGGTCCTGAACATCTTTAAACTGCGTTCATTTGTAATGCATGAATGATTAGAACATTCCTAAATCACGGAAATCATCCATATCTCGAAGTGTTCCGAAGTAATTTCAAAGAAAACAAGTAGCTGAAAGTCGGTCGACCACACTGTATGAAACAATCAGTTAATACATGTTACCGGTTTCGGCGCAACGGCCATCATGAGACATAAAGAGTACCAAAATATGAAGCTTCAGGTAGTATCACTATGGCAAAACAAAAACATGTTTGTTTCGCCATAGTATTGCTACTTGGAAATAAGAGTCGTGAGCACCTTTTAGCTCCAGTTGGTGCCTTTTATTATTTTTGCTAGATGAGACTTCTTGCTATAAAATAGTTATTCTTGTATCTAGAGCGCGAAATGCTACTTTGGTGATCGAGATCTGATTTTTTTAACGAGGCGTAGCCGAGTTAAAAAAATAGTCGAGATGACCAATGTATTTCGCGCTCGAGTTGCAAACAACATTTTTTCTACAAACGTCAAAAAATATAGTTCTAAAGTGAAAATATGTTTTGCTTGATATAAAAAATGGTGTCGAACTGGCTTAAAAGGCCTCCCCCTATCCTCATTAGGTACGCACGATGTTCCACGAACATAATAGGAATTTCCTTTCGTGCGCTCCGAGAGAAAAAACAAAGTTATTGTTGAACATTCAGAAGTAAATGATTTCGTGGATGTTTGTTCGATTGGGAACCATAAAGTTAAAATATAAAGATCTCATATATTTTACATAACAATGCGCGAAGTAGGTACTTCGCGCACTGTTTTACTTCGCGCATTGTTTTGTGCAAGGTATCATGGTAACGTAGGAAACTGAAAAAAAGTGTCACTTCGCAATTTGATATCAATGCGCGAACCTTGTCATTTTTTGACGTTTGTAGAAAAATGTATTTTCTTAAGGAGCAAGCGAGAATACTGATTAATTATCTACATTTCATAACGCTTGTGAAAATTTTGCATTATATAAGTACGCATATAGTTGAAAAGAATGTGTTTCTCAAATGTGTATCAGCAATTTTGGGACACCCATATATACTGATATTCCTTTCTGATATCCCTAAAATTATATTATAAAATCAAAAAGATACACAAACATTTGAATGGAAATCTAAGGCCAAGGCGCTGAGATTTCATTTTGATATGCTCAATATATTATTGTAGTTTCTAATAACCATACAAACAAATTTTCTTCGAAAAAAAAATATTTTTCCCCCCAGGGACATTTCTGGGTACGCCACTGGTGACAAGTATGATCGGATTATTTTTCCTTATTGCGATTCTTGTTATTTCATCTCTAACATAAATTGAAGGAACCCGTGGAATTGTGAAATTCCCATTATAACTCTGCAATAATTGCATATTAGGCAATACATCCCAAATTTTAATTATTGCCTATCATCAATTATTTAAATTAAGTATATCATGTTTGGCTAAAATGTTTGTGGATCAATTATTTTTCGAATAATGATGATTATAAATAGATTAAACAATTATTGAGGTTATTCAATGTATGAAATAAGGTAATTGAAATTTGATGAGGTTTCTGTACCCTTCAACTGAAAGTCGAGGCCCAATATTCCAGAATCGAGAAATGAACGTATTGAAATTGATAAATTCAATTCTGTGTATGGATTTTGAAACGGAAGATTGAAAAAAAAATTTGTTTAATTTAATTTAATTCTTTTTACGTAATTTTGTCTTCCCTTCTTGTTTCATTTATTTTCCCGAAATTTTATTATATCGGAAGTAACATCAGGATACAGTTTGAAAAACCAAAGTGAGATGTGATCCCCAGTCAGTCGATTTCAACAGAATGATGATTTGGATTCACTCATTCGGTGTGCTTTGACCCTGTGCTTGAACTTTTTGATTATTCTTGTGTTTGGAATTACTCAGATATCTCTGTTTGTCAAAGAGCTTTATGACACTCTGTGTTTTTTCATCAGTATGAGCATGAGATATGATTCATTCCTCAATTAAATCATCGACATTCATATCATTTCTAGATATTTCTTCGTATATTTATGAATAACAATTTATTATAAACAGGAACGTTTTATATACTCACAATCTTTTTACTTCTTCTTTTCTTTCCCATTTCTTGTCATTCAATTTCCCAACACAAATTCCACTTAGCACTACTATCAATAAGAAAATCACTATATTTTTATCAGTCCTATTAGCTAATTTCATCTTTCCAAAACGCGACAAAAAGGCACCAGAATACTAATATGAATGGATATCGTTCCAATATTTGAATTGGCGCATGCCTTGAGAGATATCTGAGATGCCAGTTTGTCTGGATGTTGTCTGAATGAAGATATCTATCTAATATCTGCAGGGAATTTGGAGGCTGTACGGATATTAGAACGAGAATGGTGAGAACTCTAATTCGAGAAATGCACTTTCAAGTTGAATTCGAGAATCGATGTATGATATACCTGTACCATGATACGAATCAGAGGAAGCTTTTATGATTCAACTATTCGCATATACAGTTCATTCTATTCCAGCATTGTTGTGGTAACTAGTAGAGAATTGATATCGTTTGGATGAGAATTGATTTTTTATCTTATTTCTGATGTTTTCACCATTCACTACATCTTCACAAAATTCCAAATAACACGAAATACAGTATGGTGCACAGGAATCATTTCATTTCTGGCCAAACTGTCCTTTTCTTAAAGATCTCCTGGAACAAATCGACTTTTATTCTCAATGTCTTACATTTATTAGTAAAAATTTCATATACAGGGTATTCTACGTTTGAGTTCTGACGTCCGCGCAATTTTTACAAATAGAACAACCTATATATTACCAAAGAAGGGAAGATTTGTATTTCGTGCAAGATAATTTATTCAAAATATTCGTAGCAGAGCGCTTTCGACTCAGTGCGTACTCGTCAGGTTATTGTTCCAGGTTCTTGTGCAGTGCCAAAGCCGTATCACCATTATCGGAAACATTTTGAAATATTCTCAATTGACTTAAATATGAATTATGAAATAATCGATACGATCATTAGAATTGCTCCTATGTATGATTTATAACATCAAATGTGTTATTTTCCTGTACATTCTAATTTATGTTGCCAGTTACCTTGATAAAATATTACAATGAGATTATATTTTTTCATTGAGTATGAAATGTTATACTGTACTTCATACATAATGTTGCAATAACTTTGCTGGAATAATTCATTCGAGATCATTTTCAATCTTACTGAACGTCTGTTTCAGTAGTTGCTGCGACCTTGCAGTAAGATAGCGACAATCGCTAATGTAACATTAGAAATTTCATTGAAATACTGCTGCAATATTGTTGATATATTACTTTGCTAGTGGGCGTTTTCAACTTTTACGAACGTGTCGGGTTAGGAACACTACCAGAATTCAATATTTTTCTTTTGGTTGGTTGCGACCAAAATGTTCACATTATATCCAAGTACTTATTTGATACGGTTACCAACTTTTATAATTACCTGGTGATGGATGAACTTGTCTTATGTATTGTCGTACATAACTTTCTTGGCTCATGAAAACACAAAATGCACACCTACTCTTACTCTATGCGATACTGAATCAAATTATGGCGATTAAAAAAAATTATCAAGTTTCCGAGTGAGGTGACTCCCAACAGTCCTACCCATAAACTGCGTTGTTTAGGTAACCAAACGTTCAGGTTAGGAATCCGATCAACCAGAGAAGATTCTGAAAATGCCTATAGAAACCAAACGAAAATTCAAATTCACTCTATACAGCTTTGAGTAGATACTTTTTATTACCTACATACAAACTCCCTATATACAGGCAAAAATTCGTGATTAAATTGATATGCATAGTCTGTAAACGAATCATACTTTGGTGTGAAAGTTAAGATTCTTCCGGACATAAGAAGTGAATACGACTACACTGATAAAAATACCCGATTGGTGACAAAAGAATGATGCTTTTAGATTTTTTTCTCTCCTGACAAAGACAATTTCTTCCTTTCAAATACATTGCTCTCATCTGCAGATTATTTCTGTTTTTGTAATAAGGTTTTGAATCTTTTGGCTGTAAACGCTTTTGAGAGAACATCATCGACCTTGTCTCTATAGTCCTGCTTGGTTTGCATCTACCTCAAGATCACAAGACTTTGATACAAGATCTGAAATCGTTCGGCTGAGACCGTTGATGAGATCGAGTCCACCCGAGGTTAACCGAAAACATACCGACTCCGTTTGAGTCATGCGCAATGCATGGGTCGACCCCATCTTTCCATCATCCTTCTTCTTCTGCATCGTGCCGAGTACCGTCCCGTTGACAATGCATTTTAGCGGCCATATCTGTCGTGTTGCGTTGTGGTGTTGATCATGAGCGATTCAGTGGAGTTTGAAAAACTTCTAGATGCGTGGCGTTTGAGCCATATGATGCAAACATTTCAAGGTAAGTACCCACCTAAACTTATTTCAGTAGATAGGTATTTCATCATCATATAAAATGTTTCATGTGTTATTTTATAAAATAAATGAGTTTTTTATCAATGGTTGTTTTTTCAGGATTTCCACAATTCTTCGCCCAAGGATAAATAAGAAGCTAAAACAAGTTGATGGGATATTTTAATTTTCAAGTATATTTCAACCAATGCAAAACATTTTTTCGTCAGAACATCAGAACTAAATCTAATATCAACAAACCGATAATGGGGTTTTGTTAAGGATTCATAATAACATGATCCTCAAAATTTTTATAGAAATCAATTGAAATTCTAATTATTATTTCAACATTTTACAGGAGTATCCTCTCAAGAAATCTCCAGAGAATTTGCATCAAGATCATAAACATTTTGTTCCAAGACCATAAGATATTGGATCAAACATTTGCTGTATTTACAGCGAAGCCCTATATTTCAATACAATAATACCATATCTTTCATCTTAAATCTCATAACTTTGAAATGACATCTTAATGATTTTGACCAAAAATCATTGTTCATTATGAAAAGTTCATGGTATTCTGCTATAAACTCATATATCATTGGGCTAAAGAAATCATGGCAATTACCTCAACATTCCCCATAAGTTGGGAAAACTACGATTTTAAACCAAAAGCATTAGTTATTAGGGCAAAACCAAAGTTTTTTGCCTCGAATTTATATAATTTCATGCTAAAGAAACTTAGGCGCTTGCCTCAAAGTTTTTGGAATATTGGTTCGAAATGTCCATGCATTCCGCCCTATTCAAATGCTTGGCGCCCTTGAGGTAAAGTCAAATTCCTTCAATCCAAGGAATCCTTTTTATCAGTGTATCCTTACAAAAATGTGCTGCTTATTTGATTGCAGATGTTACTAGGTGGCGTTGATTACTAGGTATCTATTTGGAATCGAATAACAGATATACTTTATCAACGATTTTTTGATGACTTGGAAATCCTATTGTGATTATCATTTCAATAAGACGTTAATCTTTGTAACATGTTATGAAACATACCAGTACACTTATCATTTGTTTGGAAGTCAATTTTTTCTCAAAATTGTGATTGAAAGATTACCCATTACTTTTTTGCCACAAATGACTGAAAGATCATCTGAATGTTGACTGCAGTGACATCTAGTGTGTTTCTGATCAGGATGCCTAAGTTGTAACAGATCAATATAACACACAGTCGCAGTTTCCTTTTACTCTTCTATAGGAAATGATTTTATCCTTCCCTTTGGATCTCAATCCACGAGCTGGTAACTCTATGCGCAAACTTGTGATTTTCAGTGCTAACAGTGTGGGCCAGAGGTCGTAGGTAGTTCGAATCACATCAAGATCAAATATTTGACTGTTCACCATGGATTCAAGCTTCAACAGCTCTTTTTTTATTAGTTCTTGATATAATTATTGACTTTACGTAGGAAGAAAACATCGACCTCTTATTTTTTTGAGAATTTGAAATATTCCTATAGCCTATAGAAGGCCTATAGTGAATCAGTGGTTTGAAACAGCCCCCACTTGATGGAAATCGAATAAAACGATAAGAAACACGCATATGAAGAATCTCATGATAGGAACAATTCTACATGTTGAGGTTCAAGGGTAAGGATGTCTTTGGAAAATGATGTCATCTGTACACAATTGTGTACTAGGTGTTTCTTTCCTTGCTGCATGGGACTATGCTCGATGCTCGAGAGTTACGCCTCAATAGGATGTTTCGAATCAGAGCTCTGAAAGTTCTGAAAGAAATCGAGAGAAAATATTAATGGACTTTTTCATAGAGATGAGGAGTTGAATACTGTAAGTTTGAATACAATGATATATAGGGTGGAAAATTTCATCAGATTTGGAAAGACCATACAAAATGCCAAGAGGACTACTCTTCAATTTGCACGGCACACTTTGACCGTTTCAATAAAAAAATATGAATCAAAATCGTTCGAATGAATTTTCAATTTGAATCTTGCTGATAACTCTCAACATTCAACTGGGTTTATGTGAATTGTTTTTGTTCATTTTTGTTGGATAGAAATTGACAGAAAAGAGCAATTGAGAAAAAAATCATGTTATTGTTTGATTGAAATACTATATAGATATTATTATTGGTGACTTTGTTTTATGGATTTCAATTGAACTAACAATCGTTCGAATTCACTCCGAGTGAAGGTATGCATTTCGGAATTTCGAGCCAACTTGATTCATGTAACATTGCTAATGAGGAACATACATGATTCTGTATACAGTGTATCAAAGGAGACATGTTGGTGTTGGTGCCGCTCACGAGGTTTGTTTGAATTACCGTTTTCGTTCAGGTTCCTGAAGACTACTCTTCCGTGTCCTGATCTCGTCCATGAAGAAGGCCAAAAGTTCTTCTTGTTCTACAGTGTCATCCCCAAAGTATGCACCATATGGAAAACTTATTTATTAAGGGTTTTTCGACGAAAAGTTATTCCTGATAAAAGTTTGTGCATACCCTAAAACCAAACATGCACCTACAAAATACAGTAAAACACACGTAATGTACGAGGAGCCTTCAAATATTTGATTTTGAGATAATAAGAGTAAAGTATTCTTATTTTGAAAAGTCTTGGAAAATGTTATCCAGAAAAGTTGTTCAGCATTGAAAAATACATCTAGTTTTGAAGTCATGGCTATCTGAATGGAGTTTTATTTTGTTACCAATTTTTTTAAATGAGGACAACGAACAAACTTATTTGCTAAAATGATAAATAAATAGCATCCTGTATACGACGGTTCAT